CAATTCAGCAGACTTTGTCAGGGTGAACTGGTCGCCATAAATAATGTCCATGTTCATTTGGTCAACAATTTTCTTCACGTCAGGTGATCCGTGAAGTTACACAGGTATCATAGGTACACGCAAATATCACTCGGTAAGACTCAAATGGCAAAAGTGCACGGCTGTCATAACAATTTGTTCAAAACATCAAGCTTGACATTTTCAGTCGACAGTTTTCTTTTGTCCCACCACTGAAAGAAAAAATAAGTTCGTCAAGCTGATGTAATGACCATTACGCAAATCGCAATTTGATTTGAACTTTCAAAAGAAAGTTTTCCCGGCTGACTACATCATGCTCGCCGAGCATAAAAGAAGGTTTCTTCACAAAGACTTGGTCTTGATTGCTTCTTTTTAGGTAGGTGTAATGATTCGAATTTAGTACGTCTGGGAGTCTACTGGGTATCTTGCCGTGCAGTACTCTCTTTTGCAGCCACTTGTTTTTCATGAAGGATCTCCCATCAGATGATTAGATTGGATGATCCAGCGGTGATCCCTACCCAATTAAAGCTACCACCAAGAAACCCCAAACGCCAATAACCCTCTAACAGCAACACTCCAAACGACAACCCCTCAGGACACGTTACCTAATTGCGGATAAAAAAACACCAGCGCATCAGGTTTTTGGCACGGCCTAGAAAAAAAAAACGTGTGTGATATCGGCAAGATGGAAAAAGATGGGAGAAAGAAAAAAAAAAACTCGCCCACCCACGCTTCAATCAAGGAGGATATTACCATCCGCTACGGGCCCGGGTCCGTTTTATTGTTTGAAAAGGTCAGGTGTTCGAAATGAAATGAAGAATGTTTGGTATAATCTGCGCAGTGGTTTGAGCGAAGAGCAAGAAGAGGTGACGACAGACGAGCTGTCCCTAGTGCGCTGCCCATAAATGCAACACGGTGTTGACCCGATCTATTGAGTGTGGCCAAGCCCCACGAGAAGGCCTACACATACAATGTTCGATGCATACAATTCCTTTCCTATGATTTGTTTGCATTATTTCCCTCTAGCAAAAGAACAACTTCAAGACACCACAACACCATTTGTGAAATTTAAGTTGAGTTCTTTAATAAACAGCCTTTAAGCAGCAAGTATCTCAGTTTTACGGAGCAGGTGCTGGTGTGTTAAAGAGATATCTTTCTTTGCTTGACCGAGATTTTGTCCAGGTTTTTGGACTATTTAGGGTTCCGGATATTACAAAATTAAAACGGAATGACAAAGCCCCGAAGGTAATGGAACAGGGCGACTTACCCTTTTTGTGCTTGTTGAGTCCGAATTAGTCACCGATCCTTATATGCGAGATCTAGAAAAATAAAATGAGTCAATGTTCGTATAGGGGGAAAGGTACTGAGTGAAATGATATTTTTACCTGCCGAAAGAGGTTTACAAAAACAAAGGAAGCATTTTTATGGGCTAGAACCGACTGACATTGGCACATAAATATGGCATCAAAAATGGTAGTGCTTATGATTTCCCCGTTCATCAGCGCACACTGGTCCTCTACCCTCACAGGTGCCCATTCATACCCCATAGGTGAAGAGAGGCAACTCTAGTGCCCAAGGGCACAAACACCATGTTCCTGGCAGGGTTCGAACCAACGAACTCTGTTTCTGTATCATAAATAGTAGGCAAAGCATCCTAGGGGAAGCATCACACCACCTTGGAGAGAAGACAATGAGAAGAAGTTACAGTTTTAGAGGTGGGAGGAAAAGCCTTGAAGATTTTCTGCATGGGGAATCAGGCAGGGACTGAAAACCCAATCCACAAATTGACCCAGGCGGGATTCGAACTCGAGTCACAGCGGTGGAAGGCGAGGAAAGTACCGCTACGCCAACCTGACTCCCGCACCATCGTTCAAGATTCAAACCCTGAACCATATAAAGTAGTAAGGGCTCTTCTTTCTCGGTCATGCGATATCGTCCAAAACCTCTTCGTCAACTTTAAATTAACGATGTCGGTAGTAACACAAATGCACACGATGCACCATCGGGCGGAATTCGAACTTGGGTGACCAATATGGGATGGAGGGCGGTATCCTTACTTCCATACCTTGAGTCTTGTCCTGTTTAAACACATAATCCTCATTGACCATTCCACACACTGAGAAGATGATGGTTTGGAGTCCATACGCCATGAGAACGCACCGACTGCGTTCTCCTTTGAAAATGAAAGGCCGCGAAGATGCGAACTCGTATGCGTGTCTGGTATCCAAGCTAGCTCGGAATACCAGGGCCGCATTTTGATGCCCAACGGGAAACTTGCGTCCACTCATTGGATTAAATCGGGTACAATTTGCAGGGCAACATGGGGCTGAGATCTGGAGCGGAATAATTCGAGGTTGACTCGGGCCGAGAGTGACCGGTCATCACCGCTGATGGCCCGGCCCCCGGCTAGCGGTGCGCCGTGTGCTCATGCATCGTTGGGTGGCGCATGGAGGATGTCCTGTGTACATGCAGTAGTATCGGGCACCCAGGGTCACTGACTCCAACCAAAGAAAATTAGACAAAGACATTTCAATGATCTTCCTGTGCAATTTGGAGGCACAAGCCATCGATTTCATTTGAACCAATCATTGGACATCTTGGGGCAGAACTACATCTGTGATGTCTTCATCATCACAAATATGACTGGCCTAATTAGTAGTGTAGCGGTAACACTGCAGCTAGGGTTTGATCGCCGAGTTTTGAGTCACTTTATTATGGACTTCTTCTTACGCTCCATCTGCATCATAATATATGAGTTTGAAAATGTGGTCTCAGACTCATGGCTGTCATCTTTGACTTCGTCACTGATCTTTTGTTGGTTTTGTTCGAATGACACTTTTTTCACTTATGGATACTTTACTCAAATTGTCCATGCACGAATAGGCCTAAAGTTACGCTTTCGATCAGGAGGAACGCAATTTTGTTGAGTCAAAGCTTGTTTGAATAATGGTTATACGAATGAAATGGTGGTATTCAACCCTAAGTTGGTGCTTATTGAATTGGGACCCGCGCCAGTGCCCCAAATAGGGAGCTGCAATGGCAAAATATTACTTGTCATGTTATCGGCACCTTTATATATAACACAGGAAGCAACCAGTACAGGTCTAGCTCTTGAGATAATGAGGACGTGACCTCGTAATGAGGTCAAGGAGTTGGATGTGTGGGGTTAGGGCGCGTGTGTCCATTCTGTGTCCTGCCATGCCAAGTGAGTGTGCTCTTCCTCAGCCGAGCTCTCGCTTTTCAAACCACGGTTTCATCTCCATTGGGCTTCGTCTCGATCTTCACAATCTATAGGAGCCTTTATCAAAACCAAACTCAAATATTGTAACATTAGATCTCATGGTTTTTTTTTGTAATCGATGCTCAGTAGCAGGCAGCATGTGTCTCCCACGTACGTCAGGAGTCATAGAATCACGAAAGTGCATGGTGCTTGAAGCCGATACCGGGACAAAGCCTGGGTTTGATAAACACCCCCAATTCCACCACGTTGATCCGAATCTCTTATGAGATATTACGTACAGCATTTCTTCATGATTGAGCTATCAGCTCGCAATGTGTATCTGTGCGGTGTCTTGGCGTATTGAACTCGGAGGCTAATGTGTCATCGAGCTGGAACACGTGTGTCCTGAGCAATGCGAAAGATGCATACAGGACAGATGAAATATCCATCAGCTAAAGTCACATGCACTTGTACTTCTTTCAGAAAAAAACGGAAGTACTCGACTTTGACAATTAATTATCTCCATATTTCAGGGGACGTGCATAATGGTCTTAGCAGACTCGTCAATTTGTATTGAAAGCCGTGTATATAATGATGACGTTAAAAAAGGGTTGAACATGATAGGCCCTATCCGTACTAACTTTTCGAAAATAAAAAATGTGGAGTCGTTGAAGTTCGTACGTTTAAAGCTAAAGCCTCTAGAACATGTAGGTCAATAGAATGTGTAGGTCAAAATTTTCATTGAAAAGAAATGCAGCTCGATGCAGATTGATGTCTTTTCTTAATGACGACAATTATACTCAAAGAGTTCTCTTTAGACGACGACCAGTTCTCACATGTTACTCCTTGGGAAAATAAAAATATAAAACTTCAAAAACAATATTGGGTGCATGCCTAGCTGAAAGCCATACGCGTGTTCAACGGGTCTGTTCAATAACAGTTGTGTGTTTACCTATTATTTTTTTTCCTCGCAAGGACATGATGAGTGGTGTACTGGGAAAAAAATTCAGGGTAAACTTGTGTTTACACACTCGGCATACCATAGGCATGCATGAGCTGGACATGTAGACGTTCTTTTGAACCTGATTGGATGGGTTAAAAATAGATTCATTATTGAAGTATTGTGGCAGAGGCGTCAATGCCACGCTGCATTGTATCTGTGTTGACAGAAGCACAATAGTTCGGACGTACTTTCGAACTTTTTGGACAGGCCTCGTTTTCTTCTCGAAGAGAGACTGGTTCCCGGCTCATAATTGTCATATATTCTGTTGCTGAATGCCGATAGTGTCTGACTGGTCTTGCGAGTTGACACACCTTTGCACTTTGGTGTTGGGTCGGTCTGTCAGAGCTGCAGCTGTGTCACCACATAACTGGTATATACAAAGACCGTTTAATGGCGTGACAGTTCCACAAAATAACGACCTGTGTTACACAGTGCTTCGTAATTAGTTAAAAGTGTTGTCTAATATTTGAACAGACCACAAAATTTGCAATCATTCTCGGTAGGATTAGAATTTTTGGGGTGAGTGGACATTTTGAAAGTTTTATTTTCGTTCGTTCCTCGTTTTTAAAGAAAAGATGTTTCCGAACGTCTGTCTCTCCACTTGTTATTGCGATATAAGGGGTGATTTACGAACGTTATAGACTAGACTTTTAAGGTTGTATAAGCCAAAGGCCACAGGGACGTGACTTGGTCATCCATTCCGTGTTGCAGCCGGATTTTGAGTAACTGTCTCTCACAGCTGAGGGTCCGTGTCGGCAGAGAATAGTCCGCAGCAGGGTTCCCCTTGCCGTGTGTAGTCCCAGGACCTTCGACTAAGCGCTGTCAATCGCAGGCTGTCCTTGTCAGGCATTTAGCTTCTGTTGTTGGTGGCCAGCAAACGGCTTCTGAAATACTCTCGTGACAATACGCAAGTAGCTGGAAACCGGTGGAGCGGAGAATGGACCCAAACCAGCATTAAAACTGTAGTTTGTAGATAGGCGGTGAGACATAAACGATGCCATCTCGAGATCGACACACCACTTCAATTCACAACATCGGGGAAAAATCTGGGGGAATCTGTACCGGATAAAACAGTCACGCTGTAGGCTCGCGGTCTTAATAAACACGTGCTGAGCCTCTTGCTAAACTAATTTACGATGAGAATTCCTGGGATAACGACTGGATGGACTCGTGCCCGGCGCAGCTCGCCACGCTCACCGGCGCTGGTCTGAGAAATACATCAGCTCAGTCAGAGAGGAAGAGGGACAGGGAAAGAGAAGGATTGCAGATATCTGAAATATTCCTAGCGTACTGGCGCGTGTGTTGCAGCAGACATCGGGAGGCTTGTACTTTGGCAGACATCACTCACGGGCCGGCTCATAAAACTATAGACCTCTCCTTCGCACGCAGGAGACCCCAGTGTATGTAAGTTGAAGGATTGATACTGGTGGAGCTACAGCACAACACGTATACGTACGGCTGTGTGGTGAGCATCCCTCCGTTGGCCATTCAGATATTCGCTCCCTGTCACTCATCCTGCAAACATTTTTTTGTCGCCGAAGCTTGGAATGTAGGAAAAGCGTGTGTTCAATTCCTCTTTGACAGCCAGCATGCGGCCGATGAGCTTCCAGATCGGTTTGGATCGGATGTAGTGATAATTATTTGAGTATAACATGCCGCCTTCCGTAATGGACAATCTGGAATATGCACCGCTTTGGACTATGGAGCGCAGAGGACCCGCGGTTATCTGTGGGGCGTCAAGTCGACGAAAAAATCGCTCTGGTGACCTGGTAAGTTAACAAGGATTCGACAGATTTTGGTGATGTAAGGTTACATCTGCTTTTCCATATCAGGTCACGGGTGATGGCTATCATTGTGATATTGTAATGATATAATCGTCTGTTTTCCCCAGTAAACAAATGAGCCAAAAAATAATTACATTCAACATCGGAGTGCTGTTGTGATTCACACTTGTGAATTCAGCTTGGTATAGAAATTGAGGGAACTAGCGCGCGGGATGGGTTTGGGCGTTGGTTTTCATCAGGGAAAAATTAAATGTGATCGGAATGGAACGAAAAAAAAATAGAGAATATCTGAATTATTTTGTACAGTTGTAAAACAGCCGGTTCCCTTGTCGGTCGTAAAAGTGCATTTCGAAGACGTTCAAGGGCAGTATGTGCATACCAATCTGAATAGTCGGAAGTCGAAATAACTGAGGAGGTATAAATATAGCTCCAATTGCATTCTTGATTGCGTTTTAAGTCCTCTCCCCCAGAGAATATTGTTCCGACTGGCCCGGGGCCCGACAGTAGCTGGCCAAGCCATCTTTACCGTAAACTCTAGGCATGCTCGGTGCAAGCACGCGCTGCATTTTCCCCTTTCCTTTTCCTGTGCGTGATTCCAACCGTAAATCGAGGGGAACCTCCCGGGTTTGTTTAGACCCTGAAATTTCTGGAGGACCTTGACTGTGGGGTCTCTTGATCAATGGTATTGCGGTTGAAAGAAAGAAAAGAAAAGACAAAATACCACGGAGTGTCGACTTTGACCTTCGGCCCGACCGATGACATATATGTTTAGTGATAAATGGCGCGGAGTAGCGCCGCGAATTTTGGGAATGGCCTCCCGGGATTGCAACATTGGGGTGAAAGGTGTCAAATTCTTCATCTTTTTACAACTTCTGGATATTTCTTCCAAGATCATGTGTAGAGTTTAAAAAAGAAGGAGGATAAGCAGACTTCTTTTCGTAATCTTGTTCGCGATGCAATCTCTTTTTATATCGTGCATTCAATCACGCTTTAAATGGAAGCACCAATCCTTTAATTTAGAAGCTCCATCATTTTGCGGATTAGATTTGTATTTCGTGGTAATGCATATTTCTTACATCTCTCTGATACATTTACAACTTTCAGTTAAAGAAATGGCTTTACTCTTTTTTCCGACATTAATTGTGTAGAATCAAATTAATGACATAGCTCCAATGTATTTTTACGTACAATACCTTTGGAAATTATACTTGATCATATTGCAAGTAACACACACACACATAATTGCCGGTCGCTGGAAAACACCTACATTTCTTGATTTCTTCTAAATGACAGCAAGCCAGACGAAATGACTTTACGGGGCTGCGTTTGTACCAGAACGATCTTTAAGCCAAGTATAACCTTTTTCATAAATCGGTATAGTGTACTTTTGGGATAAAAGCAAATGATCCTACTGTATATGCCTTTAAAGGGAATATACAACATTTGGTTTTTCCTGTATTTTTTTGCAGAAATGGATGGATTTGGGGGTTGGCATTTTTTAGCAAATATTGTTACACTGACTTGTTTGAAGTTTTGTGCTCGTAGGTGCTGGAAAACCAAGAAAAACAATCATGTTCCTGTAGTCTGGTTCCCTGACCCCACTTAAGGTGAGACAATTTATAGACGTCGGGGAATTGTAAGGCCAGGGAACCAGCCTAGCTGGCTTGTATCCGTTCAAAGGTGTGTAATCGGTTGCAAACAAATTGCGGACTAACTAAATGTGGTATACATTTGGGGACAGTAGACCTATTTGAAAAAAACAGGGTTTTTTTCAACGCCGCGCTGGTCGGCTGACCAGCGTGGAAATTGATACAAAAATACCACTTCTCTTGAAAATGACAGCACACCATATGATTTTACAGGATGCTTTAGACTGTCATTCACTAACAGTGATTAAGGTATATCATAATAATTTGGTAGTTTTGTTTTTTGATGTTTGCAAATTGTTGTACATTGCCTTTAAGCTACACATGTGGCTTGCACGAGGGATATCCTATTATTGTCAGCATTATCTCAACGAACTTTGTCGTAAGCCAATATTGTTCAACTTTAGTCATTGTCTGAATCGACCCATGAACAGATTATTAACCAGGTCAAACCGTTCGAGCCTTTCAAATAAAAAAAAAATAATGATTATGTCAGAGTTTGCTTCGAATATGGTTGTTGGAGAAAATGAATTGGCATTCTTTTAATTGCAACATGACACAACGCCCTCTGTTGATTTCATATAGAAATTGGCCGTCTGGAAATTTCATGTAACCTTATTAATATGTAAAGGCATCTAAAAAAAAAAAAAATCTAATCGACGCACGAGACAAGGCTAACATCTCTAATCTAGTATGTTAATAATTATACCATTGGCACGTAAACAGTTGAGGCCATGAGAATGCATTTGGCATAAAGCAAGCTTTTAGATTTGGTCTTGAGGGGATGTTCTTAGCAGAAACATTAGGCCTACCTGTGAACTTTCCACTAATTTTGGGCATGACAGTCTACATTTTTTGGATAGAATTTCTTTGAAAGGCGCCCAGGACCTCCCGCACTGCGCTGAAACAAAAATAAGCACACTGGACACAATATTAGGTTTATATTTCATCGTCTATCGACACTGGTCCTGTCGATAAACATAACACTCTCATGCCGTGAAAAATATAAATATTATGTTGTGCCGGCTTGTCACGCCACGTGACGGACCATTCGCGAATGGGGCGTCTCGGTTCTATCTTCGATTGACATGAAACTGCACCGGAATGGAATTGATTCATTTGGCAGTGTGTTAACAGTTTGGTTGGTCTGCAGAGACGTTTCCTCTGAGACGTTACTCACTTCTGTCACTGGGTAGGGGTTAACCGAGCTGTCGGTGTCATGTGAGATTTCAACACCAGGGAAAATCCGTCTCGTGTACCGGCGACCCCACGTCGGCTCTTGTTACGTGCCTGTGTGTTTCCTTTGTACATGACATGCGCAATGCATTTCAGGAGTATATTTTTTAGGGAGGCCAATTTCACACTAAACCTTCAACCTTGGCAGTGCCCGAATTACTCGGCTACGACTGGTACGCACCTATGGAAGCGGCTGCAGCAACCGCCCATTGACCCGCGTGTTATTTCTAGCCGTAGCCTAACTAGCCTTAGTAAGGTGCCGTTCCTGAATTCAATATAGGACTGCACAGACAGACCTGCCAATAGAGGGCGTGTCTGCGATGGATGGGGAATGATGGCCAACTTCCCTCCAATCACAGTTCGGCGTGTTTACTGTGGATATTTTTAGCCAATGTTTTGCAATTATTATTAAAACCTCCACCGGTGTTCTGCGCGATGCGGTGGGCCCCCACGCCAAAAGCAATCCTCGTCACTAAAATGCGGTTCACGTCTGTTTATTATTACGGAAAGGCTTGGCGAATCGGACGGTTCAGGCGCGTCCCCACCCACCGGATTCTAGCTAGGGAAGGAAAAGGGTTCGGTACGCCCACGTAAAATTCTGACATGATTTCCCCAAACCATCCATTAAAAACCGAAAGCCGTGATTACTGGCCTTTTCTCATAACCTTCCAGTGGCATGTGTTCATTCCCGGGTTAAAAAGTGGCAACTACAAGTTTGCAACTCAGAAATTTCGGAATGATTCCAACCGCTTGTAGGCCATCAGCCTGGGGGTTTGGTCGGTATCAAATGAGGGGAATAATGGTCATTGTCATTTTGGCAAGGTATGCACCCCTGTAGTTGGAAAATATGTGATAACATTGCAGCGGTGGCAGGTTTTTGGTGCCATCACTTTAAAAAGAAAAAGGGCAGCCAAAACATGCTTGTTTAAGTTGTTACCACATATAATTAATCCGGTTCAAGCATATTGGCGGCCATTTTGAAAATAAAAATAAAAGTGATAACACCCCCCAAAAAACTGCCAACGCTCACACTACAAAGCTATCACACATTTTTCCATTTCTAGATGTGTAAACCTTGCCAAAAATCGCAATGAACATTGCTCTTTTCGATCATTTTGATACCGGTGGCCCAATTTTTGGACCGACGCTGATAGCCTATTGCCAAACCTCTATGAGAAGAACTGAAACGTAAGTCCCCGATTAGTCTGCCAAAATGCTTTTCTTGACTTGTTTATAAAACAAACGCTGTTCACCAAGATTTTAGTAGATTTTGTCAAAATGTTCCTTTTTTACCAAAATAACAAAAGGTTCAAAATTCCAAAACAAAGGTTATCCACACGTCGCTAAATCAACGAGATATCCACAGTTCTGAAAATCAGGTCTCCAGAAATTAATTGCTTCATTTTTTTTGTTTAATAGTCTTCCCGCCCGAATGGTCTAAAACCGGGATTGCCTGAGTTTAAACCCTGGGTTTCAAGCTGCAATGCTGAGGTTTTTATTGCAGAAAACTGTCCTAGTATTTACGATTGATTTTATTTTCCATGTATACACTTGTAGCCAACGGTGAATCAATACGGGAATATCCTTCATGATGTCAGTAGTGTATATGCCCAGGTACTATGCTACAGCAGCACTCACGCTGGGCGCTTTGTTTACTTGAATTTCATCCCAGCAGTCGAATCCATTTCGCTGAATCCCCGCCTAATTTCCAGAGCCACGGGGTGGCCGCTTCGCCCTGTAGCCCTCGCTTAATGCTTCAGCATCTGCGATCCCAAACAATTACGATGGGTCGACCTTTTGCGAGTTTAGAGTAATATCAGGAATGGATGATATATTATGGAGACCATATCTCGTTCAAGCCCGTGACCGTACCAACGACATTTTTAACACGCATACACACAGCCCGTGTAAAATGTCGATATGGGGGTTTTTGACTCAAAAGGAGCCCACTTATACCCTCTTTGTATCCGACTAACTGACTAACTGACAGAGTTGTAACGAGTCACTGATTTTTGTGACTCGAGTCGAGTCGAGTCATTGACTCGAGTCAAGTCGAGTCATTAGGTTAAGAGGGTCGAGTCGAGTCGAGTCGAGTCGAGTCACAGAGTGTAGTTGAGTCGAGTCACAAATATTTTAACACTATATACAAAAATAAACACAAGAGAGAAAGTATTTTTTTTGGCTTGTTTAAGTTTACATTCGGGCTACTATATGTGGTGCCACCACATCTGACTCTTAATGAAAATAAAAAGGGGGTGCCAGCTGATCACCATTCAACTAATGGGGGACACTGGTCAAGCCACGTATGTAGATACGTAGATACGTATACATTATTCGCGAACATTCTAACGTGACGTGTACAAAAACCGGCACCGGCGTAAGTCATTGCAAATATTTTTCGCAAAGTTTTGCTTTTATTGTTGGGACTCGAGTCTTATTAGCCTTCCTCGAGTCGAGTCGAGTCGAGTCGAGTCATTCTGATGAGGGACTCGAGTCGAGGTCGAGTCGTTTGCTAGCAGTGACTCGAGTCGAGTCCAGTCATTTGTCCTTAGGGACTCGAGTCGAATCGAGTCACCAAAAATTGTGACCCGAGTCGGACTCGAGATGAGTCATTGACTCGAGTCATTACAAATCTGCTGTCTGACTGTCACTTGTGAATTTGACTTGTTTAGGTCTCACCTTGGTCTAAAAGTTTAAAATAGGGCTGCAGGAACGCAGATGCGTAGCCCACATGCATGAAAGACTTCCAGTGAATAGACATTTTGAATGGATGGAGTAGAATTCGGTAATGGTGTAGTTTAGGACATCTTTATAATGCTTTATAATGCGTTACAAGTTCCGATCCTAATCAAAATCCTGCCCTCTTATCACAAAATTAAGCCTCCTGATATTCAACATGATATCTCAGCGAAGTATTTAGATGATTCCAAACTCATAAAGTGACTTTTCTTGCTGGTATCATCGCCAAATATTTAGGTATTGAGTCCCAAAACACAGGAGTGTAGTTCGTTCTCTTAATCTGTATATTGAACGGGGTCCTAAACTACACAATTACGTAGAATTTTGTGCGCCCTGTGTACCAGCTTCAGTTATGATTGCCTGGTCGTCATTTGACTTTGCATGAGAGATACCGGGAGTCCGGAAATCATACACGATGATTCTCAAAGCGCACACGTCGCCAGCTTAATATGCAATACGTCAGTTTATTTTTTAAACAAGAACTAAGTCCCTGGTGTAATTCTTGGTACATCGTGCATCAATAAGTTGAACTGCATATGAAGTTGTTAGTTGTCGCGAGCCCATGACATGCATTCTGTTGATTACAAAACGATCATCCAAGATCTATTTTTGTTTTAAACCTTATACTCCTGGGTGTGTATAACATGCACATAACTCGCGGCGTTTTTATTTATTTGTAGAGAGGAAGGTGTTAGTTAGTAAATCAGTCAGTGTGGTGTAAATCAAAGTAGACATTATTATATTATTCCAAGGACTCGGTCAGCGGTTATTCGGCAAAGGGTTAGCCCAACACGATGTTCTCGTCATGGCTACATTTTGGAAACGAAGGGTCATGTTGCCACTCTTAAACGGTGCACATTCGGCCAGATTTCGCAACATTCAAAAGTCTAGGTCAAAGGAGATCCATAATCATGTCTTACATTTTACAAAGAAAACGCTATACGTATTTCAAGCATCAGATTTTGAGCTAAACTGTCGACAAAAGACAGACACCACATAGCAGTGACCCAATTCACGATGTGATTCATCGTGAGGTATCAGATCAGCTCAGAATTATACACATACCCAGCGCGCACGCGTTTGAAGAACGATTTTGAAGGTGTGACTGGAATGACGACCAGCGCTCCAACTGTTTGATTTTTTTGAGGAGCAAACCTCCGACAAGGTTACTTGCCCGCTATATTGTCAGTACACTCAAAAGAAATACTCCATAAATGGTGACGAATCCTTACAAAAACATCCCGGATCCAGACCCAGATCCGGAAAACTTGCAAAATCTAATCGATTTGTACTTGTACCAACACGGAGAAAAGGTAACAGCCTAGACAAAATAATATTGCAGGGAAGAGTTGAGGGAAGTCGAAAGCCAGGACGACCCAGGCTCAGATGGTCGGATCAGGTGAAGACTTTAACCGGCATGTCACTCAGCGAAGCAAGCAGCATTGCTCAAAAGAGATCCCACTGGCATTCCATCGTGCGAACCACGAAGCGTCAGTTATGATGTGATCGACATCAACAACAACCAAGGACCACCCCTTCAAAACTTTTCATGCAAATCCGTCCATAAAATTTTGAGTTATCTTGTTAACAGACAAACCAACCAACCAACAAACTATAAACCAAATCCGATGACATAGCCTTCTTGACGGAGGTAACAACAAGCGGTAAAAATGCCCAAATACCAGAGTGTACTCACGGTGCATTGGGGACACATCGCCATGATTTGCCCCTGTTTAGAGGTAGCACTGTGTAAACGGTTTGTAATTTCAAGCCATGTGTAACATTTTGATCTTTGTTAAGCCACTTAGGACGCTTCAACTTGTTTGAACCAGTTTAAGATCCTACTTTGCGACAAAACAAATTTCAGTCTTATACAGTTTGTTGAATGCAGAGCATGAACATGGTGATATGACAAGTACAAGGACCCTGGAAGTGAAAGGTGTAAATAAATATATACTGTCGCCAGCTATTTTTATGTTTGAGATCAAGCGTTGGACACTAGAGTTGCACTGTAAAATGTATTCGGAACAATGTGCGCGAAAAATTGCGGTGTCCTAGTGCGCAAACTTGACTGCGAGTAATGGTATTATTGAATACGTCTCACTCAAGACAACGACAAAGAAAGATGTAATAGTGTGTATTTAATAATAATAGAGGATTTTAAAAAGCTCACGTATCCACCAGGACTAGTGCTCAAGGCGCTACACTATTATTACCCCTGCTCATTGGGCCCTTCAAACATTACAAATACCATCTCAGCTCCCTGGGGAGTATACAGCTCGATGCAGCCTGTTAGGCGCACCCCGCGCATGGAAGCTACTTCCATCCCAACAACCATCTCTGCCCTCACAGGTAAATGGGTCCTGGGTGGAGAGAAGCAATGAGCGACAAAGTGCCTTGCCCAAGGGCACACGCACCATGACCCCAGGCTGGACTCGAACCCACAACCTGAAGCTTTACTCGCAGACCACGAACCCAATGCTCTTAACCACGAGGCCACAGCACTCCACATGAAGCCGAAAAATTTACTTGACTACCAACGGGCAAAATGATTTCTCCATTGATATTTACTATTCTTTCTTTTGTCTTTTTATTCCAACAGGTGTGCATTCGACGCCTTCTAGCTCTAGCTATCTTCTTATTACCCTGGGCCATCTGCAACGCAGCACCTTACCAACTAACAGACCACAAACACGGCCATTGGCCCAACGACACAATGACAGGCACGTCATCGATGACGCGTAAAAAACACAACTCTCACGTGGAGGGCAAGGATCGCAACTGCAAACACGACCACGGCTCCAACAGCCGCCGGCATCACCGCGACCGTCACCGCAACAACCCACACCGCCACCGGAGCAGAGACAACGAGGTGGTCCCCCTGAGGTCCACCGACGACATCCTGAACGAAATACCGACCTACGTGTCGGACTTGGTGGTCTTTTCCCCGGTCAAACCCGCCAACCCGCCCTGGTCCCCGGAGGCGGTCCGTGGCGCGGAGACAACAAACGAGGTGACGGAGCGGCACGTCCGCGACAAACGTAGCACCACGCAAGGCGAACCCTACCGGGCCGTCTGCGAACCGGACTCCAACTGGATGGAGAAAACCTGGGCCTACGACATCTTGGGCAACAACGTAACAGTCGTCAACGAGATCACCACTTCAGACGGCACGCAGATGAAACAGTGGTTTTTCCAAACGACTTGCAAGAGAACTCAGGGCGCGCCCACGACGCCCCAGACCTGCGCGGGCATCGACTCGCGAATGTACGAGTCTGAGTGCGAGGAGAAACGGTCCTTCGTGTACGCCGTGGTACGCACAGCGCGAGGTGAGCAAGGCTGGAATTGGGTGACCATCAGCACATCCTGTAACTGTGCTTTCAGACCAGTAAGGAATCCGAGTCGGCGGGCCTGGCCCCCAGCCTATTCCTCCATAGACGCTCAGACACAACCGACAATACTCAGAGAACGATGAAAACGTCAACTCGTCAAACTTTTCAACGACAGCGGAGGACAGGCATAAGTATAGTACGGGCATTTCAAGCGAACGGTTTTGTCAGAATGGAAAGTATTTTTGTAAAAGACCCACACTTATGAAATGTTTGAGAATTACTGATGTCCAAGGAAAGTTTCCCTCAAAGAGTTTTTGACTTAAGCGCGAGCCACTTGACTGAAGTTATTCGAAAAGTATCCTTCAATAGAACTAGGTGTGTACTTGGCCAAAGGGTAATTTCGGTGAGTCAGTCTGGTACTTAAGTTTGAAAGGTCATTTCCAAAAAGTCGGAATAAGAGACCGATTCGGCTGTCAGTATTACGATGACGTCACCTAAGTCAACTGGATCAAGAGATCATGAGTGATCGGTCTGCCAAGTCCAAGAGGGCGTGCATTTCAGGTTCAGTCAGCCTTTTATTGTGTATTGATTGACAACTGCTCACTAGGCTTATACACCCCCCCCCCCCCAAAAAAAAGGAGGATAAAGGGTGTGTATCATGATAGCGCAGGCTTAGTGCACCGGAACTAACTTTTGTGGCTCACTGATTACATCTTTGGCCGTATGTATGGGTCGGATCCCCACGTATACAGGCTGGGGATCATGGGTATCTGTGTCCTTGGGCAAGCCTCTTTGCCTCGCTCTCTCACTCGTAGTAAACATTCGCCCACGGTGACAGACAAAACTTAAGTTCACTACGGCCAAGGGCACTAAAATGCCCATGGAGCGTTCACGCTCCCCGGGTGCACTGAAGAATATTTAAGGAATGCTTGCCTCATCGCCGAGGGAAGATGTTAAAATGTGAAACATCCGCTCCTCAGAGTGAGTTCAAGAAACCTTCAACAGGTATTTGATCCGTCTGAGCTGAGGGGAACACTAAATCTCAATAACTGTTTACCAATGAGGGTGTATAGAAAAGCAGGATTTTAAAACTGACGTGCAAAAACGTGTTTCTAAATTATAACTCTTGAATCATTACGTCGTAACAGTGTTTGCTTTGAGTAAAACTTCTGGCCCACTTTCGGATTTTTGGCAGGAATTTGTCCTTATGCCTATATTTAACGCCTTGTGTCGGACAGAAATATTAACCGTCATTTTAATTTAAGGTCTATTTTGTCATCAGTAAAGTAAACTAGATGTCATGACTATAATCCGAGATAAGCCCTTTTGAATTACATGAAATGTGTACACGTGCTAAAATTTTGTAAAGTTTGAGATTTTTGACGAAGACTTTCATTATTATGAATGCTGAAGACCATTTAGATTATAACGCTGTTGTCGAGACTCGTTCACGGGTGATCATGAATTGTTTATGACGTAGATATGAATACTTATCAAATCGGATTTTTTTTTATTGAGCGGTTGAACTCTCCTAGGTTGGTTAAGCAAGGAAAAAGAGCAGACTGCCGAATTCGAAAGCAAAATATTACCATTCTTATTTAAACAACGTTATGGTTGTTTATTTAATATTAACCGTCATTTTAATTTAAGGTCTATTTTGTCATCAGTAAAGTAAACTAGATGTCATGACTATAATTAAACGGATGTCTCCCAATTTAGGTAAAACATTGTGAAATGACTGTGTCGACGCTGCGTTAATATGTTAGAATTCCAGAGAATTATTGCAAAAAGAACGTCTGAATGATTTATTTGGAAATTATCATGTGGAAACGGCACAGAAGTAAAACTGTTGGCGAAGTAGATGTTGTCATCGGAAGATAATACTTTTGGGTTCGCATAGGTCATTGGTAGAGCCTTGCCTGGAATACCAAACTTTGTTTATGATCGCCGATCAACTTGTCTGGATCATATTTCAAATTTATCGACCAAAAGAACTCGTTCGCCTACTGCATGGGCCAATGGTGTCTCTTTAGAATGTTTTGAATGATGATTGTGGAGTGAGTAATGCAGGCTCCGTGTGGGTTTTCAGTCCGATTTTGTGGCGTTTTGCATCAATGTAGGGGAAATAATGTAGTATCCAGACGCCGCTTATAATACTGACAAACTCTATGGAGAGTTGCGTGTATTCGTAAAGTATTTTCTTATGTCCCAGATTCATATCTTTTCCACATTTCTGATAATTTATGGTGAGAAAAGTGGCATCAGGATGCAACTTTCTCTCCAATGTTAGGTACAGGTATACGACACAAAACAGACAGAACGTTTGAATGTGGAAATTGGTTTTATTGTTCTTGTGCAATGCGTAAAGCAACCGGCAACTGTGACAGTTTGCAAGGATGTGATTTTGGATTCGACGGCTTCCTCATAAATTAAAAAAAGGAGGGCGCTCTTTTCCTGATCGGAATAAACTTTCATAAAATCGCTCTCTGAAAGCTGGGTGCGCGACGCCTCTGGAATTCTTGAACTAGATTCAAGGGCCTACAGATTTGCATAATTTGGTAAAAAACTGTCTCGTTTTGCAAAATATATCTTTCGGAGTATTAGGGTTCTATAACTAACAGTGGGTACTGTTGGCGACTGTTTGTGGCCTTCTGCATGGAAGCCGTTAATTTGCACTGTCTACTCTTTTGTCTTATCATGGGCGGACCCAGACCCTAATTTTATTTGGGATGGCCCTGATCGCTGAGCCGACCCACATTATTCGCCCTTGGGTGTAATTAACTCCTTATATTGGTCTGGCAGTTACAATTGAACCATCGGTCCAAGTTACAATATAAAAAGGCGCGTTTAATTGGGTGGGTTTAACTTTGGTAATAACTCGAACGCCTGTCATTGGAAAGAAATGTAGTTCGTATGGAATTGTGTGTCGGCGTCATGTAAATCAAATTAGGTTTTGCCCTTCACCGACTGTATACTCGGTGTGTTACCTCCCGAGTGAAAGTTGAGAAAAAAATCACTCGGGTGGGACTCGAACCCACGACCCCCTGCTTTCTAGTGCAGATGTCTTACCACTCGACCACCGCGGTTACGGGATCGGTTGGCTGGTTCGAATCTTAGTCTGAACTGAATCCCACCCGAGTGATTTTTCCAACTTTCACTCGGGAGGTAGCACACGGAGTATAAAGTGTTTATACCTCGGTGAAGGGCAAAACCTTATTTGATGATGAAAAATAGTTATGAATTTGCCTTTTACTACATGTATATCCTAAAAGTTACTAAATATGTTGGCATCCCTCGTGGTAAAAAAAAAAGTAAATATGCTTACTGTCACGGAAAGATAGAGGAGCTATGGGAATATCTGTAATTTAACATGACAGATTGGTACTTCGTTTTGTGAAGAAAGGGTCGAGTTGGAATTTGTTCTCTTTCTACGTTTAAAGGAACAGACATAGACCTGTTTAAGATATGAATTCTTGTTCAATTAATTCCACGTGTTTTGACAATCAAAATGAGGCCATTCAACCTCATGCGATCCGCCACTGTGAATTGTATATTTGATTAAGTAATTTTAACGTTGTACTATTTACATATTGCATTCATTAACTTAACGACACTAAAACAAAAAGAGTTGTAAATGTTGTGCATTCATTATATATTAGATAACCATATTATTATTTACCGTAGTCGACTATCGGTATTTTTATGCTGTATATATCTCCGGACGCGCCTCACGCTATGACTATTTATTGGTGTAAATACATTTTAAGAGTATCATATTTTATATTATCCTTTTATCGTTTAATCGGCGGAATTTTAAGACCAGCGCAAAGAGTGCTAATCCACGCAAGGTTTTGAAGCGGGCGCGAAATCAATTTGGGGAAAACTTTTTGGGAGAAACTTGAGAACCGTTGTTTAATTTAAAAGGAAAATTGGGAAATATTCCCAAATGATCATGGTTGGTCTATAGAGGGCGCTGTGACATTATTCAACCAGGGTCTTGTAATGTATACGGCTCTGATAGACTCGTATTTAAAACTAAACTTGTAGCAAAATTAAATTACACAAAAAAAAATCACTCGAATCTTTGTTTTGTCCTTCATTATCACAAATGTGTCAAACAATACTTAAGTTATACAAATGCCAGTTTTGCCAATTCCATGCCAAAATCTAGGATATGAAAGCCCAATTAATAAGCTTTCGTTTAGCACAAGAACCATTCAAATCACTCATGTACTTTTTAAGTTACGGAAATTTTAAACACAACCACCGGTTTAAAGGTCTGTCCACGGATCACAAAAAGGTCAGTGTTCTTTCCAAAACCGAAAACAAGTCACGTAGGGCTCGGGATGTGTGTGAATTGTTTTTGTTTTGCTGAACTGAAGAGAACGCACACTTTTTTGGTGATCCGTGGGCAGAACTTTAAAACGGTGGCTGTGTTTAAAATTTCGCAACTTGAAAAGTACATGAGTGATTTGAATGATTCTTGTACTAAAAGAAAGCTTATTAATTGGGCTTTCATATCCTGGATTTTGAAAGTGCTACATGCAGAACTTGGAAACACTCCCAGGAAAGAATGTTGCAACCTGACGCTACTTGAGCGGTTGTGTGCAAAGTCTATGAGAGTCAAGACAATTTTGTAAGTATTTCCTTACAAAATTGGATATATTTCTCATATATGTCTTATCTTTTTTTGCAATAACTGAACTTTATTGAGATGATATATGAAGACAAAAGCAGCGTCAGGTTGCAACATTCTTTCCGATTCCCATATCTGGCCATCCCTAATGTTTCCCTTCAGCGACCTATCAGCCATAAAATTGATATGTCCTAGTCAAATTAAGCAGGGAAAATATTGAAGTATTTACTGAGAAAACACTTAGACATTTTCAGACCAGTCTCATAGGGTTTGTGCACAGTGTGACAAGTGATGGGCAGATATGGGAATCTTTCCTAACTGAATACATGTAATCCATTTGACTGCCAGAAACTTACCAATCAATCCTTCTTGTCTTGTCTTGATAGGTACTGCACCAACACCCTTCTCATGGGTCACACGGGCAGGGTTGGTTGTGCGCATGGATTTGTTGTTTTGCTGTTTACTTGGTTGACTTGGTTGCTTCTTTCTCACAGATGATGTTGAAGTGTGTGTTGATGGCAGATTTGAAACTTCCTTTTATCCTGAATTGATGTAATCTCTTTAGGCAGATGATACTCCACAGCTTTTTGTATTTCCAATCAAAATAATTCCTGTGGCCAGTGGTGAGTCTTTCGATGATTGTGTACTCCGTGTACGTAATATCAAGGTCAGCGGTCTTCATCGGAGTGGGCAATGAAAGTGGGTCCACAAATGAACTGATCGCAAAACTTCCTTGTGGTTGGTGTTAAATCCTCAATCCTGTACGATCGCATCGATAGCATTTAAATAGGTTTTGCATTCAGCATATTTGCATATAGCTGTAACACAAACATACCTGTACATGTGTAACTCAACCAGAAAGGTTATAAAGATGGCGAGTATGGAGCTACAACCCACCAATGGTGTCTACATGTATGTCTACATGATTGTATGTGTCTGGGCATATTTTCCAGGACAATTGTACTTACGACGCGTCGTGAAGACAAAAGTTGCGCACCATGCAGATGTTAACAATAAGCCATCCAGAAAGGTACAAAACAAGCACATATGGCCGATCCAGTAAGCCCCGCCCACCGCGCACTTGGCAAATTAACACGTGCTCCTCTCCAATGCCACACTGCATTTTCAAGCCGCGCGCATCATACGCGCGTGCACGCACATCGGACTTTTGTGCACGCACGTCGGACTTAAATCACGGCTGTGATTGGTCAGAAAACCATGGGGCGATGCTTAAGTACGACTTTTACACAGCTATCCATTGCTGAACAATGGATCGAATTCATCTCATACCTCAAAGCATTAATAAGAATAGACACTTGTTGTTCCCTTGTAAACCGGACAAATAGGAGGGACGCAGTTTAAATTCGGAGAGACGACTCAAACATTTTCAAATGACAAATCTGCGATGTCTCTATGACCAAATATCTTTCTTAAAAATACTCCGACTCAGACTGGGACCTGAAGGGCTCTGAAACGTGCAAAACTAAATCAGGCCAACTTTACTCACTCTTTGGCCAGCAGATTTCTCCAAAAATTTCACTGGACAAAGAAAAGGTCCTCAGTATTTCACCAACCAAGTTTGCAGACTCAATTCAATTTGTAAAGGAGACTTTTCTTCAATATTTGCACATGAGAGGGAAGTCAAGTGATTTCAATATGAGGCTAAAGACTAGACTGGTACATGTCCAACCATGGTCTAACTATTTGAAAAAGACTGACCTCTTCATTCAGGGGCATTAGTCTGGTGGCTGACCATTGAGAAACGTGTAGAAATAGAGACTAGTTCCCGGTTCATGCCATGCCACGTTTCTTTTGGCACAGTTGATTGATGCAGTACTGAAGCGGTGTTGGACTGGTAGTTTCACGTGCCAGTCTATTTTCTTGTATTGCATGTTTTCAATACCTTCAGTTTTGGGACTCTCATACACAGTATTGAGAGTCCCAAATTTTCGGACTCACTCTGAATGTGTGCCTAATGCCATGCTTGTATCATCAAAGGCAGAATCCCATCACCTTTCTGTCATGATAGTATACAATGTTTACTACAAAATAAGTATCACACTCAAGTTTTGCATTGACTTTATACACGCTTTTTGTATTTATTAAATATTTTTTTTGTAGAAATAGAAAATTCTGAATGCAACATACAACCATGCATAAATGTAGGTGGAGATTAATACAGGCATATACACGGTGACTTGGATCGGTAGCCATACACCAAATAAACTTCATGTAAATGTAAAAAATACAAATGTACATTACCCGATGGCAAATTTGCAAAATCAAATGCGACTTTATTAGAAAGCTAATGTTAAAATGATGATCAAAATGGGGAAGTGTTTGAAATAATCACTGCAAAAAAAATGCACACTAATTTGAGGGGTCATTATTATGAATCTGATCGTCTTATGATGACGTCATTTATAGACCTTTGGGAATGTTGTTAGCTACATTTTGATACCCTGTTTGCTACCAAAGACTGTAAATCGTCCAACATTGACAACGGTTTATGAAAAATGATGCAGTTTGAACATTTGAAAATTTAAAGAGTACGCAAGTGGAAATTGTTGCGTGACAATGTCACATTGCCCGGCCGACACGAATGGCAGGGAATACCGATCCCACAGTGCTTGCATGCTTGGGAGCACGCGAATTGAATTACCCGCGCTTTGTTCGGGCACTGTGCAGTCGATAGGGGCCAATTACGGGCATGTGTGGCTACGCTTACAATTTCTCCTCGCGTAATCTTTAAAATTGCAACTTTTAAAACTGCATCATTTTTCATAAACCTTTGTTAATCTTCGACGATTTACAATCGTTGGTAGCAAACAGGGTATCAAAATGTAGCTAACAACATTCCCCAAAGGTCTATATAAATGACGTCATCATAAGACGATCAGATTCAAAGTTATGAACCCTCAGATGAGTGTGAACATTCTTTTTTAGCAGTGTTTAGTAAGCAATAGGTGGTCATGCGTTCAATTCCCTACCAATAAACGCATTTTTCTCGAAGACTCTTCGGTATACGGTGCCTGTAGACAAATCTGGATACGCGATCACCGTACACTCACGAGACACCTTCAATGAAGTAACCATGTATGCATTGGTTGGCATGGGTGGCTAGTGCGAGTAAGGATGATTAGCCTCCCAAATTATTATTATTATTGTGCATACTATTGTACAAAGCAACTGCCCCGTAACAGATTTTTTGAACAATAGCTAGCACAATGCTTTCGCCATTGAAGGGGGCCTTCGTGATAGAAGTGTAGTGTGCTGGGAATGGTCCACACCATTAGGTGGTTTAAGAGGCAAAAAAAACACATTAAACATTTGATTCACATGATGCAGAATTTCATCAAAATGTGAAAATTAATTTGATAAAGGACTTAGACAAAATGTGAAATTTATGGCAATTGAAAATTTGCATCACTGCAGAAGTACAGCACATCCACAAAATGTGTTGTAACTGTATCCGCATAATTTGAATTTGCATATTTAAATAAGTCAATTTCTACTGTACACTCAAAAAGTTTCAGTTGGTACAATGTTCTCAACGAAACTGATTTTCGTCTTGCTATACTTCAAATCTTGCACGCTTGCTTACAGGTGCGTCTTGTTCAATGTCACTCAGTAATGCTCTGGCCTCCAACGATCCAGATGACCCAAGGTCCGTATCTGATTGGTTGATTTCATCACTGCTGTGTAACAAAGCACCTGATTGGTCAATGGCTGTTGGATCCGTGTCCAACAAGTGTTTCGATTGGCCAATAGCCCCCACAGTTGTTGTGTCGTCTAAGAGCCCCTCTGATTGGCCCAGGGTGCTATGAGCTGCTTCTAACAAGGCGTCTGATTGGGCAGTGTTATCCTCGGCGGGCAGGAGTCTGTCTGATTGGTTATGGCCGTCTTCAGACGATGCGTCGACGGTGAGACCCATCAAGGCATCCGATTGGCTGTTGAGTGTTGGGTCATTCTTTTGAACATCTATCTCCTCTTCCGATTGGTTGAGCCCGGATGTGATTGATTTGGGTTCTTCTAACAAACTGTCTGATTGGTCCATTTCTTCCTGCTCACTAGAAACAATCTGATGCATACATAGAGCATCCTCATCTGACCCGTGAACCTACAGATTGCGATAAATGGAAAATTAAGGGTTACTAAAGCGTTTGAAGAATTTTTGAATTGGTAAAGCAATACATGCCATAACCTTCATGTACATGTACTAAAACCGATCTGAACTCCCCTAATACTCTACAAAAATATTACGCTGCTTGAATTTTCGAACGTTTCAGTTCATTGCGAATAATTTCAGGTTTTCCAAAATGGCTCAAATGACCCGACCATAAATTGCGAACGCAAAACTGAAACAGATATGACCTAAATGAAATGATGGACAAACTGACCCAAAAATTACAAACACAAAACCGACCCGACCCGAAGTCGGTTTCAGGTCGAAGTTTTTGGAGTGAATAGTGTCGTGCAAACCCGACTAGAAATCGACCCGACCCGAAGTCGGTTTCGGGTCGGGTCGGTTTCTAGTCAGGTTTGCATGATACTATTCACTCCAAATTTGGTTTTCCTATTGTGTCCACCATATCTGAAAATGCTTGAAGGGGCATGATTATTGACTCCCAAAAAACAAAGTCTTAACGGTGTCATATTAGTTATCACACAGTTCAAAGCTGAAAACATCTGCACATAAAGGAATTACATTTCAAAATTTTATTTCAGGAGTTCCTAGATCTGGCTAATACTCACCTCCTGGCAATGTTGGTTGATCTGAGAGAGAAGCCTAGCTGTCTCTGGGGTGAGTGAGTCTGAGATGAACGTTGTGCCGTCGCTCAGTTGGGTCTCCACCTGCGAGATGAAACTCCCTCCCTCTAACGACGATAAAAACGAGAAAAACTTTAAGACTGGGCCGTCCCTTTTGGCAAAGAGGCAGTTTTGATGTGAAGCCAATTTGAAAATGTGTCTGACACGTCTGTGTGATTTCACAATAATCAAATAATATCTGCATTTGGCGACTTGAGGGCCTACTTATGCTTCAGAGCTCCCCTAACAAATGAATAATGGAGTTAATTTTAAGAGAGACCTACCCTCACCCCCCCCCCCCTTAAAAGATGACCAAACAAACAAACAGCAAACAAAAACAAGTGCGAGTGCACAGTAAGCTCTGGCTGTCTTCCATGAAAGTCTAAAACGTTGACCAGAGATTGTGCGTACAAGCCCAGGCTGCGCCATCCCACGTGCCCTCGAGGCCTCCCACGGGAAAAATCACGCTGCATTAATCTGTCCCTAAAAATTGACCATAATAAGCCCCCTAAGTCTCCCATAAAATACTGCATTTTTTTTTCGCACAGAATTATAGCCCACTGTATACCCAGGCATGCAACTGGGAATTTAGAAAAAACGAGGAAAACTCCGAACCACAAAAGACTTTGTACAGTGTTTGTCAGTTTGTAATGGCATTCTTGAGAAGTAAAAAAAACGAGGAAATCAGCGGATCCGAGGAAAAGTTGCATGCCTGATACCGCGAGACTAAAACATTGCTGCACATATCTTGCCACCATTGACAAAATTTTCACAAACAACTTCACGAAATGTTACAAACAATGTTTGTGAAGTATTTCATTTCTGTTTTGATTTTCTTTTTTGAAAAGTAAAATTAGGTATTTTATGGGAAACTTAGGGGTCAATTTTGGGTCAATTTTCCGGGGGACAGACCTACCAACCGACCGACCACGGAGTGACATGTAGAAGCCCCTGCCATAGCTTAAAAACAAACAAACAAACAGGAGAAATCTGAATCAGCTTACCGTCGGCATTCTGGGTTAAAGTGACCGTGACTGACTGGGTCTGAGGGCTGATCTTGGAATCATCCTCCTGGTCCTCTGCCGAATCCCACAACTGGTTCCCGAAGGACATCTGAGCTGAGGTCAGTGAGGAGGGTGGGGGCTCCGTAATGGCACGGGCATCGGTAATCTGAGGCAAGCCAGAAGATATATCAATAGGTTGAAGTTCACCCGCCTCTCACAAGCAACTTGTTAATAATGGCCAAAAATAAAATATAGTATAGTTTTCCTCAGTTGAAAATTCGTCAAGAAAACAAAAAATTGAAATTGTTGATGAGGAGGTAAATATTTCATAAGTGGTCTCTACGTGTAAAAAACAAACTTCTCAGAGTTTTTATTTTTGCCATCATGTGTGCACACTCAAAACTTCCTGTTCTATTCATTTCATAAAGATCAAAAATGGAGAAATTACATTCATATGAGCTGGGCAAGAGATTTCAAACTATAAACAACAATGTAAGTCTTAGTTTGTTGAAAAGTGAAGTTTGTTGAAAATAAAAAAAATAACATGAAAGAGTTCAGTGTTCTTCCCATTAACCCAAACTCCCTAGGCCTTTTTTGCTAGGATGTAGCCTCAATCCTGCAAAATCTTCAAATTGGCCTCATGGAAAAAATAGCATATAGCCTTAATCCTGCAAATTTCTCCATTTCTTTCTTGAATATGGTCCATGGAGGGGTGACCACTGCCTGAATCCTGCAAAATCCTGCGGCAGTGACTGTCAATATGTTGAGGCTTGGTCAGTGACATCCTGGAGCAGTACGGACGATTTTATAATCCAGGCCTATGTTTATGCAAGGCTGAGCAAAAACTACACAAGGTCTGGCCCAAGACCTTGACAAAGTGCATCCTACGAAATCAGTAACGCACTTTTGTAGCCTCAACCCTCCAAATTCCTCCACTTTGGCAAAGAGGATTTTGAAGGATTTAGGGCAGTCAGGGTTAATAAGGATTGACCGCCAAGCAATTTTTTTGAGACTGGACTTCAAAACTGCGGGGAGGGAGGGGGGGGGGGCAGACCAGAAAATTCATTGACTTACTGTGATTGGAACAATGGCCTCTAATTCTCCTCTCTCGATCGCTGCTATCGCCAGCAAAACGTGGTTCTTGATGTCGTTGATGGTCGGGAAGTAGAACAGATTGTGCTTCTCGGGGATGCTGGCTCCGGAAAACATGGTGCGGATCACATGGGCCCTGCAGAATGGCAGAAGTATAGATAGGGTAATATGTGCCATCTTACAGCCATGTGGTTGCGAAGGCCGATTTCTAAAGGTTACGTAATACTTTATTTCGAATGAAACATCATGCACACAGACATGCTGATGTTCGTGGGTGAATTCTTCGAAAATCAATTTCTCCCGTTTGGAAGACTGTATCATGCAACTTTCAGGGTTTGTTTCCCTTGTAATGATGCAAAAATGTGCTAAAAATCATTCTGATATGTTCAGTATTTTTCTTTAAAATTGGAAAATTAGACTTGGTAAGTCCATTTTTCAAAGCTGTAACACTAGTGTTTGCAATATCTGACAATCTTTTCAAGCCTCACGAATATTTATGAGGTTCCTATCCATTAGGCCAAAAAAAAAAAGTCTCTGGTTTCTGGTATGCGCGCGCGTCGCCGTAGCCATGCGCGTCGGCAAAATGAAAAAGTTTTTTTTTCAATACAAGATGATGTTTCAAAACCGCCAAACTCACTGGTTTGACTGGAATTCTGCTGCTGCACAATTTTAACGTGTTTTTAGAAGGGGTTATGATCGAGAATAAGATTTGTGTGGCCTCTCTGGACTCCCATATATTTGCACTAAGTTTAGTCGGGCACCATTTGCAGTCATCAGCCGACATTTGAAGCCAAAAAAAAAAAAAAACCAGGTAAAAAAAAAAAAAAAGCCGCGTCGCCGCACCACTTTTGGGCCAAGCTCCATACCAGAAACCGAAGACTTTTTTTTTGGCCTTATGGTGTGCAGTAATAAATTGCACTATCGCCACCTTCACAAATTATTAATTAATTAATTAGCACTTTTGTTGCTTGAAACGAAAATAATGCACAAAATTACAAATGATGGACTCTACCTCTAAGCTTATCTATGTTACCGTGGAGTGTCATGGCCTAGCTGTTAAGAGCACCGGACTCATGTTCTGGTATTTCAGAGGCAACAGTGACGTGGGTTCGAGCCCGGGCCCGGACACTTGTGCCCTTAAGCAAGGCACTTAACCATTATTGCTTCGTCCTTCGGATGGGAAGTTAAGCCGGAAGTCCCGTGTGTTAAGGAGTAACGCACGTAAAAGAACCCAGTAACACTTATCGCTAAGAGAAGGGCGTTTGTCCCGGTGTTTCTGGCCTCCTAGTTATGCTCCCCTGTGGAAGTCCTTAGGAGAAGAACCAACCAAGTACCAAGTAGTACCCAAAGGAACCAAATATAAAGGCCAGGCTGTTTTCTAACCTTAAAATCTGCCTGATGATGTAAGCGTTTATTTCCCCGTTGGCGACTAATTCCTGTATCTTGTCGCAAAGCTCCGGGTGTAACCGGGACCTGGCCGTGGCGTCAAAGTTCACTGGATCCTTCTTGATTTGGTATTCGGGGGTCCGGTGGTACTGGTGGGCAGCGTTGGTCGGAAGCTGAACATAATATCTTTGAAGATTAAGAAAGAAAAAAAAATTATACAGAACTACTTGAGCGATCCTGTACTGGGTCATTCAAACTACTCAGGGAACTTCTCCAAACTGACCTTTCCACCCCTGGGATTTCGTCCACGCCTACTTCTTTCATGACTTGGAACACTTTATCCATTTGTCGCTTGAGGGTCATCTTGTCTGCTTCCAGCGAAACCTCAACCTGGAAGTCTGGAAACTTCCGCACTTTCTTGACGTAAATTCTACCAAAATTGAAAAAAAAAATGACTCAATACATTTCAATAAAGTGAGTTTGGTAAATGTTCATAATTAAAAAAAATTATATATATATATGCCAAAACCAGGCAACTGTCCCATTCAAAGAATAAGAATTTGTTAAGATATCACATAATGAAGACATGTACATCCAATATTCCTATTTCTTCTGTCTATTTTTGTGGAACATTCAACACAATTTTTACAACTTCGCACCGGGATTACTTTTGCCGAAAATTTCGATTTTCGCAAAAGACAACATTTTCCAGCCAACTTCTGATATACAGCCAAACGCCACAAATACTGATTCGCAGGAGTCATTTCAACAGTATTTGTACGATATTTCTTGCCGAAACCTCATATGTTCAATACTTTGAGGTGTGCACTGGAGCGTATATTGTAGAACAATAGGCCGTGCACAACGGCCAATTAAAAATCAACACACGGTCCGCCTCCTCAGACTTCACAGACTTTGTTGTTTTGCCAAGTACGAAAGACAAGAGGGATTAGCGTCACCCGGAGGCGAGTTGAGGCACGCTTGACATTTTTCCCCGTCAGCCGTGCCCGTGTATAAAAACAGCCAATGCGTGTTATCACGTCAGCCGACGCGAACTGGTTAATAAACTTGAGGATATATAATGATAAATGCGAGGGATGTAGCAATACCTTGCAGGGCATGTACAGGCCTCCTTACTAGCTTTCTTGGGACTCTCACTCGCTCTTTTGTGAGGGCCTCCTTTCCGTCGAGGGCCGTACTGACATTCCATGACAATAGCTCGACTCCCTGCAAGTACCATACAAAGAGGAGTCAGTTCAACTGAAGTAGGGCTGTAAATTTTCTGTTGATTTATTTCTTTCTGTCCTTTCATCTTTACCGTATCCCAATAATTTTAGACTCGCCAGCCGGGCTACTCTAGGAATAGTTTGACTAGCCCGCCGCTGTTTTGACTAGCATTTGGCTAGCGGGCTACTGCTAAAGTCGAACCCTGAGAAAAGAAAAGAATTTTCTGTCGGAAGAACGGATAAAGAGAGTTTTTTTCAAAGCATGAATGTCTGTGGTTGTCTTCTCAACTTCTCTCCCTAAATAATTTATATACTGTGTTAATTCTCTGCCCATTTCTGCTTACAAATTACACTGCCATGGACACACAAGGTATCCTACACAATCCTACAAATTCATCAAATAAAATTCAGCCACGGCCAAATCCAATCCGCTGTAGATTTAATGTTGGCCTCTTTTCCTCTAGATTTTCTCTATCACATGAGTTTTACCCAAGGAAATTAAACATTCTCATTAAAAACAGCTTTTTGTCATTGATTTGGTATTATTTATACTTGTCACTCAGCAATTTTTTGTGCTGTAATGAACTTTGACGTTCCATTTTATTGCTCATAAACTGTTGCTTGTGAGAGGACTTGTGACTGGACTTGTGATGGACTTCTGTTGGACTTGATTATAACACTTGCAATTTTTGACAACCAAATGAGTTTGAATATTTGTCAATGTACATGCATTCTTTCATCAGGTACATGTTAACTCTTTTGCCTTGGCAACTCACCCAAATTAAGGAATGGTATCCCATCGTACGGTACGTAGTTGGACTTCCACATGAGACGCTTGGACTCGCGGGCCGTGCTGGGCGACTGTCTGGTACCCCACGTCGTTCCCGTCTGTTGCCTGTGGTAGGTCAGCAAGAATTCCAGCTCCACCTCGCTTTCCACATAGCCCCGGTAGGAATTGCCAATTTCCTGCAAACAAATTGCAGAATTTCATACTGTATGTGAAATTTCATCAGAATTTCATCATTTGGCTGGTAAGCTCATATGGAGATCCTTACGTCCATGTGGAAGAAAGGATCACTTTCTTCCACATATTTTACTCTGTTGGGACTCTGATCTTGCTTGCTCAGCCTTTTGTACAAAAAGTTGTTTATCGCAGAATAATAGTGACTAATGTCATTGACTAACACTAACTTAAAAAAATCCATTGGATGATCTCCTGCTTCTAGTTTACTATTTAATTTCCAAGATTTGCTTCCAGGCCTGTAATTCAAGTAGTCTGAGTATCACCTGTTGTCCCTGCAGCCCTGTCTCTGGTCCAACGTCTGATATATCTAAACATGCAAACTTATGCGACCTACGCCCTAGCCAATCGGAGTCGACTTTACTTAATCGTGACGTCTTTCATTCAGAAGTCCTTAATTGGTCAATTTGGAGGCAGTGTTTGTGTAATACACCAACAGCCGGGCATAGAGATCTATAAAACCTACACATGACACTGGCTCTAAGCTTGGCACATCGCATAACATATCGTTACAGAGCGCCTGACCACATCCTTTGTTTGCTCAATTTACAACGTAAAAGAATAATAGATGTGGTGTCTAGGTTTTATTTGTAGATGTCCATGACGTGACAACAGGTATATAACTGAAGACCCGATACAGAAAGCGCACGCTGAATGGTCACAATCTCGAGGTCAAGACGCAGTCTTTATTGCATAATTAATCGCCGAATCTGCTCGCATATCATAAACCCTTGCTTTGGAAGGGTCTATTGCATAGACTTTAATTTAAAGGGAATGTACATCATTGGCTTTTGCTGTAATTTTCAGAAATGAACTATTTGAGGGGTTAGTATAATAGATCAAATATTGTTTTACTGACATGTTTGAAGTTTTGTGTTCAAAAATGCTGGAAAAACCAAGCAAAACAAAAATGTTCAAGTAGTCTGGCTCCCTGACTCCACTAAAGATGAAATGGATCAATTTATATAGATGCCGGAAAATTGTAAGGTAAGGGAACTAGTCTAGCTGGTCTGCACCCGTTCATGAACATGTAACCAATAGCAAACAAAATTTGGACTGAAAAAATGGTAAATTTGGAGCAGTAGTTCAAAAATAGTTAGGTTTTTCCAACGGTGGTCGGTCGACCATTGTTGGAAATTTATACAAAATACCACTTTTCTTGAAAATGACTTCACACCAGGTGCCATAATTTTACAGGATGATTTAGACTGCCATTTATCAACATCCTAGTAAGGCATTTCGTAAATATTTGATAGTTTTGTTTTACAATGTTTGCAGATGTTGTATATTCCCTTTAAGCCCCAAGGAAAATAATACATGTAGTTGCTCTTTCATGCCTTCCTAAAGGCTGTAATAAGATACTCCAAAGTCTCTTGGAGGACTTGTAAGAATTTGGGGCAAGTTTTAGTTCCAAGTGATTATAATCACCAACCTCACAGTCTTTGAGTCGGGTGGCCCAGGTCGGGCAATTGGGTGGGACCTCTCTCAGCTCCACTACTGCCTGTTTGGGCTGCTCAACGCCAGACCTCCTGGCAGCCTCAGCTGTGGCATCCTGGCCAGTTAAGGAATCTACCGCGATGGCACTGTCTCTTGGAGGTTGGGCACTGGCCGATGTGATGGTGGAATCTAGACACAGGACATGGGAACAAGAGGGTTAGTCTGAGTATCACCTGTTGTCCAACGGAAGCCTCTCGGTCTCCGGTTTAACATCTGATATGCAAATTTCATGCAACCCCGCACGCCAGCCAATTGAAGTCATCATAACATCATTTCTTGACGAATCTGGACTAAGCTGTTGATTGGTCCATTTGGATGTCATGTTTTTGTAATACAACAACGGGCGTAGAGATCTAATAAAACCGACACTGGCTTTCAAAACGGGTTACCGAAGACCCGATATAGAAGGCGCCCGCTGAATGGTCAGAATTTCGAGGTCAAGACGCGGTCTAGTTGCATAATTAATCGCCGAATCTGCTCGCAAGGGGATATTCCATAATCTAGAGGAGGGTTGGCGCAGTGGTAATTTTCTCCAGAGTTGCCGTCCAGTCCTGACGAGCCAATCACCAGTCATGATCCAGCCTCCAAGATATTCAATTGTACATGTTCCATCACAAATGAGTCAGACATGAGTTAAAAAAAAACAACCCAGAGGTTTGAGGCAATTTACCCTGATTTCTTGTTTGGGCAGTTGTGGCCGGCTGATCGATGACGATGTGGAAAACAGAGCCTGCCTTGTCTTCTGTGTCTGCATTTAAGGAAAACTCAATCACACCGGACTCAGGAGCCCAAGAACTCTTGACAATCTCCATTGGCACCACTGGCTGTAAAAAGACAAACATAGTTTTTAAATTCCAAAATTAAGTTTGGTGTTGCCGCCATGGCATAGAACACACTTTTCTTGGTCCAGAAAGCTTTGTTCGTTAGCTTTTCATTGATATATTATTTATATCTCTTCAGTCACGGATGACTGAGCACCATTGATTTCAAAACAGAGGCCAGTAAACCCATGTTTCTAAGTTTGCTGAATAAAATTTAATCATGGAAACATGATATTTCATTTATACTCAAACACTTTCCAGATGTCTTTCTCCCTCCCCATTAAACAAATAATCCACTGCGACTGCAAACTTTTTTGGACAGCTCATTTCACAGTTGACAGCTTCAATCATCACCTATTCAGCAAACTTGGAAACAGGGGTTTATAGAGCCACTCTGATAGCGTTCAAGTTCATAACTTTTACATATTAACCCATTACTTTTGGATAATTACCTTTATTTTGATATACCCTGTAGAGCCTCGCAGAGTTTGGAATATGATGAATAATAGACAGATACAGGGAAAATTCCTACATTTCTTATGTCATGATCTACCATGATTACCTTATCACAACTGGCGTCCCGTTGTTTAGATGCAGATTCTTCTAAGTCGCCTTGTTCATCACCAAGATTAACCTCTGTTGCCATGGCACCAGCCTTAGCAACATCTTCCGTGACGCCCTCTGTTGGGAGGTCCTCACTGACTGCGTTCTTCCCAGGTTTCTGCTCGGTTCCTGTTCCCTTGACCTCAAGATTGACCTTGGCGTCTTCTGAGCTATCCTGCATTTCTTCTTCATTTTCTGCCGATCCATCCTGCTTTGAGTAGTTGACACAGGTAGGCTCCAACCCACCAGTTTCCATGGTGATAAAGATGCGAGACGACAAAATTATGCAGCCTCATTACCTGCAAGCAATTTTTGGTATGAAGCAAAAGGATGATTTTTATTAAACGACTGAAAAAGTAGGCCTACATATGTGCACCAATGTGTATTTTAATAATGACAGAAACCTTCCTCAAACATGAAAGCTCAAGCTTGAAAGTTTTTACCATGTCTATTGTTTAAAAGTAAAAGTGAAGTTTAGGACACCTTAGCCCTAGTCTATGGGCAGTATGGCCCGCACTGCACTGGAGTAGACTCTCCCCAGCAATATGGCAGCATACATGTACACAGTCTACTCTCATGACTCCAGTGCGGGCCACAGACGGAATATACGGAAATACAGTTTTGCCCACCGAGTTGTTAACACATGGAACAGTCTGCCAGAGGAAGTGGTCCAAGCTCCATCTCTCATTTCTTTTAAAAGCAGCCTCAATCATGTTTGGAAATTCCACAGCTGGAAATTCACCCCAAGATATTTATTTCTATACCTCTAGCCCCGTAAATGTGGCCAATTTACTGGACTACATGTACCTCCGTAAATAAAGGCCACACTTCCACCATGTACAAAAACATGTCGAACTTTGTCAAATTTTGATTTTCACAAATAGGCTTAGTTTGAACTTTAGGCTAATCAGAAAGTGCTGCCTTTTTCAGAATCAGATGTCTAATTTTCGTGAAATTTTATGTTGAAATTTTGATACGAAAAAGGTGTGCAAACGAATCTGGAAATTTCACGAAAAATAGACATCTGAAAAAGGCAGTACTTTCTGATTAGCCTATAAAGAGGGTGAGTAGGCCTATGCTTCTAAAGCAAAAATAAACTACAAGTACAAGTACAAGCCTAAGCCTAAATGGGAAAATCAAAATTTGACAAAGTTCGACATGTTTTTGTACATGGTGGAAGTGTGGCTTTTATTATTACGGAAGTAGTCCAGTAAATTGGCCACATTTATGGGGCTATGTTTCAGAAAGTGGCATTTCAGACAAAGGTATTTCGTCTATCAAAGGGCATTTCATGCATTTCCAAAAGCCAGAGTGCTGACCCCCGAAAAATCACCATGCTAGAAAGTAGAAGGCTGACGGAGAGAAGCCTTCTAATTCTAGAAGTAGGGCCATGTTATCTCATCAACTTCATTTCTCTTCTATATTGATTCTATTCTTCAACCACATGCCCTTTTTAAGGGCAAGATTCTCTCCATCCCAGTCCATGCCATGCCTGAAATTTTTCCCTCGTCATCATCGCCATTTTTCATGTTGCTGACCGAATCCAAGGCATCGAAGACCGTCTCGAAATGCGATAAATATTCATCTTTCTGAAAACCGCCAAAGACTACATTTCAAACTAGACACAATGGAATGCAGTAGCTAGTATAGGGAAAGTCGATATGATCAGCAGTTCGAAGATACCCGGCATTTATTTTGAGGATAAACATCTGATAACGAGTCACTTACCTCGTCCTGAAAATCATGTCTGCGTATTATTAATGCGTAGCCGAAAAGAAATAGTCTGGCGCCATTCCTTCACGCATCCGTAAAATACGTTGAAATACTACGTACATGCAGCGCAGGGGTAGGGTTTCAGTCGCTGAGTTTCACACTCACAAAAAGGCAAACGCATGATGGCGCTGTTCATATATTTTTGGGTTTTTTTCCCAAATGTATTTTTCAAGATAATTCAGAAATCACTATATATATTGAAGATTCATTGAAAAAAAGGACGCGACTGTTCACGTCCGAAAAAAACAAGCTCTTAATGGTCTCTTTTCTTTTCTAGTCACATGACTTTTGTACAAGTCATAATAAGGGAGGGTGGCTTAACCCCCGCCCCCCCCCCCAAAAATGTCAAACTTCATGAAGTTCCCTGAATAACATCATTGCTCAATATTGCAAATCTCCAAACTGTCCACCCCCAACCCCAACACCCCCTGAACATTCTTGGAAAAACCCCAGCCAACGTACCCCCTTTGGAAAATCCAAGACTCGCCACTATAAATGCCAAATACACACGTACATGTTGATAAGATACTTATAACATACAGAGTATAATCTACAATCACAGAAGACAGGACTTCATTGAATATGAACAATTTTATTTTCAATATAGAGGGTCAAGTATATGAACTTTGCCAAATCTCAGTCTTACATTCTCTCAAAAGGGAGGAACCTATACAATTCTTTTTCAAGTTATCTGGCCCACTAACGCTGAATTTAGATGTGAACTATTTTGGTGAATCGCTTGTCAGCTTTATACATCATTGATGATTCCAGAATGAAGTTATCAGCATTGAATACAAAATTGACAAATTTCTGATTTCAAACTGGTTGGGGGCCTAGTCGCCTGTAATTGACTGAGCCTCAGGCGAGGGCCATGATCGGCGATTTTCAACCAGACTTTTAAAACTGCTCCACCACACTTTTATTCCCATTTGTATATTCCTTTATTGCCAAAAAGTGTAAAACCGTCCAAAAATTGACAAAAATTCTGACAATCTTTTGTTCCGGCGGAATCATCATGGTTGAACTCAGTGTAAAAATCATAATCCAAAGAAGAAATTATTGCAATTGCTGTGACTTTTTTATGGTATAACACCTCTGAGTGTGTTGGGGTGTACTACACACAATACCAAGATATGTTTGGTTATGTCAAGAAAGCACAACAGATTTTTGAGCAAAAATTACAAATTTGGTATTCATACTAGACTTTTTCAGTACCAGTACACACATTTGTCTAGAAGAGGTGGATCTGTCGCACAACCCAAGGTGCTAAAGGATTGACTCGGTCAAGTAATCCTCTAAACTATCAAACCATTACAAGCAAGTTTAAACCGTTTAAGAATCCCCCTTTCCCAAAAGGTTGTATTTGCCATCAACGTTTTTCACACTGCAAACAATTCAAGTTGCATTCTTGTCTAATTCAATCAATCCATTTTTATTTAAAACAAGTTTTTATTAATTTAAAAACAAGTGACTCTTTTTGTACAGCTAATTCACTATTCTCGAAGCCAAGTGTTTGAGAAACCGGTGTTGTCTGGGGACGGGCGGGTATCATGCGACAGACATCGTCTTCAGGTTGGATATACACTTGTTGAGAATGTCCTTCTCCTGTGAGCAAAACACAAAAACAACTTGATTATTACCTTATCAAATCAGGAATGTTTTGACAGATTTTCAGAGGAAAAAGTGTGGAAATTTTCAAAGGGAAAAGTGTACAGTGCCGTGGCCTCGTGATCTGGAGTATTGAATTCGCGGTCTGTGGGTAATTCTGCAGGTTGTGGGTTCGAGTCCAGCCTGGGGTTATGGTACGTGTGCCCTTAGGAAAGGCACTTTTCTCCACCCGGGAGAACATGGGTACCTGTGAGGGCAGAGATGGTTATTGTCGTTGATTTAAGCTGCTTTGCGCCAAAATGGCAGCATGGAGCTGTATACTCCCCAGGGAGCTGAGATTGTCTTTGGAATGTTTCATTGACCCAATGAGCAGGGTAATAATGATGTAGCGCCTTGAGCACCGATTCTGCTGGATAAGTGCGCTTTATAAAAACACACATTTTAAAATGTGTGCTTATTTATCCTACCTGCTGAGGGGTGATGCTCTTGACGACGTTCTGTTCGATCCAGCGTACCATGTGAGATTGCTCCAGCCGCTTGTGCATGTTGTCCAGCTCAACTTGGTAGTCCTACGACAAACAAAACAAATAAATAAATCGTTTTTGTTTTTTTACCTTAATGCAATGCCACAGTTGTATCCTGCTGCTTTCGGAGACCAGGGACTCTGAGGCAGTTTGGCCTTGAGACTTTTGACCTGATGGATCTTGCTACACTGGGCAGGCTTGTCATTTTAGACAAGTGTTGCATGTTGCTGCTTTTGGCAGGGTTTCTAGCCAAAATACCCTGGAGGGGTAGGGTAGTCCCACATGTGTGTCTCTTTTACTATTTTAAAATTACTTTGTTAAAGCATGGTGGCAAATTTTGATGCATGGCGGGTGCCTCAGAAAGCATGGCCATATTTTTATAGGTTGTAGAACACGAAGATGACATTAGTCAATGATTTTGGTTTTGTTTTTCCCCCTTAAAGGGAATGTACATCATTGGCTTTTGCTGTAATTTTCAGAAATGAACTATTTGAGGGGTTAGTATAATAGATAAAATATTGTTAACACTGACATGTTAGAAGTTTTGTGTTCGAAAATGCTGAAAAAAAACCAAGAAAAACAAAAATGTTGAAGTAGTCTGGTTCCTTGACTCCGCTAAAGATAAAATGGATCAATTTATAAATGCCGGAAAATTGTAAGGTAAGGGAACCAGTCTAGCTGGCCTGCACCCGTTCATGAACATGTAACCAATAGCAAACAAAATTTGGACTGAAAAAAGTGTAAAGTTGGAGCAGTAGTTGAAAAATAGTTAGGTTTTTCAACAGTGGTCGGCCGACCACCGTTGGAAATGTATACAAAATACCATTTTCTTGAAAATGACTTCACACCAGGTGCCATAATTTTACAGGCTGCTTTAGACTGTCATTTACCAACATCCTAGTAAGGTATTTCGTAAAAACTTGGTAATTTTATTTTTCGATGTTTGCAAATGTTATATATTCCCTTTAAACTCACCAGTCTCTTCTTGACCTCTTCGTTGACCTTGTTCAACCTTTCTTGGTACTCTATCTCCATCTGCATGGCTACATTTTCCTTGAGTGTAAATTTGGAGATAAAAGAATTACATCTTAACAAATTATTCATAACTACTTGAGACAATTTACTCATCCCTATTGATGAAGAACCCGACATTAACAGCCGTTTAAAACACCAGTCAGCGCTGTTTAAAACTGGTCGTGTGACACTGCGCTCTGCGTCATATGCGTGAGAACCACTTACATGATCTCCATTTAAGGAGAATGACATATTGAGCTAGCCATGCATCCCGACGCACACCTAAGAAGTGGCCTGAACATTGAATAAAATTGTTGAACAAAACATTGTCGGAATGTCATCAATTTGTTGTCAGTTTTAAAATTTTGGGAAATAAAGGAATTTATTTTCCTTTTTGGAGGCCGCCTCCAAAAAAAAAAAAAAAACACCCAAAAAATGATAAATTCTAAACAGTTGCATCTAGCCCATATAAAGCTGGTATGTCATTTCCTGAGTCCAAGTGGAGGCCATTTAAAAAAAAGCCCGGTCGGGCGGCCATATTGGAGGGAAAAAAGAAAAAAGGGCCTCCTCCTTCCTTTTTTTTTAAAAAAAGGCAGGACGCTAAACATGTTTTTCTTTTCTTGGCCTAATGGTAAGTAGAGTCAAAATATTCATGTTAAACATGTTCCATGTATTTTATTAACGCTAAATACAAGAAAAAGTTAGCTTTTCGAGGTGAAAATTTTTTCTTTCTTAATTTAAACAGCATGCGGCTTCAAAAAAAAAAAAAAAATGGCGGGGACGATTACATTTTTTTTTTTACTTGGCCAAATAGCTCTTCCCCAAGTATCGGCGACTAGGCCCCTAACCAGTTTTAAACCAGATAGTTATCACAAATTGGTCACAATCCTGAAACAAATAGGTTTATTGCAGATAAACTTTTCCCCCAATTTATCTCGGGATATCTATTGAGATCACCCCTTACTTTCCGGGCATCAAAGAGGTAATGGCGGCCTTCCAGTCTCCACTGTTCTTTCTTCTCTTCCTCCACCGCGTTGCTCAGGACAGACATAGTCTCAGCTTTGTCCGTGTTTGCCTGGTCAAGTTGCGCCTGTGTGTCAAAAATATAAGAATGAATGAACGGATCAAGGAATTACACAAGAGAACAAGTTATAGTCAACCTTGAAGTCTGAAAATTGGATGAAAGGTCTGAAAATTGCATTTCTTTCTATAATGATATCTTTTCTCTCAGATTGAATGAAGTATTTCTTTGTTATTCAAAAAGTATGATTTCTGATTAACGCTCTTGCTGTCTGAACAGTCACAGACAGTCAAAAAGACTGAGACCTGATCAAAGGCAAAGTTCACCACCAGGCGTGTTCAACACGGCGGAGCTCTCATAATCAGCGTTTTCGAAACGACGGGCCTTGGCTTCGTCTTAATGACATTTTAGGCCCCGACTTCGGGGACTCCAGCTACATTTTGGTGCCTGTTATGCTTCAGGAACATTCAATCGGTTGATATGAAGACAAAAGTTGGAATACTTTTGTTTAGTTTGCCTCTCAGTGATTCAGAGGGAGGAGGCGAAGCCGAAACCGAAGCTGAAGCAAAGGTTTCGAAAAGCCCCCTAGACCTTTATCATCCTGCCACCATTTCAGTCATGTTTCCTGTCTCCAATAACAGTACCGAATGATAATTTTTTGTGTGCAAAAAAGGAACCAGACTATTTTTCCTTCCAGCTGCTTTGGTAACGTTGATTTGAATGCGGACAAAAATCAAGATGGCCGCAACATGATAATGGTCTATTGTTATTCAGGCCACTCACGGTTCCTTGAATATTTACCTGGATTTTCTTGTCGCTCCAGGCGGCAATGCCCGGTCCAAACTTCTTGATTCCGTAGACCAGTAACGTCAAAGCCACGAAAGCGTGGACAGTCTCCGGGCCCATTATGTAGATCTCTTTGTTGAGAAGGTACATGATCAATCCTCCTCCGAACACATATGGTCCTAGGGGAAAGAAAATTAAAATGAGTCTCACATGTCAAATATTTAATATCCTACCCTAACGTACCTGAATCCATCAAAATCCACACTCCTGTTTTGGAGGATTTCGGCAGATTCAGGATACCTCCGTATTGAAAATGTTGGGGGATTTTGATGGATTCGGGACAGTAAGCCTAGCGGCACTGCAGGACTTTGATGGATTCAGGATCTCAACAGGGCCTACTCAACACTTTACATTTTGTAACTCCTTGGCTACATGTTTGGGGTGTAGGAGGTATACGTACTACACTGGTGGATTCTGATGGACTCACTGGTGGATTCTGATGGACTCAGGACACCAACTTTTTGTTTGCATGACAAAATCGGTGGATTTTGGCAGATTCGGGATACTTTCTAATAAACACCAGATTCAAGGAGTTGAGGTTAACCGTAACTTTCCTCAATCCTCCTCAATCCTATAGGTGGTTTTGGAGGATTTTGGAGGATTGAACTTTGGCCAAAAAGTGTCAGTTGATTTTGGAGGATGCTGTAGTGGTACGCTGTACTCTGAATGTTTAGCCATGCATACTTGAGCCCTGCATTATGCTTGATATCATCTGCACTGCTTCTGAATGTCACTCAATGTCACCGGCACTGCCTCAACCCATTAACAGTGATTGTTGGAGGATTTCGCCCCTTTGGGTAGGATCCATCCTCAATCCTGCTAAATTCTCTAGCATATGTGATGCAATCAAGCTAAATGAGTCGTTTGTCGACCCTGGTCAATTTTATTTTTTACAGATTTGAAAACAGCACAATCTCAGCATTACTGCTGTGAAAACCGCGTGCTGATACCATCTTTAGTTAAAAAATTATGGAAGTCTGAACATCAAGAGATGTGATGAAGTGATGTGATGAAGTGGCCCTAGTTTGGCCTGTATCTCCTAATGAAATTTCCCGACAAACTACTCATTTAGCTTGATTGCATCACATATAGCCTCAATCCTCCAAATTCCCCCACTTTGGCAAAGAGGATTTGGAAGGATTCAGGGCGGTTAGGGTTAACGGTCGGGTGATCGGGTGCCCAGTTCCGATGCACAGCCCTAGTTCAAGACCTGCAAACATACCTGTGACGCCGGTTTTCTTCTCGAAGAACTTGAACCACTCCTCTGGGACTAAGCCAAGGCGTAGCTGGCCGCCATACTCTGGGAGCTTCTTGGGCATGAGCTGCTGCTGGCTGGTGTGGAACAGAAGCTTGGGGGCTGCGGCCACACTGTGGAACATTCCAAGCAAATGTTGAGTACAATCATAGTCTAGACAGTGCCTCAACATATCATGCAAGTATCAAGTCAGAGAACAGCCAGCGTGTGATAGTCCTTACGATCTGTCACCAAATGGTTCGTATTTCTATTCAAATGGGACAGAAAAAACGATGTGCACTTACCAGGGGGTGGCAGTTCGCAGCACCGCTGCTGATAAAATGGAACCTGCAAGGGCAAAGAATATCACAGATTTAGGATCCATCGGTACATGATACATCGATATTACTTGATTACTCTCAATGTGATATTGATAGATCGTCGATATCATTTTTTAAAAATCATATTGAAAATCAAAAATTCAATATGAGCAAATAATATCAGAAAAAAAAGATAGCCGATGTGTCTCTGTGTGAGGGAACGTGGTTGGACCACTGAAAAACAAAGCAAATAAAAATGTTTGTAAAAAAAAATATCTGTAAAATGCAAAAAAACACCACCACCCAACGAGATACCGAAGCAATGTTTTTGCAAGGAAGGAATTCCCCTGTCATGCCTGTCCAGTAATGGTACACTCCTCGCATGCGCAGTAGTTTAGTAAGTATGTCTGTATGTAGATCTCGGCTTTTCTTGAACAAGATGGCGGCCAATACTAAATCATCAAACTCATCGTACTTTTTTTTTTTCGTAGGCTAGTTTTTGCTTAAAAAACCCTTTTGTAAACAATTCTAACTTAGTTAGGCCTACGTTAAAAATTTTATGCAGAAACTGAGAAAGCCGCAAAGCGTTCGTTTTTATGGGTGTCGGACGCTTCGCCCCATTTCCACGTCGCCCCATGTCACTTCGCCCCTAACCACTTCGCCCCATCCCCACTTCGCCCCATCCCCACATCGCCCCATCTCCGCTTCGCCCCATCCCCACTTCGCCCCATCCCCGCTTCGCCCCATCCCCACTTCGCCCCATCCCCACTTCGCCCCAGTAGTATGAAAAAGGTGAAGGCTCGGGGTGCAGACCAAATAAAACTGCCAAAGACCCCAGATAATAAATGCTCCCAATTCTAGAAACTTAAGAAAAAAACAAACTCTTTGATGAGGTGCTCGAGACACAGATGAGAGAAATGATGGCTCTATCCCATTCAGAGACGCCTCTCCTATTGGCTCGACAGGCTTGTGAATAAAATCATCAGCCGCTGGATTCAAAAGAATCCGTAGGTATGGGTCAGTGAGTTAAAAGGAACTCACTGCCTTGAGGAAAATGTTCCGTCAAAATTTGTCTGATATGTGACACTTACAACTTCATTTAGATGAGATTGGTTACTCCAACAGTGAAATTAGGATGTCAAAGGTATTGTCGTTCTCAGATAAGTGGGAGACGGGTTGGTACAGCCGGGTTGGGAACAAAGTTTGATCTTTTACTTTAAGCTTTTTTCTCGGTAGGGGAAGAGCCTATAGCTTGAGAGGTTGGTTATGAATTGTTCATTTGGTGATGGGCTAATTCTTTCCGTTGGTTAGCAATTAGTGAATCTGTTGAAATTGTTTTTTAAGCCAAAAAAAAAGATGAGATTTTTTTTTTTGCATGTAACGGCTGGGGCGAAGTGGGGGTGGGGCGAAGTGGGGATGGGGCGAAGTGGGAATGGGGCGAAGTTGGAATGGGGCGAAGTGGGGATGGGGCGATGTGGGAATGGGGCGATGTGGGGATGGGGCGAAGTGGTTAGGGGCGAAGTGACATGGGGCGACGTGGAAATGGGGCGAAGTGTCCGACATTCGTTTTTATAATTTCTAATTTGTTGCCCCTCGGCTGACGACTCGACTGTTGACGCCTAGCCTGTTGACGCCAGTTGACGCTTGTTCAACTTGTTCAAGTTGTTGACGCATTTGACAAGTTTGAGGACCCGATGTTAGTGCTAGAACACATGGGGTGCCTTTTCTAGTTACTACTTCAAGAAGTAATTAATTGTGTTCACCCAAGTTTGCCCTTAACCGGTAACCACTTTGCCCCATTGCAATTTCGCCCCATCGCTTCTTTGCCCCATTACCGATGACACGGCGTTCTGACATGGGGCTTGGGGCGAAGTGACTGAACTGTAGTCTGTAGCTTAGGCGGCCCAAGTTACCGGCCCTTTTTAAACATCATTTTGCAAGTCTTGGTCATCAATATGAAAACATAAATTTCAAATGTGCACGACACAATATTTGAGGAAAGTAATACACAACAATATAATTAGAAAAAGAGTACCATTTCTTAAGGCAAGTCGAGAAATCATCGTGATAATCTTTGCTCGTACTCCGAGCCTTTCGACCGGCGACTACAACACAAGATGGCGCTGAGTGTAGTGTGACGAATTCTGATTGGCGTACTATGAATGAAACAAATGGGCAATCATTTGCAGTTTTGTTGTCTAAAATTGGTAAAATAAAATAATAGAAGAAATAAATTTTAAATGTTCATTCTTCAAAGTGTTTTAAAATTATTAATGCATTTGTACAATTGTTATTTAAAGTGTTTTACTGCTTTTGGGCATATTCATTTTGACCAATAGAAAGTAAGATTTAATAGTGTGGCCCCTGGTAGCAATTTTTTTTTCTGTACCACATATTCGCTATGAGTTATTTTCTTTCAAAAGAGGGCGCGCTACACAAACAGTAGTGGTGGTCAATAAACTTGCGGAAAACTCATGCCGCCGATAGTCTTAAAAAAAAATAGCTCCATGGTCTAATGATCGCCATTTATAATTAGCTTCTTGTCACTGATAATACTTAAAAAAAAAAAATCAAAAACGGAAGCCTTCAAAAAGTGGCTCGTCTGCTTCATCCGAAATTTAAACTGAATCTAATGTGAAAAACAAACATTAGAAACAAACGAGTTTCTCCATACGATATCTTTACCTTTTAATAAATGATCAACTTCAAATATATCTGTGTAATATCACTTTTTTAAAAATGCGACAATAATTTTTTAAAGAATGTTAGAAATATATACACACCATAATTCATTGATCCATTTACAACTTCAAATACAGGGCGAGTCAAAAAAACGAAACCCAAATGTCGGGACTATTTTTTTATTGAAATTCTGCATGTAGCACTTTAAAAATTTAGGATATGAAAGCCCAATTCATAAGCTTTCTTTTAATACAAGAATCATTCAAATCACTCACGTACTTTTCAAGTTACGGAATTTTAAACACAACCATCGTTTTAAGGTTCTGTCCACGGATCACAAAAAAACGGCGTGCGTTCTTTCAGCAAAACGCAAACAATTCACACACATCCCCCTATGTTATTTGTTTTCGTTTTGCTGAAAGAACACTTACCTTCTTGTGAACACTACTTTTTTAGTGGTTGTGTTTAAACTTCCGTAACTTGAAAAGTACATGAGTGATTTGAATGATTCTTGTACTAAAAGAAAGCTTATGAATTGGGCTTTCATATCCTAGATTTTAAAAATTCTACATGCAGAACTGCCCTAAAACAATGGTCCCAACATTTGGTGTTTTTTTTACACACCCTGTATATCTGTGTAACATCAATTTAAAAATAAAATACGAAAATCAATTTTAAACAATGTTCAAAATATATACACACCAGAATTGTACAAAACAAAATCGAAACTTTTTTTTAACAATTTCTTCCCCATGAACGGTCTAAAAAAAAAAAATATAAAAAAATCCTTAAAATTTGCATCCAATCTTTTTTTTTTGAAGTTTGATAAGAATGGAAAGTTTGAAATTTGAAATGAAGACAGAAATCGGCAGAAAAAAAAACGGACAGAAAACGTAAATTGGATGTAACATTTTTTTTTAACTTGGCCTAAAAAATACACTACAAATATTTCTACCTATTTGTATATTAACCACACACTGCATTCCTTACTGTTGCGACTTTGCGTTTAATTTGGTAAACGTTTAGCAAATATTTTAAATACCGTTTAAACGCTCAGTAGAAATTTCAGAAAGGCCGACTCCTGCCCAGTGCCTATTTTATGCCTGACCAATGTAATTGACATGATAATCAAAGATTGACATAATGTATAGCGGGTAAAGGATGAAAAAGTAAAAACTGAACTCATGTACCCCGAATATATTTAAAAACTACTTTGCTTCTACGGTTACCGTATACATGTACTTTAAATTATTTATGCTATACACTCAGGGTGACTCAAAAAAGGAACTTGAAACATTTGCCTTTTTTTTTCGGTCCTTCTGATTTGAGGCGTGCGATCGCACCCCCACGCCATCACACGCCTAAAAGCTTCCCGAGAAGTGCTAATAATCGCACGCCTGAATCCCTCTGTACCGCACACCTCGGCATACATTTACAGCATAATTATACATCTGTGAGCTCTTGAAATGGCTTTACTGAAAATTAAGATGACTATTATAAAAAAAAATACTAGATTGTTCAGTCCCAGTTTGGACCACAGAATCACACACCCAGAAAAATCCAGGTGTACCTTTTTCCACACGCCTGTGATTTTCAAATCAGAAAGACTCTGTGATGTGTTTTTTTTTGTATCAGATTACAGCTGAGAGTTTTTTCTTTCAAATACTGAAAGGTAATGCCATTGGAATGGACCAAAAAAGGAGTTGTGTTACATAATTGGCATTTTCTCAGCAACCCAATGTGCAGTTTTCATGATTTTTTCAGTAATTGAAAGAAACTCTCAGCTTTAATCTGATATCCAAAACATAAAAATTCACTTTACAGGGAATGTACAACATTTGCCTTTGCTGCAATTTTTGGAGAATTAGTATGTTATAGCAAATATATTGTTAAACTGACTTGTTTCACTTTTTGGGCTTGTGGATGCTGGAAAAACCAAGAAAACCAATCATGCTCTTGTAGTCTGGTTCCCTGACCCCACTTAAGATGAAACGAAGCAACTTATAGACATTGGTAAATTGTAAGGTCAGAGAATCAGTCTAGATGGCTTGTACCCCTACACAGGTGTGTAATCAATTGCAAAGAAAATGCGGAATAACTAAATACGAACAATTTGGAGCAGTTTTTTAGAACAGCCAGTTTTTTCCAACGCTGGTCGGCTGACCAGCGTTGGAAAAAAACATTTTTTCTTGAAAATGTCAGCACACCAGGAGCCACGATTTTACAGGATGCTTGTCACTAACTCTCATTCCCTAACAATCCAGTAAGGTATTTTGTGATAATTTGATCATTTTGTTTTTTGACATTTGCAAATGTTGTATCTTCCCTTTAATCAATTATTAAATTATGTACAGTTTTTTCTTTGTTAACTTGTTAACGGCAGCAATGGGTTGAGCGGGCCCCCAACCCCATGCTGTAATTTTTGGCAACCACTTTTTTGGGGGACCTAAATTTGTTTTGGCCCCCCCCCAAAATTGTGTTTTTGATCCGCCCTTGTACGCAAGACCACGGGCGTCATAATTGGGGAAGTGCAAGGCCCCCCCCCCCCCCCCCCGGAAAACAGAAAAAAAAAGAAACAAAAAGAGAGGAAAAAATAAAAAAAAGACTAAAAAGAGGTGCGAAGTCATATTGCCGTTAATTTGATGGGGGGGGGGGGAGGGGTAGGGCAAATGCTCCCCTGCTCACGCTCGGAAAAATGATAAATTGAGAATATTATGAAAAAGTTCAGGAATTTTGGGGAAAATTTGCTTTGCCCCACCCCCCCGGAAAAAATACTGGCGACGCCCACGCGTAAGACCCCCAATCACACCGTCTTTTTATATTCTTTGCCTTGCTACAATGAATACATGTCAGCATCATTAAAATATGGTTTACTTATTTGTATCACTACAATATGTAAGCATGAATTGAAATAAACAAACAAACAAACACTCCAAAAAGATACAAATGTGTAACTTATATCACCACCTGTTCCTTTAGAAATTGATCTAAGTTTATGTACAGCTTAAAAGCAAAAACTTGGCTTTATGATGAAACAAACAATGGTTGCTGCCTCTTCGCTCACTTCAATATGCGCTTGAATAGGATTCATCTATGCAATGTGTCCTCAATGGCGTATCCAGAAGGGGGTGGGGGTGGGGGGCAGAGGGGGCACTTTGCTTCCCTGGCAGATTTTTTCCCACAAAATTTTTCAGCAATTATTTATATAACTGGTTACAGAGGTCTGACATCAATCCCAAAAAGAAAACCCGCTAAAAAGCCATTACGATACACCTTGAAAATGGGTATATAATTTGCAGTATGCAAAATAATAGTCAGTTTTGAAGAGCGCCCCCACTTCGAAGGTGGGTCTTACCCCCCCCCCCCCCACCCTGATTTTACGGAGGCCAAGTGCCCAGAGAACAAACATGTCAACATTTCTGCGCGGATGTGCAGTTGCCCCCCCCCCCCCCCCGACATCCAAAGCTTGATACGCTACTGTGTGTCCCAGTATATTTGTTGGCGGTCATTTATTGCTGAGCGACGTAGGCGTACTCATCCCCATAGTCGGTCGGCCTGTATAACAAGAAAGAAAGAACGGAAGAAAACAATTAATACTCTCAGAAGGTCAATCTAAAAGCTGCATAGGACAAATAAAATGTATTCTACTTCTGCGACACAGCCGCATCAAAATGCGGCTTTATTTTTCTTGTTTCACTAGCCTACCATGTTTGTCCCCCTTACCTTTATACATTCACATTAATTTGAGGCCAAATCGTCCCCCAGAAAAACCCTTGAACCGCAACGACTCGTTACAATACATACTGGTCTACGGGTCAACCTTTTGTCCTTTTATCCATTTATCCATTTTTCTAAGGATTTCACTTGTGGGGTACCATTTTTCTAAAGGTTTCACTTGTGAGGCACCATTTTTTCTAAAGATTTCACTTTGTGGGGTACCATTTTTCTAAAGGTTTCACTTGTGGGGTACCATTTTTCTAAAATATCACTTGTGGGGTACCATTTTTCTAAAGATTTCACTTGTGGGGTACCATTTTTCTAGAGATTTCACTTGTGGGGTACCATTTTTCTAAAGCTTTCTCTTGTGGAGTACCATTTTTCTAAAGATTTCACTTGTGGGGTACCATTCTTCTAAAGATTTCACTTGTGGGGTACCATTTTTCTAAAGATTTCACTTGTGGGGTACCATTTTTTCTAAGGATTTTACTTGTGGGGTATCATTTTTCTAAAGATTTCACTTGTGGGGTACCATTTTTCTAAAGATTTCACTTGTGGGGTACCATTTTTCTGAAGATTTTCTTTTTTACGGTACCATTTTTCTAAAGATTTCACTTGTGGGGTACCATTTTCTAAAGGTTTCACTCTGTGGGGTACCGTTTTTCTAATGTTTCACTTGTGGGGTACCGTTTTTCTAAAGATTTCACTTGTGCGGTACCATTTTTCTAAAGGTTTCACTTTGTGGGGTACCATTTTTCTAAAGATTTCACTTGTGGGGTACCATTTTTCTAAAGATTTCACTTGTGGGGTACCGTTTTTCTAAAGGTTTCACTTGTGGGGTACCATTTTTCTAAAGATTTCACTTGTGAAGTTCCATTTTTCTAAAGATTTCATTTGTGGGGTACCATTCTTCTAAAGATTTCACTTGTGGGGTACCATTTTACTAAAGATGTCACTTTTGGGGTACCATTTTTCTAAAGATTTCACTTGTGGGGTACCAATTTTTCTAAAGATTTCACTTGCGGAGTACCATTATCTAAAGATTTCACTTGTGGAGTACCATTTTTCGAAAGATTTCACTTGTGGGGTACCATTCTCCTAAAGCTTTCACTTGTGGGGTACCATTTTTCTAAAGATTTCACTTGTGGGGTACCATTTTTTCTAAGGATTTTACTTGTGGGGTATCATTTTTCTAAAGATTTCACTTGTGGGGTACCATTTTTCTGAAGATTTCACTTTTGGGGTACCATTTTTCTGTAGACTTCACTTTTAGGGTACCATTTTTCTAAAGATTTCACTTGTGGGGTACCATTTTTCTAAAGGTTTCACTTTGTGGGGTACCGTTTTTCTAATGATTTCACTTGTGGGGTACCATTTTTCTAAAGATTTCATTTGTGGGGTACCATTTTTCTAAAGATTTCACTTGTGGGGTACCATTTTTCTAAAGATTTCACTTGTAGGGTACCGTTCCCCTTGTACAAGTACCCTATGAGTGGGCCTGGTCAGTACGGTCATACAGAATGTAGGACTAGTAAGACTCTCTCCCAAAACTTTGTGTAGGCGACACAGAAAGTGAACGAGGGCAAAACCTAATTTGATGAACAAGGGTTAAAACAATCTGCTTAATCTTACGGTTTCATAGCCACCATAGGTACACTCTTCCCTTTCTTCTGTCCTCTTGCTTCCCGGTCAGCCATTTGGTCAGCGACAGCAGCGTTTTCGTAGCGACGCTCGTCAACGTCAACCTTGACTGGGACTCTGGGCGTGGCTGGCTTGGCCACTGTTGGTATGGCCCTTTCGTAGCCGGCAGCGGTGTTCATGGCAGCCTATCAATATGCAAAATCAAAATGGGAATTATTAGGGTAAAAAAAAAAAAGTCTCCGGTTTCTGGTTTGCGCGTGCGTCGCCGTAGCCATGCGTGTTGGCAAAATGAACAGTTTTTTTTCAATGTAAGATGTCTCAAAACTGCCAAACTCACTGGTTTGACTGGAAATCTGCTGCTGCACGTGTTTTTAGACGGGGTTACGATCGAGTATAAGCTTTATGTGGCCTCTCTGGACTCCCATATATTTTGCACTAAATTTAGTCAGGCCCCATTTGCAGTCATCAGCCGGCATTTGAAGAGAAAAACAGTAAAAAAAAAAAAAGCTGCGTCGCCGCACCACTTTTTGGGCAAGCTCCATACCAGAAACCGGAAAGTTTTGGGGGGCATTTTAAATGGTTTATTTAATTGTACTCCCTGCCGCCAGTGGCAGATTTGTAAATACAATTTACATTAGAACACACATACATATTAGTTAATACATACATTAAATAAGGGGGGAAAATAAAGAGCTGAATACAAATTCAGAGAAAAAAACATTGGTCACGAAACTTAACAGTAAAATAAGCCAGAATAACAAATAGGGAATGGGACGGAGATACCCAGTAGGTGAAAGGAAAATTAAGGAGAGCAAATAGGGTGAATAGCATATACATGCTGGAGATTTGTATATAATTACAATTACAATATTACTAAAGATCATCTGTAAAAAAAAAAAGAAAAAAAAAAAAAAGAGAAAGAAAAAGGGCGACATGTGCAAATCTGATTTTTCGTCACTGCTTGATGTGCTTGCATGATGAGCAAATAGGCCTACCTTCAGTTTTCGATACTTGCGGCAAGTGACGACGATACCTATGATCAGAAGAAGAGCCACCACACCAAGTCCGACTCCCAATGCTATCGCTATGATGTTAACTACAAAACAGTAACAAAGAAAACAGACTTTTTTTTAATTAGCTGCATAAATTAACAGAATTGAGACTCTGAAGGAAATTTTTTTTTGAGTTTTAAGGGGATCAAAGCTTCATCTGCAACATCAGACGACATCTGTAGAAAAAAAAGTAGGGGGAAAAAAAAACCCGTGTCGCCACACCACTTTTGGGGCAAGCTCCATGCCAGAAACCGGAGACTTTTTTTTTAGCTTAAAAGGTGCACGCCTGTAAATAGGCCAAAAATCCATCCGCCAAGCTCATGAATAAAAGTAATACCCTCAAATTATTCTATATTAGAGAGTTTTAAGAGTCATAAAATTGGGGAATTGAACAGATATGGTAATGAACCTCCGGCCCGGACTTGGGGTTTCCAATTCTGAGCACTTTGGATGCTATTGGGCTCGAAAGTGGCGCTATTTTGCAATGTTGTGGAGGGATCGTTTTTCAAGATGGCTACTTTTCCGCTTTGAGGAAAATAGGGGTCGTCTACTTTGGGTGAGAATATCTCAAAAAGTGAATGGTCAACCCACAAAAAAATGAAAAGAAAATGAAAGATGACACATTGATCATCATTTTTCTGTGCAGCTTGAATACCTGTGAGAGTTCTGAGTATTTTTAAAAGATTTTGAAGTATGCGCATTTAGCACTAGTGTCTATGGGAATTTATTTGCAGGGTTGCACCCTTAATGCAACTCTGGATTGCCAATCTGAACTTTCCGTCAACTGTACGTACGGGGTGGTGACGGTGATGGTTTTGTCACTCCAGTTGTCACCATCAGTGTCATGGGAAGGCTCTTCACGTCATCGTAGACGGATACAACCCTCAGGAAGTACTCAGTCATTGCAGTCAGGGAGGAGAAGGTGTGGCTAAATTCAAAGCAACAAAATGAAAGAAGTGGATACATGCATCTTGGCCTCCTTTCAGTTTGTAAACATGTTTACATGCCAAAACATTTTTAGCATGATTTCCTGGGCTGAAATTCGGACTTAATATCCCTTACATAAAATACTTCAATTTGCGACGGATCAACCCACCTTGAAAATTCCTAGTTTTTGAGTAAAATCCATATATCTATCTCGTGATAACCTTGTGGAGACTTTTTCATCTATAGAAATTGCCCTGTGGAGACGTATACAATCTTTTGTTCTGTATTATGCACATGTCTCCACAGGGTACACTGTAACAGATCACGTGTTTACTCGCTAAACACATTTTTTGTAGGCCAGGCATTTATCTACACAGAGGCAATTACGGTACCTTTGTTCCATGGTCAAGTTAACCTCTCTTGGAAAATTCCTCATAACTCTGTCACAAATTATCAGATTTGGACGTTTGATGTCTCATTTTAAAGTGGAAAGGTGTATCTCTCAAACCATACCTATATTATCTCTGTTGGTTACACATTCTACGCATGGCATTCCGTTATATTTTGCTTGCATTTTTCAACACTCACTGTATAGGTGCCACTATTTAAGGCACATAGGATTGCTTAGGCCAAAAAAAAAAGTCTCCGGTTTCTGGTATGCGCGCGCGTCGCTATAGCCATGCGCGTCGGCAAAATGAAAAAGTTTTTTTTTCAATACAAGATGATGTCTCAAAACCGCCAAACTCACTGGTTTGACTAGAATCCTGCTGCTGCACAATTTTAACGTGTTTTTAGATGCGGTTATGATCGAGAATAAGCTTTATGTGGCCTCTCTGGACTCCCATATATTTGCACTAAGTTTAGTCGGGCACCATTTGCAGTCATCAGCCGACATTTGAAGCCAAAAAAAAAAAAAAACAGGCAAAAAAAACAAAAAAGCCGCGTCGCCGCAACACCTTTGGGGCAAGCTCCATACCAGAAACCGGAGACTTTTTTTTTTTGGCCTTAGCATGCGTTTTGTTTGTTTCCAATGACAACACCACTCAAAATCCGGTGTCACTGCTGGTGGTGGCGCTGTTTTAAATCAAGATAAACTGAATATGATTGCTCTCAACCTGTTGAACAGTTTGCATAAATTAAACATGATGAATTTGTCAAACTATTAAACAGTTTTTAACCTGAATATATTGGCTATTAAAAGTCAACCAATCAGATGACAAGGATTTATACAGGTGTTATATAAAACAAATAATGAATGTTTCACGTTCGTGCAATGGAAAGAATAATTTCATTCGGTGACAGGTGGAATGGAACATTTCATCTGTCACCTCATGAAATTATTCTTACCATTGCACTCACAAACATTCATTACTTGTATACTGTCACACACCATAGAGATATATATCATACCTGGTTCCAGAGACCTCCACTGGTTCGGTACTATCTCCCGGGGAGATATACACTTCATAAGACTCCACATCGCCCTCTGTTGGTGGATCCCACTCAAGGGTGAGAGAATTGTTCAGTACTTCTGTGGGGCGGACATTGCTCGGGGGTCCTGGCTCTGAAATACACGTTGAATTCAGTCAATTTTTAAGACCTTTACAATTTTTAAGACCGTCGTGATTTTGTTAATCCATCACTAGATAGAAATCCACTTCCAAATCCTTTTCCTTTTTCTTTTTTTTATTTTATTTTTTTATAAATATGATGACAATTGTGGTTTATTGCACATTTTGATTTTTTATTCTTTATAAGATGTCATATTGTCTGCAGCATAGACATCGTCATTTTCTAAGGCCAAAAAAATAGTAGGTCTCTGGTCAGCGCACGCATCAATTTTAATCACAAGCGTCAATCTTTTTTTTTTCCAAAATGTTCCGTGGTAGCCCCAACAGCGCCCTCTATTGCCGCACCTCAATTTTTTTTTACCAAAGCGCACCAGGGAATGGGAAATTGCACTAAGGCAAATGATCGCGGGCACCAAGGCAAATTATGGAGGACACCAATGTACACAAGGACACCAAAAAAAGGCAAAATAGTACCTCACCTTGTCTGTACAATCCAAGCTTGAAAAAAAAAGCCGCGTCGCCACATCAATTCCGGAACTTTGGTCTGACCAGAGACCGAGTATTCTTTTTTTTGCCTAATAGTAGGTACATGTAAAATCTCCTATTATCTATATTCATAAATCCCTAAAAGACAATTTACCAATCTTATTGGTCGAGAGCCTGTCACGTGGGCGGTCCTAAATGGACGATAAAGACATTCTGATTGGTGTTAAACACTTTTCGGTGTCGCAAGAAATTTGGACTCCTTTGAAATCAAGTGCCTTTTACCGTTTTATTGGTTGAACGTTCACAATCCTCACGTAGTCATGGGCTTCAGTATTTCATAGTCCTAAACTCACAACGCACTCACCACAGCTGCTTTTGCGCGTCATCGCGCAGTACACGCAACACAATCTCCATAAAAGGAGTTGTTTACATCTTACTCGCGAGCTGGTCACTCCATTTTATAGCTAGAGGGGTGTTTCGAAAACAGAAAGTAAAACTGTTGAACAAAATCGTTGGAAATTCTAAGTTTTTGACTTGTTTTGGCTTTTGGACAGAAAAGTTTGATTTTTTGGCCGAAAAGGTATTTATGAATGGGAATAAAAATATGCTTGGTCGATATTAAGCATTATGTTTAAGACTGGTTGGAGTCTGGAATGCTGATAATTACCCTCGGCTTCGCCTCGGATAATTATCAGCATTCCAAGTTTAATTAAAGACATACACCGGCATTTAAGTAAAAGTTCAAAATGCCTAGATACATGACAGGCACAATGGGTAAACTGTCCCACGTATTTATGAATAATTGGGTTGGTTAACAATCCGTCACTTACTGGTTTTCACGGATGTGCTGAGGGACAGCCCAAAATTATTGATAAGTCTGATCTGGTACTCCGTGTTGGGCTCGAGTCCCGTAAACTCAGCCTGTGTGCCACTGAATGCAGTTAGATAGTTCTCCTCTGCATCCTCTGGTTCAATGTACAGCATGTGTGGTTCGTTCGATGGTGACTGATTCGACTTCCAGTAGACTCGGACAGTCGACTCGGTGCTTAATGCCAAAAGTTTGGACTCCTCTTGATAATCTGATATGAGGCACCAAAAAATAAATAAAACAAATACCGAATAAAAAACAAAGCAGTGGAAATTGTATGGTATGCAGGGTGATGAAAACGAAAGTGACCAGTATAAATGTTTTTGTTTTCCAAAAGAAACTATTTTTGATAGACCAAGGAAGCATGTATTATTACGAGCATGTTCTTTTACTCATGCGAGAAACGGAATTGCTTGAATTGATCCATGCTATCAGAATTATACCAACAAGATCGTGAGTTCAATGCGCCCGACCATGAGGACACGGAACTTACAGCTTGTGAGTTCATCGGGTTTATTAAGCTGAGCAACTTTCTCGGCAAGCTACAAAAATTGAAAATCTACCTTGGAAACTGACTGATTTTCCACGACCGCTGCTAATTTTTCTCATATCTCCTGATCCAACCACAGCATATACGTTCACCCAAATATTAGGAAAGACATTGTCCAAGAGTATCTTATCCGTCGTCTTGGTCACATAGCCTGAATGATGTCCTGCACTTGTTATCCGGTACTGTTCCACGTTTTGCAGGCTGACTCGTGGCCATGTCACTTCCACCGAAGTGGTAGATCTAGTGCCTGGGACCACTTCTATAGTTCCTGGCATATCTGGCACTGAAAACAAAAGACCAAGTGCGAGTGCACAATAAGATCAAGCGAAAAATGCAATCCAATGGCACATAATAATAAGGTGTATTTACGTACGCACATGTCCACCAACAGTGCTCAAGGCGCTACATCATTATTACCCTGCTCATTGCGCCGATGAAACATTCCAAATACCATCTCAGCTCCCTGGGGAGTATACAGCTTGATGCAGCCTGTAAGGCGCAAGCAAGCTTATTCAATCACAATAACCATCTCTGCCCTCAAAGGCACCCATTTACTCCTGGGCGGAGAGAAGCAATGAGTGAACAAAGTGCCTTGCCCAAGGGCACACACACCATGACCTCATGACATATGGAACACCATCCTTTTAGTCAATTTTTAATATATATTTCCTCCAATTCTGAAAAGTGTCCTACCACGTACCACACAAAATACCATGTGACTATAACATTACTGCACATATCTTAATTGCCTCCGTTCACAACATTTTCACAAACAACGTACTTTATGAATTGTCAAAATTTGTAGACTAGAGTGTGTGCCATTTGCTCAATTTTTTTGTGCAATATCTTTGGTCAGTTTTTTCGGCAGCCGACAAACCCACCAACCAACACCAGAGTGACTTGTAGCTGAAGCTTGATCCTGCCAAAGCTGAAAAATGGACCTGACAGCACTGAATTTCGGGGGAGGATGCACTGTTTTGATGCTGGTGGCGCCATTTACACCTCTATTATACTACTTGCAAATGGGCCACATAAATATCACCACTGTCAAATTGTGGGACTAAAAAAACTAAGTGACAACCGCTGGGGGGGGGGGGAGGGGCTCAAGCCCCCTGAGCCCCCCGCCCCCTACCACCCCCCCCCCCCCCCTGGGTGCACCACTGTTCCAGGCAAGCTACAAAAAGGAGACACTGCAATAGTCAGAATCACTGACAACTTCTTTGAATTGAAATCGGTGTATGCACAGTGGGCATGAAGATTAAGATTGAATTATAAAGTCAAGGCAGCAGTCATACGTACTTGTCCACTGCTGCATTGTTCCGATGAGCTGACGCGATTGACCCACCACAGCTTCCACCTTGATCGTGTACAGTTCACCCGGAGAAAACTGCTTCTTGAACTCATGTCTAATGTAGGTGCTGTCCGCATTGGGAACGATGTCCTGCAGTGCTTCAGATTCACCCTTTGGATTATTGAAAAGACAAACACTCCTCTAGTGACGGTAGTCAATTTTCTGGGGTGAACCAATGGTTCTAAGGGTGCAGACCAGCACATAGGCCCCAAAATTGCCTGCACCGGCCAATTCACCATTTGCATGCCCTGAAATTCTCCAGTATTAGAGTATTTTGATGGCCGTGAAAAAGCAAGGAAAGCAAGCTCTCAGTGGACTGTAAAGCTACTTGGAAATTTTAACTGCAATATCCACGCTGACTCTTTCATAATTATTCACAACAATTTCTATTTACAACTTTACACACATTGTCTCGGACTTAGAGTCTTGTTTTAATGTATTTTTTATGGCATAAAATTGGCTCAGAAACTGACACTTCTTATTTTGCGATGACCACTCAGACACGTTGTATCTTGCGACGTGTTTTAAGCCCATGTCAAGGAACTTACGATGAGTTCAACGCAAGCTTCGTGAAATGGATCATACGACGCGTCGTACAATTGCGACGTGTTACACGTCGTAACTCGGGTTGCAATGTGTCGCAGCGCTTTGTGAAATTGGGTGCAGGTCAGGGAAAGTTATCCATGCACCCATAAGTTGGTAGCGAAAATGTCGAAAATTAAAATATAATTGAAAACGATACACACCTGACTTCCTTTCCAGGCCGATATGATGTACTCGCTCACCGTCGGGTCCTGTGACCTAGTCCATGCAACATTGAAGCAAGGAGTCGGTTGACATGTTCCAAAAGTCTCAGAAACCTCTTGCGGTGGTTGAACTGCGTGCAAGATGGGAGAAAGAGCAAACACTTCAATAAAATAATGGACACTTTCGAGGTTTTGGCAGACCCAATTTTACACAAGTCAATATTACTCACAAAAAACTAATCAACTCTGATTGCATTAATAATAATACCGGAGTCTTATATAGCGCACGAATCTACCAACAACTAGGTATCCAAGGCGCTGAAAATTATGTCTATCATTAAAGACGGGTAAATGAAGTTTATGAGAAATATGAGACCCACTATAGCACCTTATAATGATTTGTAAGGTGCTGTGGCGCAAAATTCCGTTGTAATTTGACTTGATGACATTGAGAAATGAACATCGTAAATTGCTATCGTGTTACCTATCACAGCCCTATCCGGCTCGGCAACTATGATAAAATTTTCCCACACGTGCTGAGAGTTTTCCCGACGAGTTCCGTCCCGTCCGAGCATGCTCTGATGAGCACAAAAAACTTGCTTCGTGGCAATAACTGCTTATTAGTTTTGTTCTAAGAACAAACAGGTCCTTTTACTGTGCCAAACTTATGAAGTCGTAATTATTTTTAGCAACAAGCTGACAAGCAGCTACCGTAAAAAAATAACAACTTTTCAATTCTCGACTCCATGATGAATTCTCATTCAGTGGACGGATCCATTTTGTAAAGGGGTGTTTCACCCTCTTTTGGGAGATTACATCGTTTTTCGAATATATTTTTAATGAAAAAAAAATATATTGCAAAAATTACAAACTTATTCTGAACATGGGAAAGGTTTCTGACTCCATAATTCTGATACGGTGAAAAAAAACCCAAAAATACTGGTGAATTTTGCAGAGGAAGGCACATCCTTCACCGAAATTGGTTTGGTCCAAACGTACTACGTCACGCTGGAACACGGCTCGCAGCAGGGCCAAATACACTGACCACACTGGATGAATTACATGCTAAGAGCACGGCACTTTTCATTGAGAAAATCGCAAGGCGCGAATGATTTTTTTCAAAGCGCATCGGCCCGATATCCTATTGTATGCCTTGCTAGAGTAAGAACACTGCAAATAATGAAGATGAATGCGGTGACTTGTCAACACGGTAAATTCAATCATCTGTGCGTTTTATTTTTGCCCTTTCATTGCAAGCATTAGCATTCCTAGCACCGAACCGACATTTGGGTTCGGTTCGGTTCGGTTCGGAAGGCCAAGTTTGGGTATTTTTAGTTTGGTTCGGTAGTTCGGCTGCAGCACTAATCAAAGATATAGTCCATAATTTGTGCATTTTGTTCGTTTGAAGCAACAAAAGTGTTCAAAATCTAATGAAGGATACTGAACAACTAACCTGATGAAGTTTCAGCTCAGCTTCAGCTGTATATTCTGAGAAAAACAGCATTCTAGGATCTCAATTTCAAATCAAAAGTTGCTGAATCATGTTTTGAATTGGGCCTGAATTCAGCATCCAAGACACGTTCTCACTGAGCCGGTTGCAGCTATACGCGATGTAGCGCACTGATCCGACGAATTATAGCAAACCGCACGCGCGTGTGCGTCGTGCCAATGCTTGCGCGCTTCGCCGAATAACAAAACGAACTACTAATTTAAATTTTCCTACGGTGCGTCTTAAGACGCACCGTTGGAAAGGCCCTCTTTCGTTGATTACTTTAAAATGACTGCTTGCCAGCAAGACTAATTTCACAGGGAGTTTAGTCCCCTTACTATCTCTCAACCAACTATGTTTTTCAACAATAATTACGCTAGTTACTTTTCGGATGGCTGCAAATGATGGACTATAGCTTTAAAGTCAGTCAGTCAATGAGTGAGTCAGTCAATCAGTCAGGCGCATTGAGGACGACAGGCCTGGCCCTCCGGGCCACCAAAAAAAAAAAAAAAAAAATACATGTACTTCAAAAAAATACATAAGACAGCCCACTTACATTCAACGGCAACGCTGAATGAACAAATCTTTGTGTTGCCGGCCATGTCCGTTGCATTGTAGGTAACATCTGTGATGCCTACGGGAAACTCGTCCCCGGAGCTGTGTGACGATTCCACCATGGGTGCAACGCCGTCATCATCCTCGGCCGACGGTTCGTCCCAAGTGACCCGGACAGAAAGTGTCGGGAGTGTCCAGCTGATCTCGGTACTGTCGATGGTCTTGTTTATCGTACCAGTGGGGCATGAGGTGAAAACCGGGGGATTTCCGTCTGGGTAAAGAAAATAGTTTATTTGCAGTCAATTTGCATTTTCAAATTAGGTTTTGCCCTTCACCGACATTTAAACACTGTATACTCATTGTGTTAACTCCCGAGTGAAAGTTGGAAAAAATCATGCGGGTGGGACTCGAACCCACGACCTCCTGCTTACTAGTGCAGATGTCTTACCACTCGACCACCGAGCTAACGGGATCGGTTGGCTGGTTCGAATCTGATGTACATAGCAGCGTGTTGTGATGTCGTGATGCTTGTAGTTTTGAAGATTTCATACACTGCACATTGTAGGGGAATTAATGCACATTTGAGAAATCATTATAGTCATGTACGTACCAAGAATGGTCACCTGAAATGAGCACGTAGCATCGTTTCCAGCTGCATCTCGGGCGGTGCACGTCACAACAGTGGTGCCCAGGCTGAAGACCGTGTTGCTGTCTGGTCTGCTGCATACCCTGCTTGCCACCCCCACGCTATCAGATGTTTGTATGTTCCACGGAATATCCCGAGTTTCTTCTCCATTAGTAGTACGTTCGGTTTGGTTACCCGGGCACGTAATTGTTGGTGGTACATCATCTATGGCCGCAAGAATTACAATGATACCTATCTTAAAATTGTAAACCCGTGCGCTTCAAACTGTGGAATTTTTTTTCTCCTAAGGAATCTTAAATTTGTATGTTTTGTTTGAACCAAAACAAAAAACCCCTTTATTCCGATTTTGGGTGTCGTCACCTTCTGAAAAAAAAAGGATTTCATTTTGTGCACATATGAATTGCAAGAGCCTTTATATATTCTGACATCCAATAACTCAATTCGGGCGATTCACAATGCAGTGCGCCACCAAGAGTTTGCCACGAAGAGTTCATTTTTTCCAGTGCATTGTGGGAGATGGTCGACAAATTCGCAGCGCGGGACATTTGAAATTGTTCATTTTTTCGGTCAGTAGATTCGTAAGCGTATGATTCGAAGATCTGTTTGCCCTATTCTTTTCTTGTTATTAATATGGTGTTTTTTGGTAAGGTGCCAGAACGTAAATGCCCCAATCTATAACGAATAAGCTCAAGTTTTCTACTGACACTCATTCAAATGGGCCATGTTTTGTCGACCGTAAACTTTAAAAATGGACTCTCCATGGCAAACTCTTGGTGGCGCACTGCATTGTGAATCGCCCGAATTTAAGACGTGAATGTAGCCTTTGGATTTTTTTGTTTGATGTCTCATTCAAAGTGAATAACTTTTACACTGCTAGAAAGATAGCAATTAAAAATAACAAATCTGTTTTTGAGGTGAAACTAAAAAATAGCACGGGAAAGGATGTAAGGGAATATCACTTTTGGTTAGCACCTCAGCCCAATGTCATAAATGTCATAGCGCTGCTTAACAGCCAATGTTGTGCTTACCGAGTGTCCATCTATTTCAAGGAGACTGTTAGCAGTAAGCACAGCAAAAGCAAATTGCATTTATTATATCAGTGACGTAACAACAGAAATCTCCATGCGCGCACAACCGTAAGCATTTCCATGCCATGAAATAGTGCTTAAGCAGCAGCATGATTATCTTGTTTGTTTGTTTCAGAATTCCGTGCTTACCATCACCATTTTGTGCTAACCGTGCTAGCAGAAAAATTCTGTGCTAACCCTGTAAGCACAGAATCCTTAGTTACTGGATGTACGCATGCGCAGAAGCCAAAATTCCTTGTTAACCCGTGAAATACGCTTTAATACCGTAAGCACGGAATTTTCTGCTACAGTAAGCAGGGATTTTTCACTAAGGCCAAAAAAAAAAAATATTCGGTCTCTGGTCAGACCAAAGTTCCGGAATTGACGCGGCCACGCGGCTTTTTTTTTTTTTTGGGCTTTTTTTTTTTCTTCTTCAAGCTTGGAAGGTGGGGTACTATTTTGCTTTTTTAGTGTCCTCATGTACATTGGTGTCCTCCATAATTTGCCTTGGTGCTTTTGATCATTTCCCTTGGTGCAATTTCCCATTCCTTGGTGCTCTTTGGTAAAAATTTTGAGGAGGTGCGGAAATAGAGGTGCGCTGTTGGAGCTACCGCAGAATATTTTGGAAAAAAAAAAAAATCGACTCGCATGATTAAAATCGACGCGCGCGCTGACCAGAGACCGACTTATTTTTTTTTTTGGCCTAACAGTAAGCAGAGCTATGAAATTGGGCACAGATGTGCTTGTATATAACTATACTGCAATACAAAAAAAAAACCATACATGTACATATTCCGATTGATTTGATACTGTACATAATGCTGGATATGCACTACATGGAGTTTGCACATTAGCTTAAAAGATGCAGACACTATGTGAATGGGTGTAGACATTCTTGACTTTTATGACATAACTCAAGGTACACACAGCAAATAAAACTATAGCATCTGGGTATCACACATTTTCCCATATTTAAGGCTATTTAACATCATACCCGTGAGAGTGACTCGGAATGTGCATGTGGCGGTATTGCCAGCGTCATCTACTGCAGTGCACGTCACAGTCTTAGCCGAGCCCACGAAAGTCTTGAAAGACGAACCGCTCGCAGGACTGCAACTGCTGCTTGCTACCCCAACGTTGTCGAGGGCAGTGACGGAGTTCCACGAGACCGAGAATCTATCATCCACACTGAGTTGTCTGGAGATGTCATTGGGACATGTAATCCTGGGGTCTTCATTGTCTGGGGAAGAAGACTCAAGATAATAATTTCATATGACAAAACTAGTACAGAGAATCATCTCGCGATAGTGTAACGTGTGCACGCAATTGATCAGCGTCTGCGAGTTTATAGCCAAGCCCCTTAGACAACCCTAAAGAATTTTGTATGCTATATTTTGTTCATCTCAGATGTTGCGGTGCTCACATCACTTTATTTGGCTTTGTTGGGACTTAGTGAGAAACTTGTGGAAATTTAGTAGAAATTGAAAAATAAATTGACCAACGAAATGGGCATTTCCACGGTTGCTCACGTTACATTTTTGACCTACATTTGAGTTTCCTTGGGCTGTAATTACCTGACTGAAAAGGTTTAATTACTGTTATCCCCACGTTACATTTTTGTCACGTGAGTAACCAATTTTGTGCGTCTTGTTTATCATACATAACACATTTTTCTGGATGTCATCTTTGGTGCTTAGGTAGGTCTAGGTCTACTCTATCTACCATGGGCATAACAATTATTAAACCGCAAGGTAATTACAGCCCAAGGAAACTCAAAAGATCATCAAAAATGTAATGTGAGTAACCGTGGAATTGCCCAAATGATAAATTGTTGGAGTAATAAAAAAGAAGTAAACACGACAGGCTACACTCGTTTGTACCTTGCCTGCGTGAATCATGACACCAGAAAAATAAGGGCAGGGGGATATACAAGTTAAATACAATAAAGGCAACCCAGACGTAAATCTACATGAAAATTATAAAAATCTCTAATAAATATTTTCAAATAAGTTAATGTGAAACGCCAATGTGTCCTCTTTCCAATGATACCTTGATTGTGTGTCTGTGGCCACGGATGACTGAGTATTCGTTGTTATTCTGTCAAGGGTCAAAACCTGTACTGGGCCAAGTTTTACCCGGCTAAGATTGCTAACTGGTTTGTTATGCAAGGTTTGAAATGGACTACACTTCGTGCAGAGCTTTGTGTGGAAAGAGGTGGTGGCCACGTTGAAAGCATTGGGCCATGAGTGGTTAACTTAACAATGAGAGTGGTTAAATCACACAGTCAAAATTGAAGTGTTTTAAGGAAAAGGATGTCTTCTTTCTTTGAATTAAGCCGTTCAACATGCCCAAAATACCAGTTACCCTTTTGCACAAATTTGGCCAAGAGCAAGGTTTGACCCATGACAGAAAAACAACAAATTCGCAGTAATTCCTGGCCACAGACACACAATCAAGGTATTATTAGAAAGAGGACACATTGGCGTTTCACATGATCTTTATTTTATAAGAACATATTTATTTGAGTTTTTTTAATTTAAAGGGAAAATACAACATTTGCAAACATCAAAAAATAAAACTACCAAATCATTTTGAAATACCTTGCTGGACTGTTAGTGAATGACAGTGTAAAGCATCCTGTAAAATCATGGCACCTGGTATACTGATCGGCCGATCAGCGTTGGAAAAAAATGGCTTTTTTTCAAATAGGCCTACTGGCCCCAGTTGACCATCGCACTTGTTTGCAATCGATTACACACCTATGAACGGGTACAAGCCAGCTAGACTAGTTCCCTGACCTTACAATTCCCCAATATATGTAAACTGCTCTGTTTCTTCTTAAGTCAGGGAACCAGACTACAGGAAAATGATTGTTTTTCTTGTTTTTTAGGGCCTATAGCATTTTCGAACCCAAAACCTCAAAAAAGTAAGTGTAACTATATTTGCTATATATTTCCAACCCCCAAATTCCATCCATTTCTGAAAATTACAGCAAAAGCAAATGATGTATATTCCCTTTAAATAATTTACATTAGGGTTTCCTTTTTTTTTTACACACCCTGTGTATAAACGCTAATTGTTTAAAATTGTGAAAAGTGGAAAGCCAATTTCAGAGATAGATATTGATGTGTGTTAAAAATCTGAACTTCTGACTACTGAGAATCAAACTAGTAGTGAGGCAACTAGAACACAGCAGACATACCTGTTACAGTGACTGTGAACGTGCAGTTTGTATCATCGTTGACATCAGTGCAAAACACGGTGTGTACTCCAACCTGCCACCTGCAGAAATGGCAATTTTGATTCACTTCCTAAATTACAATCAATTTCGAGAGATTCATGAATGTCGCAGCTACAATAATCCCATGGGCCAGGGGACAATTAACTTCCCACGTTCCAAAGCAGGAATTATTAGCAGATTAGGCCATTCAAAATTGATTTTTAGGTTTTCATCACTCAGATTGAAAAAAAAATCAGTCGGGAGGGGAATTTATATTTATATTATTTAAATCCCAAATGTTCACATCCAATTTCCAAAGTGATTTGAGGGGGTCGAAGTCCGATGTATATGGTACTAAATCTAAAATGAAAATTTAAATCAAAATGAAAAATTAATTCCTTTGGTACATCACTATTTGCGAAGGGGAAATGCCGGACCAACACAGTGCGTATCGCACGGTAACTAACATAGTGCGTGGACTGCCTTGTGGAATGGCCCAATGTACCACCGGCGATAAGCCCAGTGTGGCCGCGGTATGCTGCGCTGAGCCTCAGCGCAGCATACAGCGGCCACACTAGTGTGGCTAGCCGGCGGTAAGACTAAACAAAGCACATCCCAGACTAGTTCCCACTAACATACAGCCCCATAAATGTGGCAAATTTATTGGACTACCTCCGTAACATAGGGGGTTTTCGAAACCTTTGCTTCGGCTTCGGCTTCGCCTCCTACTTCTGAATCAACTGAGACTAGGCAAACTAAACGAAATTATTCCAACTTTTGTCTTCATATCAACATATCAACCGATTGAATGTTCATGAAGCATAGCAGGCGGAGTAATTGCAGAATACCCCGCCACTCGGAAATACACCCCTAAAATCACTGGCTACGAGGTTGGAATCACTGCAAAAGAAACAATTCAAGTCCATTGCCAGCTACGCGGATACTGAGTGGGGGTCCATTATTTGAGAACGAAGCAACACAAAATGAATGGGAGTTGCTGAAATTTTTTTTAAGTCCAAACCAACCACCCTGTTGGCGGCTACGACTACGAGGCTACGGAGTGGGAGTCCCCTTGAATATGCTTGAGAACGAAGCAACACAAAAGGAATGGGAGTTGCTGAAAAAATTCTAAGTCCAAACCAACTACCCTGTTGGCGGCTACGCAGTCACGAAGTTGGAGTGCAATGGAGCATGACGCATAGTACATACAAGTAGCGCTGAGAATGTTTATTGAGGTCAATCAGCCGTGACCTCGTAGCCGGCTACGAGGTGGATAGATCGAGTGGCGGGGTATTCTGCAATTGTGCCTAGCAGGCACCAAAATGTAGCTGGAGTCCCCGAAGTCGGGGCCTAAAATGTCATTAAGCCGAAGACGAAGCCAAAGCCAGTCGTTTCGAAAACGCTCATAGGCCACACTTCCAGCTCCATGGGCATAGCTAGCCCCATAAATGTGGCCTATTTACTGGACTGCCTCCGTAAACATAGGCCTCACATCCACATGTACAAAAATCGTGTCGACTTTGCCAAATTTTGATTTTCACATTTAGGCTTAGTTTGTAGGGTTTTTTTGCTTTAGAAGCATACTCACCCTCTTTATAGGCTAGTCAGAAAGTGCTGCCTTTTTCAGATGTCTAATTTTTGTGAAATTTCATGTTGAAATTTTGATACGCAAACGTGTAAAAATGAATCTGGAAATTTCACGAAAAATATACATCTGAAAAAGGCAGCACTTTCTGATTAGCCTATAAAGAGGGTGAGTATGCTTCTAAAGCAAAAAACCGTTTTCCTTGCTCCATGTACAAACTAAGCCTAAATGTGAAAATCAAAATTTGGCTCCGTCGACACGATTTTTGTACATGTGGATGTGTGGCCTATGTTTACGGAGGCAGTCCAGTAAATAGGCCACATTTATGGGGCTAACCGCGGCCACACTAGTGGGGCTAACTAACATACAGCCCCATAAATGTGGCCAATTTACTTGACTACCTCCGTAACATAATACATGTCATAGGCGGCATTAGGCCGCACTCAAGTTCCAGCTCCATGGGCCTACATGTAGCTAAAATTAAGCTAGGCCCTACTCGGACAAACGTAATACAACTAGTATCAGTACAAGTCACAGTCGACTATTTTTGGAGGCGGGGACGTCAATTGTCAACGTCATGACGATCCCTCAATAACTTATCCAAGTGCTTACAAGTTTTACTAGTTAAGTTACCCACATTTTCAAAATGCCCCGTGTAGGCTAATTAATCTAATAGTAATAAATATATCGATACATACTCTGTCATGTCTGTGGAATCAGGCAAACAAAAATCCCTCCAAGATCGGCCATGCCATGAACAGCGCCACCTATAGTCAGGTGGATCCCAGTATGACATGAGGACCTCCTAAATAAAGTTCACTTCAGTCTGTTATTGTATGTACATCTCCCATAAGATTTGTGTGCACGCAATTATTGTCATCCCCAAACCCCCATTGTCCCATGGAGAAACTAGAACGCATGTTCTTATTCCTCCATGATTGTCCCAAGTCCTTATAGTCGTAAAGGATTTATAACAAGATCACACCAACACACTGACACAGTTTTACAAGTGAGAAAGCGCCCGGGCGCGCTGGTCCAACTGAAGAGCGAACCTCATGCATGTTTTTATCTTAATCCGTGATGAAGTTTCTTTCCTTTGGGGGAGGGGGGGGGGGGGGCACGAGACAGGATATAGGCCTACTATCCGTCACGAAGTCTCATTCAAAGCACGGAAGAAAGAATCCTCAATGTTCAATAAAAAATAAAAACGCCTTAATTCTCCTCCTTTTTTTTTTTTTTCAAAAACCCGGACGAAAAACATGTTTTTTTATTCAACCTAATATAGAAGTATACTTGAGACACATCTAAAGGAATCGAATGGTGACATTTTAATAATCACACATCTCTCGCCTGTTCTGGGCTAAATCGGAAGGAGTCCACAAACTTATAAGGAAAACGAATTGTTTTATTAATTTGTAAGCCTACCCTCAAGTGGACCAAAAACCCTCAATCATAAATCAAAATCGGTGAACAATTCCTAATAAGCTACGTAGTAAATCTGTACAAGCTGTAAGATTGCTTGTTGCATGTGCATTGAGTGTAGTGAACAAGCTCGAGCGAAATATCTCGGAAGCTGCGAACCAAGTCATGTTCATGTTTGAGTCACGTGATTGAGCATTGTAATTTCTGGAAGTAGTGTTTTGAGTATTTAATTCAGGTTTTTGACCCAGTGACCTCATGGTGACCTTTGAGCCCAGTTTGTTCATGCGACATGTTGGGGCTGGCTACCGATTTGACAAAGTTTGGTTGAAATCGGTCAAACAATGTATAGGACAAAAGGAGCAATAGACAATGTCAACATGTGTTACTAAATGACGGAGTCGAGAAAAACCGATGATTTGTTAAGCTGCTATATATCCTGCAGCTAAGCCACCAATAAAACTACATGTATAGCTTTTTCCCTGGACGAACCTGTGAGTTTGAAATGAACAATTACCCATTGGATTAAAAAATTAGAGCCGTCACTTACCTGGGAGGAGTCGTATTGTTGCAAGCCAAGCCAGTAGTAGTGATTGCGGCGTTGGAGTATGCCTGCCCAGAAGTTGTGACTAATGTCCGGTCAGATGGACATGCAGCGGCGGAAACAACTGCAAAATGGAATGTTACCAAGCAAGTAGATGTTTGTTCCGTTTGAATGTGTAACTTTATTCCCAGCCTTGAACAAGTGAGAGTTGGGGGTGGGGGGTTGTCAGGGAGGAAAATCCCCAACTCCCGCCGTCATCTTACCGATTGGGTTTGTTGCCAGATGTAAAATATTAACCATGTTTTTCCTGACATGGGGCCGGGCCCTTCTAACATATCTGATATGCGCAAACGGTACTGCCCTGAACTGCCGCGCCGAAGTTTGAATCTTTGGTTTGAATATTTAAAAGTTAATATTTAGGCCTATACATGTCGCTTTTCATTTAAATAATTGCCTGGAGACATTTTCATTATTGAAAGACGGAAGAGAATCATTATCGTAATCTATATGAAGAAGTGGTAATTAATTGTTTCTCACTTCGGAATTTCAAACAATTTACTCATAATTTGTCATGTAGCCTAACTCCCTTACCCCTTCAGCGGATATGTTTGTTATGCAGAGTGAGTAAAAAAACCCACCAAATTCCACAAAATTAAAAAAAAATATGTAGCATCAAGAATAACAATGACTGGAAAGACAGTTTCAGAAACTACTTTTAGATGAACAAATTACTGAAAGTGCTCAATCCATTCAAAGAATATCACCATTTAAACGCAACGACCCTAAAATCTGTCTAGTCCAAACAAACCCCCAACAATTTATTGTGTCGTTCTTACTGTTTGAAACATTAAAGAATGACACAGAATACTTGTTTCAACAACTGTCAACAACTTATTATGCGCAATATTAAAGATAAACAAACTTTTAGGATATTAATAGATTAACAACCTTGCTTATTATAGGCAAACAATTCGATTTATAAAATCCACCAGGTTGTTTTTTTTTAAGACGGGCCTTCAAAAGAGACTTTGTTGAATTAGTTTAACTTTTAAATTGAGGTTTTTATCGCTGGTGACGACTGTGACGACACTTCTTGAAATCTCATTTTTGACTAAAGAGGTGTTACGGTTGGGTTTAAATGGTGATATTTTATGAACGGATTGATCAATTTCGGTATTTTTTTCATCTAAAAGTAGCTTCTGAAATTGGCTTCCCAGTCATTATTTTTTTTTGAAATATGAAATATAATTTTTGATCACTTGTGGGTGCAACCCTGCATTACAATTCTCATAGACACTAAAGTGCTAAATGCCCATACTTCAAAATTCTTTTAAACAATACTCAGGTATTCAAGCTGCACCGAAAAATGATAATCAACATGCCATCTTTCATTTTCTTTTCATTTTTTTGGGTGGGTTGACAGTTGACTTTCCGAGAAAATCTCACCCAAAGAAGACGACCCCTATTTTCCCCAAAGTGGAAAAGCAGCCAACTTGAAAAACGATCCCGCCACAGCATGCATGGCAAAATAGCGCCACTTTCGAGCCCAATTGCATCCAAAATGCTCAGAATTGGAAACCCCAAGTCCGGGCCAGACGTTCATTGCAATATTTCTTTAATTCCCCAATTGTATGGCTCTCACAGAATTCTCTAATATAGAATAGTTTGAGGGTATATCTTTTATTCATGAGCTCGGCGGATGGATTTAGGCCCATTTATACCGGTGTGCACCCTTTGGAAAAAGTTGAGTCTTAGTATCGTTTCGCTTCGGAAGTCGAATAACCATGCACTCACCTGGGACTGTCGCTATCGTCACCAGAAAGGATGTTGCCACAAGCAGAAGGAAACATTTCGGAGTCATTGCAGCGGCAAAACCCATTGTTACTCAGTGCCTTGATAAGAACACAAGAAAACGTAAAGAACAATACACTGGCGCATTTCCCCTATTTTTTTTTGCGATGAAAAGTCTGTCCGAAACCCTGGCTTCCAAATACATTTTACAGCACACAACCTCAGTCCAGTTTCATCGCCGGTTAGTTAATCAGCTTAATCAATATTTGGGGGAAACAATTCAATAGGGAGATCTAAGCGTTTATGAGCAAATTTGAGGGAATTAAGTAGCCTTAATTCAATATTGGCCTTTGTCCACCGATTTTTTTTTCTTCAACACTCCTAACCCAAACAATTGGTTGTAGAACAACCCAAGTTTGGGTAGTTCCAGTTTTCACCCTTTCTTGGGTAAAATTAACCCAGACAATTTTTCCGTGAGTGTTATCATATCCGTCACTTGAGGAAACCACGACGCCCTGCTTACTAGTATTACCAATAGTGCAAACTGTAAATAGGTGCGGTTCCACACTGGGAAAGTGAAGACGAAATTTGTGTCCGAACTTTAATCAAAAATGAAAAACAAATCCAGAACATTCGCCTTCCAAATTCAAAAACCTTTACCTCCAAGATGATTAACGTGATGTGCACTGCCAAAACTGCAGTGTTAATTTAACACCATTCGGTATCTATATAGGACAACACCAGTAAAATTTAACACCAGATGGTCCTATATAGATACCAATGGTGTAAATTTAACACTGCAGTTTTTGCAGTGTGTGCACGTCCGGGTCTGCGTAAAATTGACACTGAGGCAAACTCGACCCCCAACCCCCCCCCCCCAAAAAAAAACCCCCACACAAACAAACAAACAAACAAACACCCCCAACACCCCAACAAACAAACAAACATCAAACAAGCCATGAAACTACAACTGGCTGGGAAAATCATAATTCTTCTGACGTGTTTTTACATGCTACGGGCGGTATGTCTAACATCCGATATTCCTTTATCCGATATTCCTTTATACACTTTATTCCGATTTAAAATTGAAAAAAAAAAAACCCAAAAAACATCCATCATAACCCGAATCACACATAATTTTTCCCCTGTGGCCTGTTGTGAACAATAACATGGGAAGTCCCTTTCACGCACCGGTAAGTACTCCCATGCATGAACGCAAGTGTCATGGTACTTGTACACAATTGCATGCCGAGTCGAAACTGAACACCAGACATAAAACTTTGGTACAGGCCTATAACAGACACAAAACAAACAAACAAAATAAACAAACAAACGGAAGAAAACGTTTATCAACAAATGAGGTCATGGAAATGTAAAGGGGAAGGAATATAAAAAAGGCATAGGATTATTTGCATTTCATGCATTTTGTTCGTTTCCATGCAATACATCGCTAAAAATCCACAGAAGAATGTTCGAAACCTAGTAAGTGACGTGTTAAAAATTCAGATCAGCAGAGTGCATGTTTCAAGCAAACAGTAAAGAACATGATTACGAAACACCATTTCGTCTATTCTCCGATTTCCAAAAAACAGTCAATGATCGTTGGAATTAATGGAAGGTTGTTTTATTTACTGATCGTTAATTGCAAATCACCTATCATTTCCTTGATTTCTTTTAAATGGCAGCAAGCCAGACGGAATATTTTCACGGGGTGTTTAGGCACCAGTATGATCTTTAATCCGAGTAAGTTTTTGATAATAACTCGGTAGGTTACTTTTGGGGTAAATCCAACTGATCCAATTATGTCTTTAATTAAGTGTACAGTCTTCGATAACGATTTTATACTTCACATATTTTATATGAGTATATGTGCGTTGGCAAGATGTGCCGTGAATGAGGAATTAGGATCCTGGCGTGACCATGACTCCGATAAAAAATACACTCGATCAAGTATAGGCCAAGAAACTATCATCAAATAGGCCTACCGAGACTGCATAAGCATAATAAGATTGAAAGTGTAATTGATAAACAATAATAATGGGCTCTCGAAAGGTTTCAGACTCATTTTTACCTCAGCACTGCGATTTATGAACGAGCACAATAGTCATAGCGGCACCACTTCCACCTAAAATGTATATGCATGGAAATGTATAGGTAGGCCTATGAAAAGAACTTGGTTTCTTTTCTATTTTTAACTACTGAAACCAAGTTTCAAGATCATCAACCGATACAAACTCGATGATTTTGTAAAACCAATATATGGATCCAATCTATGGATAAGAATTAAGACCAAATAAAAGAGAACATTTTTCACTTTTGCCCTTTCATTTCTTCAAAAGTAGCCCTTAATCTAGACCATCGGTTCACTATTGGCTGCAGCATTGTCGGATGTTTGAATTCAGAAGGGGGGGGGGCAAGGAAGTTTCGAAAGGTATTACCACAATGTTTGTCTCTTCGAAACCACTTTAAACAACGGGGATATGCGTTGCTGAAAATGAGAGTTGGGATTGCATACATGAACGAGGGATGTGACTCATTGAACTCCGTCAAAGAAAAAGTTTAAGATACTAACCAGCGCCTGCATGTATAAAAACTTTGGTCCTGACAAACTTCGCAACGGACCAGATCACAGCAGACTTTCCGACATTATACTTTATAGGCCTGAAATAAGAAAGAATTCCATACCTGGACATCGCTTGACACTCTGAAACTCGGGTCTGAACAATTCTAAGTGTTTTTTTAGTAAATGCTTCAATATTTCCCAGCTTAAATTTGGACATGTTATCGCTTTTCTGATGGCTGATAGGTCACTGCATGCAGCGGAAAATCAGAGCATGTGTGGATTTTTCACTGAAATGTACGGGCGGTTCGTGGACGGTCGACAGTGACGTAGATAAAGGTAATGGCGCTGCGAAAAATGCGAAGTAAACTGAAGCGTTGCATGTTTGTTTTTGACCGCTGGTTTTTTACGCATGCTTACACTAATTATGAGTTGCTGAAATAATACTGTAACCAGAAAACTCGACTCACCAAATCTCAGAAATAAGACAAACTTCTGGACTTCTTCTCAACCGGAAGGATCGAGAAGTGTGGATTTCACACAAGTCACTACTCCCACTGCAACCAACTCGCCACGGCTACTGGCATCGAAACCCTAATTTTCACAGGAACACTTCCTCATACACCGTATAAGGGAGATACCGATATTTATTCGACGAGTCCTTATATTTCAGCGGATTGAAAGGCTTTGGCAAAATGCTCAGTCACCCGTGACTCTGAGCTTGGCTTTTATGGTCGTGGATTTTGAATAACAATAACTGTTCATGCTCTGGGAAAGGAGGCATAATTTTTATGCGCATGTGAAGCGGAAGAAAATTTACGGGAAATAAAGGTGGACGGCACGGCATCTTATGGTTTTCTGTCCGAGTCATGCAAGACATGCAAATCTACCCACACAATATTACTTTTATAACGCAAATTTAAAATAACTTGGTTCAAATGTGTCCAACCAACCAAGCCGAGTGGTTGGACACATATTAATTAATTTTTGGGTATTTCAACCAATGATTGGTTATAACCAATATGTTTTCATAGACTGTCTTTTAAAAGCCACCAAAACTTAGTCCTAAGTTCAGGGCGAGAAAGAATATATTATTCAATTAAAGTTACGTTCCCCGCGTACTCTCCTTAGGCGAAGTAAAAAAAAAACACGTTTCTCGTCCCAGCCCGCTTCCTTTTTGGAGGCCACCTGGATATTTTTATTATTTTTTATTTTTGAAAAATGCAGTGAAAAAAAAGAGCCTCTTCAACATATTTGATTTATTTTCTATTAATACATGAACTTGTACGCATTAGGCCTATGAACAAAATCCCCTTCTTTTCCCGCCTTTATTAGACGTCCGCAGAATTCGAGGAAGACTCGCTTTACGCGCAGACAGGCTCCCGGACGCGGTCCATACATCATCGGTACTGATTGTCATGGGCAGCCATTCATTCAAAATTGTAAAGAATAACTATAGGGCCTAAAGCCTGGTTCATACTTCACGCGAAAGCGAAAGCGAAGCGAAATTCCTGACGTCAACAATACATTCGAAGCGCGTCCACCATTGTTGACGACATGAATTTCGCTTCGCACTTGCTTTCGCGTGAAGTATGAACCGGGCTTAAGCATGCATTGGCCGATTTTTTTCGTTCATTCAAAAGAACGCACTATGTACAGGCCTAACTTTTGTACTGCTAGAAAAAAACCCCAATTTATTCAGGCGCAACGCTGCGTGTTTAAAATATATTTCCGGGTTCACTATATTCTGTTACTACGAAAATGCAATATTTACCTCGAGAATCAAGGACGTCAATCGCTTTTCAAAAGTCGAGGGGGAGGGGGGGGGAGTGGGGGAGGGGGAAGTGGGGAGGGGGATGGACATCACATTACACTCTGGGCACTCTTCAGGAAATATATATCGCGCTTACATCAAAACGGCGCATTTTAAAAGCTTTGTATTTTGTTTCTCCACAGTGCTATTGAATACATTTTGGTTGTTAGGACGTTCGACAAATACCATTAAATTCGCATTTTTCCCCTCATTTCTCATGACGAAAAAGTGGTGGGATGATTAAATAGCCCATCCCCGGTCAAATAATGAGAGATATATCGTCGCTGTGTTCACGAAGTGCATGACAAAAACCTCGAAAATCGATAATTGTTCGATTTTGAGTTTAACTAGACTTTTTATTATAGGTGTCTCAAGGAACAATTTTGACCAAGTTTCAAAGCGAAATATTGTTTACTTTCTTAAATATTGTAAACAAACATTGGACAAAAAGCCTGAAATCCGTGTTTTTCGTTTTTACGAAGTGTAAACAAGTGTAAATTGTTCTCACGAAGTGACAAAAAGTCACCTCGTGAGCAGGGCCAGAGGAATTATACATTGGTCTACACGCGGCAGCATGAAAATTTTGGATTATAGACGTTCTGTGGCCTTTGTTATAGAAGCCAGGGTCTATATTGTGTGAACAGAATCGCTGATTAATTATGCAAGACAACCACCTCTTGAACCCGAGATTTTGACCAATCAGCGGGCGCTTTCCATGCAATCTTCTACTTTCAACCATCCGTCTGAATTATTCATCCATGATTCACAGTACAATATTTGTTTCGGGCCTCTTCTTTTGCATATTAATACTTTAAACAAATATGATCATATTTTTTTATAACACCTCACCCACAAATTCCGTATGTTGATTGGCCGAGAGCGAGTCACATGGTATTCGCTCTTTTTGCTAAAAAAAAAAAGCACTTATACCCGTAGCAACCAAAGTACTATATACCTGTAGCAACCAAGCTTATGTAAATTGGAAAAGTGCAAGTAAATTTTCAACTATATTCGTATTCAAATAGAAGTACTGCCATTTATTTTAATTGTATTTAGATGTCATTATCAGTTATCACATCTAATCAATCAGAACCTGTGGGAGAGGTGTTATAAAACAAATATTGACTGCTTTATCTCGTGGTGAAGTAAAACTATAGCCTCCCTCGGTGATCCATGGAGCATTCTATTTTCTCTCGGCTTCGCCCCGGGACAAAAAGAATGCTTCATGGATCACCTCGGGAGGCTAGTTTTACTACACCACTCGAAGCAGTCAATATTTGTAGTTTTTGTTGCAAGATGGCAATAATACGTAAACAAACTTTTCTTCTTAATATTAATTACACCTAATTAAGTCATCCACAATTTTTCTTTCAACTACTAAACCATCAAAATACAAATGCATGTATTACCATTAAAGTATTCTGACAAAAACTATATGATTTGTCACCAACTTTGTGAAACAACATTATTTCAAAATTCTCCATGCAATCTTAATTTAAAGGTATATCGTGATGCACAATCATTTTGCTTTTTATACCGCTCAAATACCAACTCAACGGGTACCACTTTACAAGAAAATAGTGACAAATCATTCAAGGCTTTTAAAATCACAAAACACGATTTTATCAAATTAAAGCATTCCTTATTCCAAAAATCAGTCAATTGACTGATTGTTGGAAATCACTACATTTCTTGATTACTTCGAAATGACAGCAAGCCAACTTTGTTGGAATTAATTCACTGGGTGTTTAGTTTCAGTACAATTATTTTATCCAAGTAAGCGCGGTTTGATAATCTGTAGGTTGCTTTTGGGATAAATATTAATGCAAATGATTCTATGCCTTTAAGCAACAAATAGCGTACCAAAAGAATAATGACTCCATCTATATAATTTTTTTTCCTTTATAAAAAAAACAAAACAATTGTGGGAAAATAGCAACTATATACAAATTTCAAGTGTTTTGGCAATTGTGCTACATGACACATAAGTATAAACGTTCTTGGTATAATTAAAAAATCGTGGAGTGCTCTTAGCCAGATCCTTCTTTTGTGTCATTTTCACATTTATAAGATGAAGATGAATGATAGCAGACCATCCCTTGCACTACTGAAACGTTATTTTACTTTGGAGAAGTACATCTCGATTACAAATGGATTTATTGCCAAATTTCATACAAAATGGGACTCCTTTGAAGTACTGCGTCAAAATTGACTTTATATTTCCCAATGCGTTATATAGGTCAGATTATTTTGTGACATCGCCTTGGTTTTTCAAGTAGTTTTGTATAGCTGAGAAGTTGCTTTGAGGTTGAATGAAATATTTCCTCCGGGGGAAAAAAGAAAATGAAAAAAAATTAACGTTCTTGCTACTCCAAAAGCGACTAAATATTTACAATTTTCAGCTCAAGTGACTATTTGGTGTTTAAAGGGAAAATACAACATTTGCAAACATCGAAAAATAAAACTACCAAGTTGTTACGAAATACCTTACTAGGATGTTGGTAAATGACAGTCTAAAGCATCCTGTAAAATTAGGGCACCTATTGTGAAGTTATTTTCAAGAAAAATTGTACTTTTGTATACATTTCCAACGGTGGTCGGCCGACCACCGTTGGAAAAACCTAACTGTTTTTCAACTACTAATCCAAATTTACCGGTTTTTTTTTTCGTTTCCAGCATTTTCTTAGTTTTCCAGCATTTTCGAACACAAAACTTCAAACATGTCAGTGTAACAATATTTGATCTATTATACTAACCCCCCAAATAGTTCATTTCTGAAAATTACAGCAAAAGCCAATAATGTACATTCCTTTTAATCCGAGTATAATGTACTTACTAAATCCTGTTGACATTTCCATGTTAGCCATAGACAAAAGCGTTTAATTAAAATGGCCATGTAATGAAATATTCAATGCAGTACATACACCCTTGTGTCTCTATTGACCTATGGCCGTTTTCGAGTTAGCCACGCCCCTTAGACAACCCGTTGGAATTTTTTGTACACTAACTTTTGTTTGTCTCAGACGTTGCGCGTTGGATTGACTTGACAAAGTTGATTTTTTTATCATTATTAATATCAAATTTTCAACTTATATGTGTCCGGCAAAAAAAAAAAATATTTGGTCTCTGGTCAGACCAAACTTCCGGAATTGATTTTGGCCTTTTTGTTTTTATTTTGGAAGCTTGGATTGTACAGACAAGGTGGGTACTATTTTGCTTTTGTTGTGTCCTCATATACATTGGGGACCTCCATAATTTGCCTTGGTGCAATTTCCCCATTCCTTGGTACACAATTTTGAGGAGGTGCAGCAATAGAGGGCGCTGCTGTAGCTACTGCGGCCAATTTGAAGAAAAAAAAGGTTGACGCGCATGATTAACATCGACGCGCGCGCTGACCAGAGACCGACTTATTATTTTTTTTTGGCCTTATTCCAATATCTGCAACTCCCTGCAAAACTGTTTGTTTTGGGCACAAACAAACCTGATTTGCCAGCAGACTGGCTCCCAGTCCGTACATTTTTGATACTGATTATGGGGCAAAAACCAGACTACCCGATGTGAACGAAATTATTGTCTGGTAGCCAGTGATTCAAAATTGTAACATAATTTGATTGTAGGTTTTCCCGGCTATTTTAAAAGATTTTTCATTCAAATTCACCAACTCTAACATTAAATTTTGTCCACGAAAAATTTCACACGCTTTTACCCGAACCAATTTAGTCATTTACCATTCAATTTTAAGGCTTGGTCACCCTCTTTAGTCCCCGGAAAATATTCAACATTTTAGATCAAATTCGTCTAAGCTGTTGCCTAATGGCAGCATTCAGAGATCGAATTCGTCTTCTATAAATCAATAAAGACGAATTTGATTTCTGAATAACAAGGTCTAGCTAGGCGAGACAAAATCAAATACTCCGGGACGAAAACGTGTACTCATTGTTCGCATTTGCTCGAACTGAACTTGAAATTGTCTGACAAAAGATGAAATTAAACATTGAAAATGCATCGATGTTGATGGACGAATTTGAATATTAGAAACGGTGAATTTGAATGATAAACATTCTAAAATAGCCAGGAATACCTATTCTAAACATGAGCCAATTTGTTTCAGTCGACGTCTCATTCAAAAGTGAATAACTTTTGCAGTTCTAGAATAATAGCACTTCAGGAAAGAGATCTATTTTTTGGGATGAAACTTAAAAATAGCACGGGAACCAACTGTTTGTAAGAGTAAATTTCAGTATATAACACCAGCTGTGCTTCAAAACCGTCATCTTTGCTGCGAGAGGTAATGTCATTAACCGTTGATGTTTGCAATGGCATAGTCTGCCTGCTTGTACCTACAACAAAGATGAAAAAACAGTGTACATTGTAATAAGATTAATACAGGGTGGATAAAAAAAAAACCCGAAACCCAGATATTATTGCCACTTTTCAATTGTGGCTTCTGGGGTGTCATTTGTCACAGAGTGAAAGGCTATGGTTCAGAGATGCCACAGGGTCTGCTTGAAAAAAACGGAACTGGGTCTGCTTGAAAAAAAACCGGAACGGCTGCTTGAAAAAAACCGGACTTTTTTGTGTGTGAAAAAGCCACACCGTGTCCGACACAAAGTCCCCGTTGTCATCTTTATCTTGTAGCCAAGCCAAGTTCTGTTTATTTTTTAATTTTTCTTGTATGGCCTTTACAGCTGTCGGTTCGTTCAATCACTTTGACTTTTTCCATATTCCTAATACATGTATTTATTCTGCCTACCCGAATTTCCAACGTAATATTCGACGCGAAACACGCGCGATTCCACAACACTGCTGTCGGTGTACATGATCCTTGCACTATACGGTACGCGATGCGCTCAACGAAAACATGGTTGGTACCCGCATTTTTTGTATACACATATATCACTGCGATCGGAAATCACCGATAGCTGAAATGATAGACTTGATTTCCAGGCTGAATGCCTTGCGTGCTTAGCACACGACACGCCCGCACGCGGTGAAGCACGTGCGAGGCGCCGTTGTTTACTGCGTGCAATTAAGTACGTTGGCCGCTTGTATCGCATGCAGGCTCGGCAACAACATACACAAAGACTGTTTTAAGACTACTTCAACGAACAACGTTGTGCCATGCGTGCGCCTAAATGTACTAAATCGAGGTAAAAATCAACGCATTTCCACAGTTTTTCTTCTCTTTTTCTGGTTAATTTGACGGCCGGAAAAACCGGTATTTTGTGAGATTTTTTTTAAAAAACGGAATTCCGGTTAAAACCGGAAAAGTGGCATCTCTGATGGTTGCCAATCAAGGCAGGTGGGGGAAAAAGAGATTTCACCATGAAAAGTGGCTCAATTCTCTAAAAAGACCCTTTTCATAAAATTGGTCACTGCTCAGTCAACCGTGAATGTAATGACATGACCAGGGTGTCATTTTAAAGAGGAGATTCAACCCTAACAGAGGATATCTCCCTTTGATTCAAATGTGCCCTAATTCTGTTCCAATTAGTAGTAATATCTCGGTTTCGTTTTTTTTTTATCCACCCTGTATATTATGATATCGTATTTTAGTTCAGTTTAATATGAAAATAAATAGAAAAGCCACTGCTGCAAATTGCTTTCTGACCTGAAATATTCAAATCTAAAAAATTAATGCGGCTTGACGTTGCGATCTTAACAAGTTCTACTTCAGAGGCAAAATGACAGAGTAACCCTAAAAACAGTTTGTCTTTTAAACTGAGATTTAAACTGATTTTTTTTCGCTGGTGACGTTTGAAGACAATTGTAACAATTCTCTAAATCACATTTTAGGGTCACTTCGTTTAAATAGTGATATAATTATAACAGATTGAGCAATTGAAGTATTTTTTTTTTCATCAAGAAGAAGTTTATTAAATTGGCTTACCAGTCATAAGGCCAAAAAAAATAATAGTTCTGCTTCCGGTTTCCCTACCTACCCTATTCTGACAGCCCCTACCCTAATTTTTTTATGGGAAAAATGAGAAAAAAAACATCAATTTCTACCTTTTACTCTTGACAACACGCAGACGCCTCCATATGATTGTACACACAAAAAAATGGCAAAATAAAAACATTCCCTACCTACCTACCCTGTTTTCAAATGCCATGTAATCGGATAATTATTTTTGACCTAATTATTTTTGGCGCTACAATTTTTTAGATATGAAATACATTTTTAGGGGTTTGGGTTCCGTTTCTTTTTTTTAATCACCCTGTAGGTATTTTTCTTCTTGTCTCTTACCTTGGTTTTGGAAGCATTGCCAGGGGAAACTTGTTTTTGGGCTTCGCTGCCGGTTTAAGGGCTGGCCCTATCATCTCGTTCTGATAGAGGGGGACTGTGGACGAGATGACACGTTTTGGAACAGCGCTAGTCGAAGGTTGTTCATACAAGTCGTTGTCCTCATTCGCTTCCGGAAGCTGGGAGGGCATGCAAACACAATGGATGAAAAATCACGGTCTTGCAATAGCATGAAAGCCAAACAAGACAAGCTAATTATTTTGTGTGGGGTTTTGCGTGGAGTGCCGTGGCCTAGTGGTCTGGAGCATTGAATTTGTGGTCTGCGGGTAATTCTGAAGGTTGTGGTTTCGAGTCCAGCCTGGTGCGTGTGCCTTGAGCAAGGTACTTTGCCACTCATTGCTTCTCTCCACCCAGGAGTACATGGGTACCTGTGAGGGCAGTGTTGGTGACTGTGAGAGGTTGATTACAGCCAAGAGTGCCGAAATGACTGCCTACTGGCCATGTATGCTCCCAAGGGAGTTGAGAAGGTTTCAAGAGTGTTTGCCCGTTGAAACAGAAAAAAAACATAATTCTTCGATACTTCTCGAATCTTGCGCTGCTGTAAGCCCTCGTTTTTGTTTTTTTTTGGGACAAAAATACACATTCGCATCGGGCACTATGCTCTTCTGACTGACTGACAACAGTGAGTTTCTATGCTCTTACTGAGTGAGGATAATATCGATCAATGCCCGGATGAGGGCAATATCAAAAACTAAATTGTCCTCATCCGAGTACTTCTTCCAAATTAATCTTTACAATACGCTGATTAATTTTGAGTAAGTGGATGCCTGATATAACTCATAATGCCATATCTTTTTACATTCAAAAACAAAAACCAAAACAATTCCCATCCATAATTCCTTTACAGACTAAAGAAGAGCAAACACCAAACAGCAAAAACAGATAGGGTAAATGTCCGGAATTTCGGCACGCGGGGAATTTCGGCACCCCTATATAAATAGTGAACTGGCCCGCCAACGCGGTCACGTGACCAGCCATGTTGCTATCGGGTGACAAGACAAACTCCCGCCCTGGGTTTTCAACCAAAAATAATGGAAACTTACGACGCATTCTTGCAGAAAAACTGGGATTAAAAATCTCTCCACAAAAGGCAAACTATTTTTTTCAAGTTTTTACGATTCATTGTAAGATGGGGTTTAAGATGAAAATGATGATTGCAGCCAGTTTTTCATGTCGAAGTGGTTAAAATGGAAGTTTTTTTCTGACGTTGGTGATCGTTTGCGACTTTGCGCCGCTGAAAGGGGAAGATCGTCTGTACAAAGTGCAGGTGTGTAGTCTTGTGGGGGATGCCGAACTTATAAGCAGGGATCAGAAAGTGACCCGAATTTTGGCACGTGATAAACAACTCACAGAATCAATATAAGCTTGATAACCATTTTGAATTTTGTTGCGAACGTCTTACAAAGTCACGTGACATTACCGAAGCAGGTTCGGGATCGATTTAGTTTTGGTATCGCAACATGCGCTATGCCCATGTGCTGTGTGTTGATGGGAGTACCAGGTAAATCGATACTGCATATGTCGCAAAATAATAATCGACTCTTATGGTGCCGAAATTCGGGATGTCTACCCTAGTTGGATGAAGAACTTCAGTACCTGAGAGCCGCTGGAGTATCGATCTTGGACGCTCGGTTTGGCCTTCTTGGCTTTGTGACTCCCCGCCTCAGTGGTTGCACTGATCTCCTTGCCGTTCTATAGCATAAAAACAAGATGATTTAAGTTTATGAAGGTGACGAGGGAAAAGATACGGTTGATAATATGTTTCGCTTTCATGAAGATGTTATGGTGTTAGTGATGGGAGGAACATTGATAAACAAGGACACCGACAATAGGTGAGTTTGGTATTCCAACTGCGCAAGTGCACATCAAGATTTGCTGATTTTCTTTTGGGATAAAAAAAGTCCAAAAGCCTTTGGACAGCAAGGTGGTTTTTTGGTGTCTTCGATCTGTGTCAAAACTTTTGTGCGAACGAAAGTTCCATCTCTTTTCGACTGCACGGAAAACTGGACAATTGGATGGATGGTAGTGATGATGATGATTTATGAAAGACGGTAAAGCTCCTTTATCCTGGTACCCTACCTTCAACCGCCGATACTTGAGGCCCAGGACAATGACCACGACGATCAATACTACGGCAAGCACGCCCAGCACAACGCCTAGGACTATTGCCACGATGTTCACTGCATCCAAAACAAAAACAAAACAGAAATGCCGTCCTCATCATCATGGTAATATCATCAAGGACCACAAAGCAATCTGGAATCCTCTATAGGTATCTATTCTACTAAGCACTCACATACTTAACCCTAAAAGGGCTGCGGGGAGGGGGAGGGGGGCGGAATCTGCGGGTACTGTGAGATGTGGAGCAGAAAATGCAGCTGTGACAGTGTACGGTGAACTCAGAACTATGAAATATGAACTCATTGGTAGTATATATTGCACATGCCTAATCGAGGATTGTGAACGTTCAACCAATAAAACGGTAGAAAAGGGACCAGATTTCACAGAAGTCCAAATTTCATGTGACACTGGAAAAAGTGTTTAAGGCCAGCCAGCGAGTGTTTCATCAACCATTTAAGACCAGCTACGTGACTGGCTCGCGACCAATAGGAATGGCTAAACTGTGTTAGGTATTTATGAAATATAATTAATTTTAGGACCTATCTGAATTCCTGTACGAGATGAGTTCCGGACAAGTTGTGGGCATTGTATCGGGTATACGTTGCAGGATTCTAAACAACTTCCCCGCATTCTTCCCTGAATGAAGTTACCAGTATTGGTGAGTCAAGCAGCTGCTGGTGACAATTTCCCCGGAACGTGTCCGGGACAAATGCAGAGCTTCTTCCGGACAAAGTGAATGATTCTACCCGTAACTTGACCCGGATATGGCATTGGCATAATTCATCGGTGGCTTGTGCATGAAGCGCTCGCCTCTCACCACTGTGGCCCTGGTTCGAATCCCGGCCGCGGACCATATATGCCATATGTGAGTAGAGTTGTACGTTGGTTCTCTCCTGTGCCACAAGGGTTTTTCTCAGGGCCCTCCGGTTTTCCTCCCTCCGGAAAAATCAAACACTTTCAATCTTACGCTGTGCGCTGTGGTCATATATGGGTCGTATGGCTGGCTACCAAAGGTGCCTTTACATGCCAGCGGCTCGACTACGTTTTAGCCGCATTCTTCGCAATTCAGCTTCTCAGCTGAGACTAAGGATGCTTAGCCTCCCAAATTATTATAAGAATTGAGACAGGCCCTAGATTATACCTGGAGTAGCTGCTTCTGCCTTTGTTACGCCAGCTGTCACCATCAGCGTTTCAGGAACGCTCTTCATGCCGTCATAGACAGATACAACTTTGAAGAAGTACTCGGTTTTAGCAGTCAGCGATGAGAAATAGCAGCTGTAGAAATAGTTAAACACACATTAAACTTTGCTCTTATAAGTATTTACAAAACCATGAGACAACATGAACCGAGTGATGACAAAGTACATACATAAAAAACTTGAAAGGTCTTTTCACACTAGACAAATCTCAGGGTTGACGCGGGGTTGACGCAGGGTTGAAAACATGGGGTGTTTCACACTTAAAAATTTTCAACCCTGTGCCAACCTATGTGTAAAATCCAAGATTGCTTTCGCCCGGGTTCAAAACGGTAGTAACTGAGTGAAATATGCTTGATTTGCACAAAACAAGGATGAACGATGCAGGTTAAACATGGGGTTGAAAAATAAAAAACTCGACCCCCAGGGCGGCACTGGGTTTGCCCAGGGTTAAGTTCAACCGGGTTGAGAGGCTCTAGTGTGAAAAGGCCTTTACACTTGCAAGATTTGTTTGTGTTTAACCATGGGCGTCGCCATTTTTCTGGAGGGGGCAAAGCACATTATTTTCAAAAATCCTTGTACTTTCTCTAGCACATTCTGAATTTATCATTTTCTTTGAGGATTGGTGAGGGGACATTTGCCAACCCACCCCCATTGACACCCCTGCGGATGCCCATGGTGTTAAATTATTGTACATTACATTGACAACAACATGACCTTGCACCCTCGTCGTCTTTTTTTTCCCTGTCCTTTTTTTCTTTTTTGCTGGTTAGTTGTGCATTTACAGGCGCCACAACGATCACGATTTGCGGGTAAAATAGGTCATTTTCAATCGCTACGCCACAAATTACGCCACCTTACATGATTGTGCAAGTTACGCCATAATTTATTGGGCAAGTCACGGGCTTGCGCAGTATGAGACTTTTGTAAAATTTTCATAAATCAACTGTTGCGCAGCGTCAAATGTTGTGCAACCGATGCAATAAATTGTGGCACAATTGCGTAAATTTTGGCGAAATCGGCTGCTGAGCTATAAGCATGCAGTTCCGTAAAATAACCCTTGATTCTTAGAGTTAGCACCCGAGAGTCCCGAGTCTTAGTACCTGGTACCAGACACATCAATGGGCTCTGTGTCTTCTCCTGGGGAGATGTACACTTGGTAGGAGCTGACGGAGCCCTCTGTTGGCGGGTCCCACTCCAGGGTGATGGCGTCGTCCGAGACTTTTATGGGCCGGAGGTTTCCCACGCGTTCGGGCCCTGAAATGATACAAAATCCATTTTTGTGTAACAATTTCATTCCTTATTCCTGAAACTGAGGACATGGAACATCAAAGAGAGACAAATAATAATGATGATAATAATAACAATCGGCATTTAAGAACACTCTTATTAGTAAACTAAATCACAGCGCTAACAGTATAATTATTACCCCTGATCATTGGGCCAATTAAACATTCCAAATACCATCTCAGCTCCCTGGGGAGTATACAGCTGGATGCTGCCTGTTAGGCGCAAGCAAGCTTATTCAATCACAATGATCATCTCTGCCCTCACAGGTACCCATTTACTCCTGGGTGGGGAGAAGCAATGAGTGACAAAGTGCCTTGCTCAAGGGCACATGCACCATGACCCCAGCTGGACTCGAACCCACAACCCGCAGCTTTACCAACAGACCACGAATCCAGTGCCCTTAACCACGAGGCCACAGCACTCCCCAAAAGCTATATACCATTTTTCCATCAAAATTTTTTACTGACAAATTATTTGAAACTGGAGAGGGCCCAAAAGCCCAAAATTCCGACAACTTACTAGTTTTCTGTGACGTGCTCAAGGTCAAACCCAAATTACTGATGAGTCTGATCTGGTACTGCGTGTTCGGCTTCAGTCCCTTGAACACTGCTGAGGCTGTGTTCCCCGGATTGAAGATGGTCAGGTAGTTCTCCTCTGCATCCTCCGGTTCAATGTACAGCATGTACGGGTCTTTGGCATTCTTGGTACTAGACTCAGCCCGCCACGCTACCGCGATGGAGGACTCGGTATATTTGTAGGCGACAAGTTCATCACCTCTAGGTGATGCTGCCAAAAAAAAAAAAAAAAAAGATAATAGGATGCCAAGATCACACAAAAGCTTGCTGTGAGATGAGTGGCCAAAAAAAAAAATTAAGTTAAAAAACGGCGGCATCCGGAAATTGGACACCAAAAATCGGCCGAGAATAACGTGGCGCACTTGACCAGATCTCAGAAAACCCCAACACAGCTTTCAAGGATTTCTTGAAGGTTCCCAAACTCTGATAAATCACATCAATACAAGGGCGTCAATCCAAAAAAATTGATTCTAGACGCTCTGTGGTGCGATCTAGGGCAATTTCTGACCACTTTAACCAATTTTTGTAAAGCAAAAGATCACCGTTTAAACACCATTTTTGAGTTTAGAGTCAATGAATCTGCAGCTATTCTGAGCCAAAAAAATCAATCAGGCTACAATTTTTACTTGGGGACAAAAAAAAGTGTGGGGGGGGGGGGGGGTTGAACAAACGATATAATTTCCCCCGTCCCCCACCGATCAACATCCAAGCATCATTATCGTTCGTAAACTCAAGACTTGGATGCTTAAAGCGTGATGGAATTTCACTTGCCTGTGAAATTTGAGGCAAATAATTTGCTCTCCAGGAAGGCACTGGAGGTGGAAAAAAAAATCAAAGTACGCTGCGTTAGGGGCAGCGCCACATCTCTCATCCCCGGATTTCAACAGTATCAGCAGGAATTATTGCACAACACATTGTTGGCACACGCTCGATCGCACCCGTACCTGCGAGTTTAATTTGCTTACAAGGCCAACCCTGGTGATGAGGGTGTCTCTGTACTGGCGATATATAGTTATGATCTTCGCATAGAACTGAAACAGCAAAAATGCTTAGCCCCAACACGACACATGTTTCTGTATTCTTGTCTCGACTCTTACCTGGGCTTATATACCTGCTCGGCCCGGGACTTTCAAGACGCATGTCCCCTGACCCAACCACTGCATAAACATACAGGTAGACACCACTGCCTGGGAGGAGACCGTCCACCATCAGCTGATCCGTTGTCTTGGTAACATAGCCGAGGTCCCTCCCGTTATTAAGGCTCACCCTGTACTGCTCCAGATTCTGTAGGCTGACTCGCTCCCATGTTACCTCCACAGAGGACTTCGACAGGGTACCAGGAACTACGCTTACCTGCCCTGTTGGGCTTGGTCCTGAAGACATTTAAAAAACAAGAAACATGTGAAGAATGAAGGCCTGTATCTTCTTTTGTTAACATTAACATTTTCTTTCTTAGGGACATTGACATTACCCATAAACGTACCAATAAATAAAAGTCCAATGGGAACGTGGCTATTGACAAGCCAGAGGTTTAGGTACGCAGTAATACATTTGACCTTGACAAGCCACATGGCACAGTATAGGCATTGGATTTTGGCCACGTCCTAATTTTGGCTAACTTAAAGTTTGTTTAGATGGTTAGTCTTCTCCATAAATCCCTTCTAAAAATATCCTCCCAGCCAAGATGGTTAATCTCCTCCACTATTCCCATCTAAAAAAATATCCTCTTAACCAAGATGGTTAGTCTCCTCCATAATTCCCTTAGAAAAATATCCTCCAAGCCAAGAATAGTCTCCTCCATAATTCCCTTAAAAAAATCTCCTCCAAGTCAAGATGGTTAGTCTCCTCCATAATTCCCTTCTAAAAATATCCTCCAAGCCAAGAGGGTTAGTCTCCTCCATAATTCCCTTCTAAAAAAATATCCTCCAAGCCAAGATGGTTAGTCTCCTCCATAATATCCTTCTAAAAATATCCTCCAAGCCAAGATGGTTAGTCTCCTCCATAATTCCCTTTAAAAATATCCTCTCTATTATAGCCAAGATGGTTTGTCTCCTCCAAAATTCCCTTCTAAAAATATCCTCCTAGCCAAGATGGTTAGTCTCCTCCATAATTCCCTTAAAAAAATCTCCTCCAAGCCAAGATGGTTAGTCTCCTCCATAATTCCCTTCTAAAAATATCCTCCTAGCCAAGATGGTTAGTCTCCTTCATAATTCCCTTAAACAATATCCTCCAAGCCAAGATGGTTAGTCTCCTCCATAATGCCCTTAAAAAAATATCCTCCAAGCCAAGATGGTTAGTCTCCTCCATAATTCCCCCCCAAAAAATATCCTCCAAGCCAAGTTGGTTAGTCTCCTCCATAATGCCCTTAAAAAAAATATCCTCCAAGCCAAGATGGTTAGTCTCCTCCATAATTCCCTTAAAAAATATCCTCCTAGCCAAGATGGTTCGTTTCCTCCAAAATTCCCTTCTACAAAATATCCTCCTAGCCAAGATGGTTCGTTTCTTCCAAAATTCCCTTAAAAAAAATATCCTCCAAGCCAAGATGGTTAGTCTCCTCCGTAATTCCCTTAAAAAAAAAATATCCTCCAAGCCAAGATGGTTAGTCTCCTCCATAATTCCCTTAACAAAAATATTCTTCTAGCCAAGATGGTCAGTCTCCTTCATAATTCCCTTAAAAAAAAATCTCCTCCAAGCCAAGATGGTTAGTCTCCATAATTCCCTTAACAAAAATATTCTTCTAGCCAAGATGGTTAGTCTCCTTCATAAATCCCTTAAAAAATATCCTCTTAGCCAAGATGGTTTGTCTCCTCCAAAATTCCCTTCTAAAAATATCCTCCTAGCCAAGATGGTTAGTCTCCTCCAAAATTCCCTTCTAAAAAATATCCTCCTAGCCAAGATGGTTCGTCTTATCAGTAATTCCTTTCCAAAAGAAAAGAAATAAGTCTGGGTCTTGCGTGTAACTTTGCACACACCTGGGTACTGACTATCCCTATTGCCGAGTATGATATTTGTCTATATCTTTTATAAATAGTCGTCATGCTCATTCAAAGGCATATTCTTTGAAAGGTCGAAACCTCCTTGCTACCACAGTGTCAGATTTAAAGAGGTTGTGGAATGCTCAAAGACATTTCCGTCAATTTTTGGGTATATGTAGCCTAAGGTGTGATGAAATAAAAACGACTATTGTTTATGTCATGAAATGAGTACAAAGGTTACTTTTGAGAGCTATTTTTCAGGTCCTGTTTCGACCCGAACGTGCAATTTGTGTAAAAGTCGTCGTTGCGGGCAGCAAACAAAACACAGTAAATCGTGACGTAATAAACAGGACTCGTTTATGCTACTCTGCATCGGGAGTCCTGTTCATTACGTCACGTTCGGGTCGAAACAGGCATGACAGGACTTGAAAAACAGCTCTCAAAAGTACCTTTTGTACTCATTTTATGACAGAAACAATAGTCGTTTTTATTTCATCACACCTTAGGCTACATATACCCGAAAAGTTACGGAAATGTCTTCGAGCATTCCACAACCTCTTTAACATTTGGTATACCGTGAGGTATATCTAGGTTGTGTAAACTTTAGGTTTACTCCGATCTGAAGCTGCTTAACTTGGATGCAGCTATGGCTAATAATTGCTGAAAAGCTACAATATACACATCACAGCACCATTAAAAACAAGTTGAGTATTGCTCACTCGTCCATTGGTCTATCGTTGAGATCTTATCTCCTGACTCTACGCCCACCTCCACCGTGTACAGTTGGCCAGGGGTCAGGCTGCAGAGCTCGTGTTTGTTGTAGGTGTAGGTGATACCGCCTTGTTGCGGGCTGGCGACCACTCGTTGGCTGGGATCCGGTCTGGATTCTCCCTGTTGAAGAACATGCCTCATTTTCTTTAAAATTTGATAACTTTTGATAACTTGTGGTGACTTGTGGTGGCATTCTGGTGGCTTTTGGTGACTTGTGATGACTTGTGGTGGTGACTTGTAATGACATGTGGTGACTTGTGATGGCTTGTGACTGACTTGTAGTGACTTGTGATGTCTTGTGATGAATTGGGGTGACTTGTGGTGACTTGTCTTGTGGTGACTTGTGGTGACTTGTGGTGACTTGTGATGTCTTGTGGTGACTTGTGGTGACTTGTGATGTCTTGTGATGATCTGTGGTAACTTGGGGAGACTTGTGATGACCTGTGGTGACTTGTGATGTACTCATGATGGGATGTGTAACTTGTTGGGACTTGTGACTAACTTGTGGTGCCTTGTGATGACTTGTGATGACTTATGATGGACGTATGATGACATGTGTGACTTGTGATATGTCTTGTGATATGTCATGTGATGACTTGTGATGACGTGTGTTGACTTGTGGTGACTCGTGGTGACTTGTGATTACTTGTGATATGACTTGTGATATGTCTTGTGATGACTTGTGATGACTTATGACGACATGTGATGACATGTGATGACTTGTGACTGACTTGTGACTAACTTGTGATGACTTGTGATGACATGTCATGACTTGTGGTGACTTGTGATGACTTGCGATGGACGTATAATGACACGTGTGACTTGTGGGGACTTGTAGGGGGACTTGTGATGACTTGTGATTGACGGGATCACAACTGCGACCACACTGCAGAAGTCTTAGTTGAGACATTAGCCTGAGCTGGAGCAAAATGCCCCGACTTGCCTGCTTCCAGTAATAGAGGGCATACTCCTCTACAGTGCCATCTTCTGACTCTGGCCAAACGATCGTCACGCAGGACTCCCCGTTGTTTGTTCTGATGTTCTCAGTAAAGATGTGGCTCGCTGGAGGTTGAACTGTCAGGGGTGTAAGCAGTTCAAACTTAAAACTTTGCATAAAATGCAGCGAATAAAAATGATGATTGTAATGAAAGTGTCAAGTTTTTGAGTTGCTGTACCAATCAATATGATGCTGGAAATTATCAAATTAAGATTAACAGGAGCTTAAAGCTATATTGCATCATTTTTGCAGCCATCCGAAAAGTGACTGGCGTAATTATTGTTGAAAAACACACTTGGTTGAAAGATTGTAAGGGAACTAAACTCCCTGTGAAATTATTCTTTCTGGGAAGCTGTCATTTTGAAGTAATCAATGAAAGAAGGCATTTCCAATGGTGATTCTTAAGAAGCACCGCAGGAAAATTTAAATTAGTACTTCGTTTTGTTATTCAGCGCAGCGCGCACAAGTATTTGAACGTCGCACACGCGCGCGCGGTTGTTATAATTTGTCGGATCAGTGTGCGACGTCGCGTATAGCTGCAATTCAAAACAATTCAAAACATGATTCAGTAACTTTTGATTTGAAATTGAGATCTTAGAATGCTGTTTTTCTCGGAATATACAGCTGAAGCTGAGCTGAAACTTCATCAAGTAAGTTGTTCAGTATCCTTCATTAGATTTTGAACACGTTTGTTGCTTCAAACGAACAAAATGCACTAATTACAAATGATGGACTATAGCTTTAACTGTTTTTGTTGTTTTTGCATGGGTGGCTAGTGCATAAAGCGCTCGCCTCTCACCACTGTGGCCCGGGTTCGATTCCCGGCTCGGACCATATGTGAGTAAAGTTGTGCATTGATTCTCTCCTATGCCATGAGGGTTTTTCTCAGGGCTCTCCGGTTTTCCTCCCTCTGCAAAAATAAAACACTTTCGATCTCTGGCTGTGATCCGTGGTCGTACATGGGTCGTATGGCTGGCTACCAAAGGCGCCTTTACATGCCTTCGGCTCGACCACATATTGTAGCCGCGTCCTTTGCAATTCAGCTTCTCAGCTGCGAGTAAGGATGATTAGGCCCCCCCCCCCAAATTGTATACATCGTTGCGTCAAGGCAACAAGGTTGTATCTCCTAAAATGGCATAAACGCAAAACGCAAGTTTCAGAATGTCAAAAGGTCGTATGTGGCTTAAAATAACCCGGATGTACACGCAAAGTCAATGGACGTTTAGATACGACGTTGTTGCACGGAGCGTATACGCGCGAGATCCGACTTTGTTGCAGAATGGACATACGACGTTGTTGCACTAACACGACGACATACTAACCGACAACCTGGACGTTGAACGCGCAATTGTTGTTCTCGTTGCCTGACTGGTCCGTGGCTGTGTAAGTCACGCGCGTAACCCCGAGTTCAAACATTCCCCCCGGCTCGTGCGTAGAAGCGAGCGTCACGCTGGCCCCCGAGTTGTCGCTAGCTGATGGCGAGACCCATGTGATTTCCACCGTGGCTGCCGGTTGCAGCGGGTCAAAGTTGGGTATGGTCCGGCGTATATCACTGGGGCACGTGTTCATGTTGAAAACCGGGTTCTCGTTATCTGTTAGTCAAAATAAAATACTCAAATTAATCTTTAAAGGCATGTAGGATAATTTTATGCACATAGATGAAATGGACCTGCTGTTTGAATAGTCCCAGGCAGTCAAAAAATCAGTCCTCTTCCCCTGCCATGCCTTTTACACAAGCTAGTCACCAACAGTCGGATCATATTTCAAGCAAGCACTGTGACTAGTCAAATTCAGTCAACACGTGTACCTGTCTGGGTGCATGTTGTTTCATTCAAAATAAAGTATTACATAACCTTTAGAAATTGGCCTTTGCAACCACACGGCTGCATTGGTGCTGCAGAAACTTGAAATAAAACTCAGTTCATTTTCAACTGTCGTAGTGCAGCTTTTGGAATCTGTCATGCATAGAACCCATAGATCACAGGGAGTGCCCTAGTGCCAGTTCTGTCCAGAGAAAGGAGCGTACTTAAGTGTTCATACTTGGCGCAAAAGCAAATGCGAATATGTGACGTCAGGGCAAAGGTTTCGCACTGCGAATTTTCGCAAAAGTTGAACACATTTCAACTCCGACAGCAAATGCACAGGTGACCTCAAATTCGTTACGCTATTTGCATCCATGTGAAGTATAAAGCGAAGCGAAATTCGTGACGTCAACAATACATTCGAAGAGCGTCCACCATTTTTGACGACATGAATTTCGCTTCGTACTTGCTTTTGAGTGAAGTATGAACCGGGCTCAAACCAGATATTTAGTCAACAGCTGGCTCACGGCTGTTTAACGGAGTAATGGCCTCGCAGCTTTTAACATAATTATGTAGTACGTGTACTGAGAAAACTTTTTGTTCTCAGCGGTGGTTATAGATTCGCCTACGACATGGATTTATATTTTATTAACTGCCAGGTCGGGCACACTTAGACCCTTTCAAGAAAATGTTCTGATCACGGGACTTTAAATGATAAAACAATAGTTTCATTTAGGGAATAAATCGTCACCGTTTTGACGAAGTGACGCATCCGTCCAAAACCGAGATTTTCTGAAATCTGAGATTTTTGGATATTCTAACATTTTATAATGTCCTCTACATGATTACCAAATTTCGAGACAAAACATTCCATCGTTCGTTAATTACGCTATTTGCACAAAGTGTTGAAAATGCAACACACTAAGTTTTTCGTTTTGACGAAGTGACGATATCTATGTGTCGCTTAGTCTCATTGATTTTACACTTTTACAATCATATGCTAAATTTAGAAATATGTTTTGCGTTTTGACAAAGTGACGTATCTGCGTTCTAAATGCGCACAATCATATGCCTCATGTGTACCAACATATGCCTCATTTTTGTGAAGAAGTAGATTTTCCGTTTTGACAAAGTGACGAATATTTTTACTATAATTAATATCTTCTAATTAAACACGATTTTATGAACAGAGAGAATTGTTTTGGCTATTTAACTCCTGAGCTATTGTCTCAGTTATATAAACAATTTCATGTGACACAGGAAAAGTGTTTAAGACCAGACAGCCATGTCTTTATCAACCTGGCCACGTGAAGGGCTCTCAACCAATAGAAACTGTCTTAGGTATTTATGAATGGCTTTTAATTACCTCTCACGGTCACCTGAATTGTGCAGGTGGCCTCATTTCCAGCCGTATCCCTCACTGTGCAGGTCACAGTAGTGGTGCCAATAGGAAAACGTGAACCGCTGGTATGGCTACATCCCCTGGAGCTGGAGTCTATCCCGACGTTGTCGCTGACCTGTGGAACATTCCAGGTGGCTCGTCCTGTGCTCTGCCCAGGATCGGTATTGACAGACCTTTGACTGGGACTACACACAATTGTTGGGGGCTCATTGTCTAAGCAAAACAAATTGACCACAGACAAGGACATTTACTATCAAGGCTCTCCTTCAGAGTAATGTTGTGAAACCAAAACCGAAATAGGGTTGGGAACACTTCAGAGTTGTGTAATTTAACGAAAATAACTAGCCTTGACACAAGACTGAAATTGTTCCATTTGCAGACTCACCAGTGATGTTGACCGTGAATGTGCATGAGGTGCCGTCATCGTTGTCTGTGCAATAAACTGGTGTAAATCCTACCTGAAACCTGCAAGTTGGAGAGAAGACTACATTAATGTTATTAGGAGCTGTTGGCTTTTTCAGTATTTCTAATACTGTACTTCCAAGTCAGTAATTGAGTCCAGAAAAAAAACCCCAAGTTTATTAAAGAAATAAGAAGATCATTTCCATGAATGCAGGATTATGTCATGTTTTGAACTGCGCCCGAAATCAGGGTCTGGGACACGTTCTCATTCAACCACTTGCAGCTACGCGATGTCACGCGCTGCACTGCGCGTCATGTTAGCGCTTGCACGCATCCATTCGCGGATGCGCCAAATTACACCACCAACTTCTAAGTTCTAACGAAAAAATTTCCAACGATGTGTCACTTGACAGATTGTTGGAAATGGCCTTCTTTCATTGTTTTCTTGAAAATTCAGCATGCCAGAAAGAATAATTTCACAGAGAGTTAATAGTGCTTTTACTATCTTTGAACTAAGTACGTTTTTCAACAAAAAATTCACCAGTTACATTTTGGATAGCTGCAAGTGATGTATTCGACCTTTAACTTACCTATCACCGGAGTCAGAATCACATGTGTGGTTGGTTGTCTGGGGCCAACTCACAACAGCCGTTGCCTGCCCAGGATCTGTACCCTGCTGGATGTCATCTGGACAGATTGCACACTCGACTGCCAACAAATCATTATAAACTTCTGTTTATACCAATGCCCATTAATAAAAACGAGGGGAAATGGGAAGGGGTGGGGTGGGACCACTGATCTCTATATAAAGACTGGATAGCTAATAAAGAGCCGCACAATGAATGAATTTGACACCATATTGGTGAGACCGGCTGGTGATCTACAAAGGACAAGTTGCCGGTTTTATAGACAGCATGATTTCTTTTGTAACGTCGCGGATCACTTGACTTATATTTTGACCACCACCACTGACGAAGGTTAACTACAATTTGTCTAACGTCGTGGTTACTAAAATGCCGCAAATATCACTTTTTCGGCGTTTTGAAATAATAATCACTACGGAAATGTGTCCCTTTTAGAACATCATAATATGTGTACGTGACCAAAATGCGCGTCAACTGTTGATACAACGCGCACGTATTTATGCGAAGAGCGTTCGTATTATATGCGGCCATCTGATCGTGAGACCGGGGGCGAATTGGTCAATATGCAAAGTCTACTGTGTGAATGTTGTATGCATATCCGCTATCCAGTCTTTATATAGAGATCAGTGGGTGGGACGCGGCTGTAAGGCTTTAGATATGCCTCTGAAAATTTTTGAAAAGGCACGATGAGCTTTAATTCATGTTTCATCAATTCATTATTTTTAAGCTCTGGCAGGAGCTTCTTTATCATATGGTGGTTAGTCTTTCTGTCCCATAGAGCTTTATTAAATTACAAGAGCGCTAACTCATGTACAAAGTGATGCCTGCTGGGCGCATCCATGTTTGTACACAGACCTATGGAAAACTAGAAATTTTGTAGGCCCTATGTAGTTTGTTCATCTATTTGCATATATCTGCATTTGTATTTCATACCGTTGCGTCATCGAAGCCGATGTGCCCAAAACCGAAACGCACGATCAGCAAACGAGCGTTTCATTTTGCTCTATGCAAACAGCGCAACGTGTGCGCGTCCCTCAGCTGCAGATGCTTTTTGCCGTGACATTTTTCAAACCGTTATGACGCACTTAAGTTGTTTGCATATGTTCTTACTTGCACGTTGCATTTAGAGTACACTTTTATAATTCAATCCATCCATTTTGATTGTGTTCTACAAACACGCACATAAATTCAAAATGTCTGCGCCGCGCTCCGAGCGGCTGCAAAGTTTCTCCGCGCGCAAGAATGAAGACTTAATAGTAATTAAGTAATTTAATGTACATGTAGCTCTATGGTCTGTCCTCATAGCTGACCAAAAGTATGGTGTTTCATATGTGCCATCGGCACCCCATTCTTTGACAATACCCTGATACTGTCGCAAGCGGCTCGGACTAGACTGACATATAAACAATAATTTGACCTCCTCCCCCCCCCCCCCTCCTGCAAAACAATGACAATTATACTGGTAATCGGTGTACAGGGGTATTTGCATACAGTAATACTTATCTGCTTATAGTATTCTATTTCTTTTCATCACTGTCGGATTTGAACAGTGCCTTCAGATCAAGTATGGTACGAGGCCCCATCCCCCCACACTGCGCCCCCCCCCCCCAAATCATTGATTTACGGAGGCCAAGTGGGAAAGTAACTATGTTACCTGACGCTGCTTTTTCGTCATATATCATCTCAATGAAGGTCAGTCATTATTGCAAAAATGATGATCATCTATGATCTAATTGGACTGAGAAAGTCAAACACTTCCAATTTCGTTAAAAAATACTTAGAAACTTTTCTTGACTCTCCATAGACTTTGTACACAACCGCTGAAGTAGCGTCAGGTTGCAACATTCTTTCCGTCAAGTGTTCAAAGAACAAAAACGTTCTACATTTCAGCATTGTCACTGATTTGCTGATGACCCCCCTCCCTTACTTCCAGAACCTTGGAGTTCTAGAAGTCCCCCCCCCTGCAAAAAAATCTTGGATCCGCCCCTTTGAATGAAGTCAGAAGTTTAACAAGTTAATGTTAGAAAATTCTTTAAAAATGCACTCAACTATCCACAGATTTTGTACACAACTAAAGAAGTAGTAGCGTCTGAACACTACGTTCTTTCCGACTTTATAAATACATACAATCTTCAATCATGGCAATTTACAGTAGGCCTACCAAAAATTACCCGCACATACCGGACTCTCAGCTGCCACTTGAAGCTTCTCCAAGTTTTTGCAGTAGCATTCTAAAGCGCCCCCTTTTGACAGGATTGTGAAGAACCCTCTGACTATGAGCGCAAACCAGTAAGTAACTTCCCACCGCGACAGCCAGTGATAAATAAATCCCCATACTTCAAAATAAAAACTCTCACAAGTGTGCAGCTGCACACGCACACAAAATGATGACCAACATGTCGTCTTTCATTTTCCTTTCAATTTTTGGTGAGTTGACAGCTGACTTTAATAGAAATTCTCAGCCAAAGACGACCATGGTCGTCTTTGGCTAAGCTAGGGTGCATCCCTAGTAAACGAATGGAATTTCCCAAACTGAAGTAAAAAGGATCCCTCCACAACATAAATCGCGCCAGTTTGACCCAATTTCATCCAAAATGCTTAGAATTGGAAGCCCCCAAAACGTCCAGGCCAGAGGTGTATTGCCATAATTCGTCACCGTTTTCACGAAGAGCCACATATGTCCAAAATTACAATTTTTTTCGATTTTGATTTTTTTCAATATTTTGCATTAAAACAATGTACTTAACCATTTTGACATGTTTCTGTAAGCAAAACATCATTCATTTCTAAGTTACATTAATGTTGCAAGGGGCAGAAATCTCAATAACTGCATTTTGCGTTTTCACGAAGAGCCACATACATTTTGGCCCTTTGAACGCGTACAAAACCCATTGCACGGAAATACGTAAAAGTAGGTCAAATGAGATTTGCGTTTTCACGAAGAGCCACATATCTTTGTTACATTTTCAGGCGCGCGCGCGTACTCACGCGCGCCTATGGAAATACACGTTGAACAGAAAGGGCCAATATGTCGGAAACGTGAATTTGCGTTTTCACGAAGAGCCACATATCTTTACTAATTAATTTCCACTAATTAACTGCTTTATTATGTCTTATTACCGGGTTTATGTAAAACTTCAGCTCACGTAGAATCGTGTGATGGTTTCCTTGCTGCACAAAGTTGTTGCAAAGTAGTATTTCTTGCAGTTTTAAAATATGAGAAACTTCTTTTGTGATTATCTCGAAAACACTTTACTTCAAAATCAACATAATATATATAGTATGTGGCTGTTCGTGAAAACGTTGACGAATTATCATTCCCCAATTCTCAGACCTCTCTCATTGTGTTAATGCCACGATTGATCCCTAAATCGACCACAAGCGGAAGACAAAATATCCCAAAGAAATCTTGAAAAATTCGACACGGTCAAGTATCTCACCTTTACTGGTCGCAATGATCAACGTCAGCATCCCCATGACGGCCCGGAACATCACGCCCTCATGATGAAAACATGCCCCGCCCATTTTTTTGGCCGTCTCTGGACAGATTTAACTCGATGTCTTGTTGGGAAGTAGATATATACTGAATTCTTTGAGGCAAAAAAGGATCAGTCTCAATTGCTTCCTCATTGTTTTTTTTTTTTATCTATCTCATCATGAATTCATCATAATCACAAACTTTCGTTCACGCCAAAATCCCTGACTTTGACGCAAATGTGCAAGTTATACATTGAAAGCTGAAAAGTATACCTTTAGTTTTAGTACGACGCAAACAGAGACTGATCATAATTATGATTATTTGCAACGTAACCTACTGAATTAATTATTATCGAAAAGCCTCATCAGGGCCTACTTTATAAACAAACCGTGAAATTAATTATCTTGCTGGCTGTCACTGAAGCGGATGTACGTACTGGTATGCAGTACAGTTTGAAAGTGCCTGTATGTGCACCAGGAAATTAAACACTGTAATAATTTTCTAAATATAATAAATTAAAGGGAATGTACACCATTGGCCGCTTTTGCTGTAGTTTTCAGAAATGAACTATTTGGGGGATTAGTATAATAGATCAAATTTTGTTCAAGTAGTCTGGTTCCCTGACTCCACCAAAGATAAAATGGATCAATTTCCAGATACCGGAAAATTGTAAGGTAAGGGAACAAGTCTAGCTGGCCTACACCCGTTCATGAATATGTAACCAATAGCAAACAAAATTTGAACTGAATAAAAAATGGTAAATTTGGAGCAGTAGTTGCAAAATAGTTACGTTTTTCCAACGGTGTTCGGTCGACCACACTTCACACCAGGTGCCATAATTTTACAGGATGCTTTAGACTGTCATTTACCAACATCCTAGTTAGGTATTCCGTAAAAACTTCGTAGTTTTATTTTTCAATGTTTGCAAATGTTGTATATTCCCTTTAAATACGTGATTATTACAACTGATACAAATGGGTGACAATTTTTTTGTATTGGAGTTCTGCATGTGGCACTTTTAATATCTAGGATATGAAAGCCAATGCATAAGCTTTCTTTTAGTGCAAGAATCATTCAAATCACTCATGTACTAAAGTGACGGAATTTTTAACACAGCCACCGTTTAAATAGAAGCCTTCTGTCCACGGATCACAAAAAGGCAAGTGTTCTTTCAGCAGAACGAAAACAAGTCATATAAGTATGCTGTTTTCGTTTTGCTGAAAGAACACTTACCTTTTTGTGATCCGTGGACAGAACTTTAAAACAGTGGTTGTGTTTAAAATTACATTTTGAGTGATTTGAATGATTGTTGTACAGAAAAGAAAGCTTATGAACTGGGCTTCCATATCCTAGATTTTGAAAGGGCTACATGCATAACTTCACTAAAACAATAGTGCCGACATTTGGGTGTTTTTTTTGCTCACCCTGTACGGAGTCTAAATAAATCTCATCACTGAGTAATCTCTCTAAAGTCCTCTTTGAATCTGTTCATCACTGTGGAAAATGTGATCGTTATAATATTTCCGTGTTTACTCCAATATCAAATGCATTGGATCAAGATCAAGATCGCCATCGGTAAGGTCTTCAAAGACAGAATCAAACTTCATCAGACGAAAGGACTACAAAGTGATACACAATACATGCATCTAATGACTACTCCGATCTCCCCCATGGCTTGATACGGATTCTACCGGTGTCGGATCAAGATCAAGATCGCATTGACATGGGCGTACGCCGTGGTGAATCCAGCGACATTTCTCTAAACCATTTTTTTTATCTGAAAGTATTTCCAAACATTATTCACCGTGTACAAATTGATCACCCGACATTAGACTGTCCTCCGGCATGGACAGATCTAAATTTGACTTTGAAAATTACCCTGAACTATATTACGAACTCATTGTCTACGCCGACACCTAACAATTACTAATGTTCTTATTTATATATATATCTTGCTTCATACCAAAGGTTTCAAAGATAGAGCTTCAGAAATTATTACCCTGGACATCAGACCATTGGGGCGTAATTTCGGAAACAATGCGATTAAGATATGTGTCAAATTAAAGAAAAACCACAACTATACATTGTTAACATATCAGGAGACTTGCTATATTAAAGTGGCGAATCCATTTACATACAGTGTGAATATTCAAATAACCATTAGCTTCGTAAAACCGCCACTTGATGAAACTTTCTTCAACATGTTTTTTTAAGGCATGCCTTAAGTCCTACCTGAAGTGTTTATAAACAATGTACAAGATTAAACTCACCAGCTTCAGTGCCGAAAGCAAAATATGTTCATATATACTCGACCGATGACAGAACGATAGCTATACGTAAGACCGGCCCCGCTGAAGTTGAGCACTTGTCTCCAACTGTGCAACAATAACTCCTGACTAAAAAAGGACCATTTCCGGACACGATGAAATTTAGAAGGAACTTCCTCGTTGTGATTCGATCTTGTGTTCTCGACTTCCGTTTAATCTGTAATCCAGCCTATAATTGGACTACAATAACCACCAACAAAAATGTGAATTATATACCGGTCGAAAAAAAATTAAATGAACATACTAATGCGGTTTTTTTTAAAGGGCAAAGCTCGTCATATCTCGATATCTATACAAACAGTTGAGCCACTCGGAATAAAAAATCATGAAGATGAAGAGGCTTAGTTTCGTTTCCAGTCGTTACGAGGCATCTTTTTATGACCGAAACCTTTTACCCAATGCAAGACCGAGACCAACTCACATGACCAGAACATTAATTGCGGCATAAAAAAAGAACGTATAATTTGTGAAATTGTTTGTCTTATTTGTGTATTGTAACTTAAGTGGCTTCACCGCCGGCATTTTTACAACTTTTCTCTTCGAGAATTTCGTCTGTTCAGGCGTTGAATTGTTTTTATTTTCGAAAGCAAGGGGGAAATAACTTGACAGTGATCAATTAAAGTCAAACCGAATATTTATTGGAATTATGATGCACCATGCACTATATGAAGGTTGGAACTCGAGAAGACATAGAGAAGAAAAGAAAAAATTGCGAGAGATGCCGGGCGTTGACCCGCTTCACGTAACACCCAACACAACCTGCGAATCAAATGTGTGAAAGAAGAAGGTAGTTGCACGGCCTCGAATCAACATCACAAAGTTTTGTTCAAGTTGGTGCCCCATGTCCTTAAAAACAAAAAGCTTGTTCTCCCCGACAATTTTTCAATTTGTATGTTTGTTTTTTACGACCCCCCCCACCTGTTCCCTCCTCGATTTTGGGCGTCATACAACCCCCCCCCCCCCACCCGACAAAGGGTTTTCAATTAATTCGAAGTTTGTATAATGAAATTCATTGAGTAAATGTTGGTGAAATTTTGCGTTGGAAGTCTCATTAAAAAGTGAATAACTTATTGATGCGAAAAGAGCAATTAAACAAAAAAAAAACAAGTGCGAGAGCACAATAAGCTCTGGCGAAAAATGCGACACCGATGGCATATAAGGAACACCATACGTTTGGCCAATTTTCGGGGACAGACAGTCAGAAAGGCAGACAGACCGACCACCAAGTGGCAAGTAGAAGCTCGTGCCTTAAAAAAATCGGAGAGAAACTCGAAGCAGAACGGCGAATCATCTTTAATTTTGTTCAAAGTGAAACTAAAGATGTGCCGGTCGAACACGCATGTTGAGTGAATGTCCCTGAACTATTCGTTTATACTTTTATTTCCATCGGCAACAGTTCCTGAGGAAGTCAATTGTGCCTGATTTTTTCTTTGAAGTTACAAGACGTCATTTTCAAACTGTTTCGTTTTAGGATATACCAGCCATATATGAATGAAAAACAAAAATGAGTATATGTAGCACACATATTTAAGTACTTGGCCAAAACCGAGATGGAAATTAAACTTAATCTTAGTACACACATAAATCATGTCAACACACAAAAGTCGAAATAAATAAAACTGAAAATTTGATAATTTACAAAATTAAATATTAGGAGATAACTTTCAACCCTGTTGAGGCGAACAAGGGTGATCTCAAACTTGTCCTTTTTTCTCCTGGACTAAAAGGTGATGAGTTGACATTCTTAAGACAATGGCGAATGTTTATAACGGGATGATTAGCGAACGAGGCAATAATAATCACGTTATTAACTTCGAGTTTCATTCAATGTACATGTATATTATCAAAAACAAAGGCTAAGCCTCGTGCACCATTTCCAAAATACCCAAAGTGAATTGACGATGAGACTTCGAATTGATTTAAGGCAGAAAGGATCATTTGCTTGTCAGGCATTTTGTTCCTTTCAAATACTAACACCACCCAAAATCCAAAGACGAATGTTCAAAGAAGAATGTTCATTGCAACATGTACATCAGATTCGAACAAGCTAACCTATCCCGTGAGCTCGATGGTCGAGTGGTAAGACGTCATCTGCACTACAAAGCAGGAGGTCGTGGGTTCGAGTGAGTTTTTTTTTTCGAAATAGTTTCACTCGGGAGGTAACACACTGAGTATACAATGTTTATACGTCGGTGAAGGCAAAACCTAACGTTGATTTACATCAACCCAACGCGAATTCATTAATGTTCAGTGCCTTACGAATAGAAGTTTCAGAGCAGTGCATATTACACTTTTGGAGAAAACAGTGAAAAACCATGCACAACCTCTCGATCACAAAACACAACTTCGTATATAGCACCCTCAAAATTTCCAAAAATCACTCAGTCGATCGTTAGAAATTACCTGCATTTTTTGATTTCCTTTAATGACATCAAGCCAGACGGAATAAATTCACAAGGTGTTAAGTGCCAGTATGATCTAAATAAGTCAGCTTTTTTTGATAAGAATTCGGTGGGTTACTTTTGAGATCAATGCAAATGATCATGTGTGCCTTTAAGACAATCATTTATCATTCTATGTAGCAGAGACAGGAATCGATGAAGTTAAGTTTGCTTTCATTAATCGCCACATCACAGCAATACTCATACCAGGGCTTGGCGGGATGGTCACGTTACTCCCCTATTAATTCAAATCAAAGTTACTTTCCAAAATGTATATATTATTCTCATTATTATTAGCTTTTTTTGTAAGTTTTTTAATATAAAAATTAGCACCGTAATTCACGGTAAAGTCAAATAACGAATGACTGAAACCGACTTGATGTGCTACAACAATCCTTCCGGCGCCCATGCAAGCCGACGGGTCATTAAGCCTCGTCGCAAAAGGGTTATGAATATTAAATTAAACAATGTGCTGAAACAACCTCCAACACTATATGCGGTTTTCAGTTCTTCCTATCAATAACAATAAGAATTGATATTGACTGATTATACGAATTAAACTTGATAATGAATTTCGTGTACTCTTCTGGTGCTTCCGTGTTTATCAACTGTAGGGTGCCAAAATTACAAAAGGTATAGCTCAATCATTGCAGAGCAGAAACGGTGAATCAAAATTTCAAATTCAGATAACCCGTATCTTAGGTTTTAGATTCAATGCAGATTTGTACAGGGCGAGTAAGAAATAACCAACCAAAAGCGGCAGGGCCAATTTTTGAAGGACGTTTTGCCTGTAGCACTTTCAAAATCTAGGATATGAAAGCCCAATCAATGAGCTTTCTGTTAGTACAAGACTCATCAAATCACTCATGTACTTTTCAAGTTACGGAATTTGGAACACAAACACCGTTTTAAAGTTCTGTCCACGGAACAAAAAAGTATTCTTTCAGCAAAACAAAAACAATTCACATGCATCCCTATGAGAATTGTTTTTCGTTTTGCTGAAAGAACACTTACTTTTTTGTGATCCGTGGACAGAACTTTAAAACGGTGTTTGTGTTTAAAATTCCGTAACTTGAAAAGTACATGAGTGATTTAAAAGTGCTCCAGGCAAAACTTTATTTAGTCGTGATTTGACTTGTGATAAACTCGTTAACAACTTTGGTTCATTGTGAATATTTATACGCAATGTGAATTCTTACATGTGTAAAAACTCAGTTTTGCTGAAAGTTTTAAGTCTATATAGCGTCAGTCAGCAATGACCTCACAAGGAGCACCGTCCACATCTATGGACAGCCGGTCGGCCCCGGCTAGCGATGAGCCAGGCTCGTACTCGATGATCTCGGTGCTCACGCTGAATCGCACCGTCCTCCTCTCCCCGAGGAAGGTGTCGCTTTTCACGGTGCTCAGTGTCTCTCCCTCGCACCCATCGTTGTTGATGACGATAGAGGTGTACGCGCTGAGTGATAAGCCACCGGGCTCCAGCTCAGTATTCCCCCGATGATCTGCGGGACGCTTACTGGTACGGCCAGTCGCTCCAACTGCAGTCGGAAGCGCTTCTCGCGTTGTTGATGGTGGCAAGTGCACAGTGGTCTCGATGCCGGTAGCGTCTTGGGGAGCAGAGTTTTGTAAACGTGGTCCAATATCAGTACTTTCTCTCCGCTTGCCTGTCTGAGAAGTACCTAATTTTATTTTCGAATTCGATATGGTAGATTCTACGTCCTTCTTATGTTGAACTTGGAGGGCAGTGAAGGTGGAATCTTGAGTTTCGTGACAGCCATGAACGGCGGTTACTGCTTTTGGACTAGAAGCAGAGGGTAGTGCGGAGGTGTTAACGTGGAGTTGTCTTCGCTTCTCTGAACCCGCTGAGTTGTGAGTTTTGTCGGTCACAGTACCGGAGTTGTTTCTGTCTCTCGAGGGCTCGTTTTTCCGGAGGGGCAGAGTTTGCGGAGCAAGCTGCCCGTCATGTACGGAAGCGGTAGAGGAGCTTTGGGTTCGCGGGGACGGTTGGTGGGTCTTGCCAGGCAGACCGGTCTCTAGGTCAGTGAGGGTGGATGGTTTGATCCGCGAGTGGCGAAAGGAGACCAAGGGCGGCGAAGAGTCCATGGAAATCCTGGGCAGGTGAACGTGGTGGCTGACCGTCCCTGATTGGGACTTGTGCTTTAATTTTCCCAATCCCTCCTTCTCCCGATCATCCCTGCCTATGACGGCGTGGGCACTGGGCCCTTCCAGAGTTGACTTGTCTCGATACAGGTCGGAGAGCTTGTCGAACGCCGACGGACGCGTCAGATCGAAGTCCGTGATGTCGGCAAGCTTCAGGGTCTGTCTCTGCTGCTGGCGGGGCCCGCTGGAGCTCCCTTCCCCGAGGCTGGACAGAGAACCTCGGCGCTTCACCGGAGCGCGAGTCTTACCCCACGACGCCGAGCCAGTGGTTCTGGACGTACCCAGCGCACGGTTCCCTCCTCCGTGGACCCGCATCTCGCCGCGGTGCTGCGAGGCTGAAGACGCCATGGGAGCCGTGGATGAGGCGGACAGCGGAGGAAACGAGACATGCATGTCTGGAGACCGGAATTCGGAATCGCTCACGGCCGCCGAGAGCGTACCGCTGTGGTGGTGCAAGGATGCTCCGCCGGAGAAGAAATTCTTAAATGTTTGTTCATTTGCCATGGGTGTTTGCCCAACACCACTGCGTGACCGCAGTCACAGGCAGAAAATGTGTTTGTTTTTTCGACCAGCCCAGTCCTACTGTTCGTGTGTTACTTATCCTTAAAGTCCACAGTATCTGTTTGCTGGTTTTCTGTGGTCTTGCCGTGAATACATAGTAACGATTCGTCAATGGAGCTCCGTCTGTATAATGTTGCCTGAATTTGTCCAAGAGGCACTCCATCCTCTCCACAGTTACATTAGATATTCATGCGCAATTTGTTCAATAGCAGCCCTACTTCATGGCCAAGCATCTATTAGCTTGTTCAATTGCTACTACGGACGACACATAACGGGCTGACATCTTCCCACGTCAATCATTTTTGTTGGTGATAGATACAGAGCTTTTAACTTGATTGCTTGTTGAGTCCATAGTTCAATATTATACGACCACCCATTACGGCTTTAATGTGTTCTCTTGTTCTGTGCCATGGATACAACGGCATGTGGAGCATCATCTATTCCCTTCGTCAGCTATGCAGCAAGCGTGTACCTACTCTTTAGGGGGCAAACTCCTTGTGAAACAAATTCCTAGTGTTCTGGGCTGGAAAATTGTTCTCAGTTGTATCAGTATCAAGGTTGGCGATTTTCCCGTGTAGGTAGCTGTAACCCCATCTGTTGTAAGAAAAGTCCACTTATAATTGAGTCATTTCAAAAGGAAAGGTTTAAATAAAGAATTGAGAAGCGGGAAAGTGTTTATCGTACAGTGAGTAAGCTGCGGACCGTAAAATAGTCTGCAGTGCATCAACGATGCAGTCCTCACACGGTGAGAATTTGGTCTCTATTCCGAGGTTCACATCTGACTCATTACATTCACTTGTCAAGCAGCAGCATCTCTCCAAAATTGTCATGTCTAATATGATACGACTATCATCAGGCCAACCGGCAGCATCGCTGACTAGCCACAATGAAGCTGGTTCAATGATAAAACTCTCTCTCAAACCATATTCTATACCCACCAAAAAGTTGCATGCTTACCCGGCAGATCCTCCTTTGCTTCAAGTATTGACAAAAATACAAAAGATGTTTGCAAATTCACAGAGCACTTCTTGTCCTGCTTCCACCGTGCCGGTGTCTGTTCTTGCAGTCCTTATTGCTCTATATGGGTTAAATAGCGGTCCAGATTACAGCATTTTATACGCCTCACAAAACTTGGATAAAGATTACACCAATCGTATTAGTAAGGGACTCCCGCATTCATTGGACAGAAATAACGGTCCACTGTCCCTTTCTTCGCCTTCAAAGCATATTGTGCCTTTTTCTGAAGAGGATCGGCTTACATCACAGAGCAAGGAACAGATTATCGTACCCTTAGCGACTTCCAGCGGGCTGTTTGTCCACATATAGAAATGTAAATATGTGCTCAGGGGAAAATCAAGGCTGAAGCATGTGAAGCTTGAAACACTAGTATCGCCATTAAAAACATATTACGGCTGATAAGCATCGGCTGTTCTCAACCCAAAGGGCGAACAAAACTAAAGCACCGTCTTTTAGAAGTAGAACACTGATTCATTACTGAAACATTCATGTCGTTCAAATGAGAGGTGTTTTGTTCATCTGCTTCCACGTAGCCAACCTATCTGATTCCCCCCGTTACTATCACCTTAAGTCGATTAACTAATATGTTTATGGCCTGAATGATTGCTAGCCCGGGTGATTCCCCTAACCCCTGCGGGGAAAGAACAGCATGATTGACTCCGATCAATATCAACCCATTAGCGAGAATGGGCACCTCTTCGATTCATCATGTTGACCCTACAGATCAAGTGCCCCCGCCAAGTGTGCAGAGTGCTTAGTACACATTGCACGCGTCACAATACGCTGTTAGAAACTGGAGAGGGAGGTGTCTCTAAAAATAGGATAAGGAAACATAGATTTGGTTTCCACCCCAGGGAAACATGAATACGCTCCTCACTTGAGAATGAGTATTAATTAATAATCACTGTGCATGTACATGAGTCTTACATTGTGTGACTGTGGGCCTACACAATGATGCACTTAACTTTACTGACCACTAACAGTTCTAAAACCTAGCCTCCAACTTTAACATGATTTTGTTCACACACTGTTAATGTTGGGAGCTAGGATGTCCATGAGAAACATTCTATATTCAGCTCAACTCTAACAAATTAGAGACTGTGTGCAATGAAGTACGCACCACGCAAAAACTTAAGCAACGCAATAATTCCTTTATTTAAAAAGAAGTTCAATATATTTGAAATATCTACATCTATTAATAATTATTAATGCATATTCATAAATACCTAAGGAAGTTTACCCACTCCTATTGGTCGAGGGCCCGTCACGAGGACGGTCTTAAACGGTTGATTAAACACCGCCTGGCTGGTCTTAAACACTTCCTCCAGTGTCACGTGAAATTTGGACTCCTACGAATCCGGTCCCTTTGACCCTTTTATTGGTTGAACGTTCACAATCCGCGGTTAGGCATGCGCAATACTACCAGCAGGTCTGTATTTCATAGTCCTAACTTGATTCACACCGTACACCGGCGCAGCTGCTTTCTGCGCCACATCGCGCAGTACGCGCAACGTGTAAGCCGATCTCCATAGGCCATAAGGAGTTGTTTACGACTAGGCTCGCGGGATGCACGTACCATATCATAGCTACAGCGTGTTTAGGAAAAAATATAAATAAACTTGTACAAAATCGTTGAAAATTTATATTTTTGACTTGTTTCGACTGTTTGACCCAAAAGGTATTTATGAATGGGAACAAAATAATGTGCCTGGCCGGTATTAAACACTTTGTTTAAGACCGATTTGGAGTCTAGACGCTGATAATGACCCTCACTTGCGGCTCGGATCATTTTCAGCGTGAAGACTCCAAACTGGTATTAAACATAGTGTTAATACCGGTCCTATGTTTAATACCAGTCAAGCACACATTTATTCTTGTGGTCTGGTCCCTGACCCCATAATTCAGACGTAAAGGAGCAAATCTAAAGGCGTCGGCGGGATTTGGAACCAGACTAGCTGGCCTGCGCCTTTACACAGATGTGCAACCGATTGCAAACAAAATTTGGACTAATTTGGTAAAGTGAGGGTAATATTTGAAATGAGTCAGTTTCTTTCCGACGATGGTTAGTCGAAAAATGAAGCTAGGCTCCGAAGCAAGTAAACAACAGTACAAAAGGAATATGTCGCAAGGCCACTTCAGCAAGTGCAAAATAATGAAAAACAAAAATGGGCACAATTTATTATACAATAAGATAACAGAAATTCAAAACATTGCTAATAATTCAAATTAATATTATATACAGAAATAAGGACTGAAATAGTGAAGTGAACACGTTTTGCACTATTTTACACCAGATGCATAATATGAACGGAATTAAAAAAAGAAAAAGAAAGAAAACAAAAACAAAAATTAGAAGACACGAGGCTGAACAAGGTAGGCCTAAATGAAGTTTAAATTCTAAATTCGTGTGCAGGAATACATACACACAAACTATGCATACAAACTCGCCGCTATCACGCAAACATTTCCTGTTTTGAGTTTGTTATGGCAAGTTGGATGCGCGCTTTACGGGAACAATTATTAATCTCGAAGTTCAACGGTTTCGGGTGAATGCGCGACAATGGTGAGCGAAAACTGACATCACGTACACCACCATTGCTACTCTAGGCGGAAGTATTCCGTGTATTTTGCCAGGCTGTTCGCGAAGAATTACAAATTCAGTTCTGCAGTTCGTGCACTGCATTTCAAATTCTCGAGAGCACTGAGTGTCGTGAGTTCACCAAGGCATAATAAGTTTCCGGACCACCGTTCCAGACCCCAAGTAAGTTCAGTTTTCAATCCACTTTTAAAAGTTTTGTTCAGGTATAACGCGCTGTTTAATATTGTGAGGCAACCTGTGTTTAAAATATTGCTGTGCAGGAGTAGCCTGGCTGACTCGGCAGTTTTATACTGAAAAAAAAAAATGAGAATACAATCATGATTACCTGTTGAGGTTCAACGCTCTGATAGACACGGTATGCTGTATTAGTCCATGGGCCAGGCCATATGATTTTAATAGTGCCACCTGAGGTGGAAAAACTGTTATGGTGAAATATATATGATATATATGATATATATGATATAGCCTTTCGTAATGAGTATCTTTTTGATGCAGTTACTCCTTTTAACGTAAACCCTATGGGTATCAGGGGGCGGGGCCACAAAGTACCCCAATGATACGTATTATACTCCTGAGTGCTTGGTTGGTTGGCTTGAAGTTCAGTGGTCTCTCCAAACTTCTACTAGAGGCTACTAGTTGTACAAAACCATCTATGGAGGATGCCCATAGTTACCATGTTCGGTAATTATACCATATCGTCATTAGTGTGTGTGTTAAACCATGAATATGTGCATTTTTATATAGAACTCAATGTTTTCTTTTCCCAGGCCTATCATGTACTTAGTTAGCTTGAGACTTCAATTCATGACCACCCGATTATAACCACAATGCATGCTGGGAATCCAATATGGCCGAGTGTATGGTATGGTGGCTCTATCCCATCCATAAATACCTAAAGGGTGCACTGAGCAAATTCAAGCGAGAATTTCTACACCAGCTGATTAGAATAAAAAGTCCCCCCCACAATTTCTTTTGAAAACGGAGACCGTTTGGCTTTTAAAACAGTGGAATTGTGTAAATATAACCAAGGATCAACTCCCTGGTTTTTGAGCTTCCATCTGAGGGCAGGCTTGATAAAATCAAGGATGAAAAATTAGTCCAATTTGCCTGTGAAAGTGGAAGGATGCCACTTGTAAAATGGCTACATGCAGGCTTTGGAACTATCACTTTTCGGAGGGTGATTTTATTTGGGTGTGGATATTTAAAAATGTAATTGGCTAATGTACCTAAAATTGAAAAGAAATGAAAAGATGAAAGACAAGACTATAATTTAATTTTTGTTTGAGAAACCCCAGTGATGTTGGCTTGCATGTTACTTGGCCCTGAACTTTGTTGATTTTACACTGTTTTCAATGGGGCTTGAATTAGACAGTGGACCCTTAAATGTAGACTGTCTTGAAAAACCATCCTCTGATGGGTCATTCTTATAAAAACGGACAATCATGGACATTATCGGACATTAGGTGGCGCTCTTCATCCCTGCAAAATTGCCGACGGACACACGATTACTCCGACGGGGCGATTTCGCCGTCTCGATTTTACTTCAAGCAGCGTCCCCGTGATTCACGTTTTCAACCTCTAGCCCAGGTGCAATCGGCCACTCTGCAACCCCCCGGAGGTAATACCACTGATGGCGGAGGTGGTAATGGTGATCATGATGACAATGGTGTTGATGTAGTCCGAAACTTTGGGACTCTTAATACTTAAATTGTGAATTTTCCAAAACTTAAGGTATTAAAACCTTCAATATACAATAAAATAGACTGGCACCTGAAACAACCAGTCCACCAACCCTTCAGAACTGCATCAATCAAAAAGAAACATCTTGCATATCTGATACTAGTCTCTATTTCTACACATTTCTCCATAGTCAGCCACCAGACTGATGACACTCCTTTCAAACAGTTTGACCATGGTTTGACTTGTACCAGACTAGTCTTTAGCTTCATTTTGAAATCACCTGACTTCCCTCTATTGAAGAAAAGTCTCCTTTAAAAATTGAGTTGAGACCTTGGTTGGTGAATAACATTCTCTTTGCCCAATGATTTTTTTTGCCTGATTTCGGTTTGCATGTTTTTCAGCACTCGAGGTCCTAGTCTGGTGCTGATGGTGATGACTGTGGTGATCATAGTTGTGATTGTGGTGATGATAATTCTGGTGATAGTGATGATTGTGGTGATGATAATGTTGGTGATAGGGAGGATTGTGGTGATGATAATGTTGGTGATAGTGATAATTGTGGTGGGGATAATGTTGGTGATAGTGGTGATTGTGGTGATGATAATGTTGGTGATAAGGAGGATTGTGGTGATGACAATGTTGGTGATAGTGATGTTTGTGGTGGGGATAATGTTGGTGATAGTGATGATTATGGTGGGTTTTATGTTGGTGATAGTGATGATTGTGGTGGGGATAATGTTGGTGATAGTGATGATTGTGGTGGGGATAATGTTGGTGATAGTGATAATTGTGGTGGGGATAATGTTGGTGATAGTGATGATAATGTGGTGGGGATAATTTCACCAACATTATCATCACCACCACAATCATCACTATCACCAACATTATCCCCACCACAATCATCACTATCACCAACATTATCCCCTGTGGTGATAATAATGATGAAGGTTTTGGTTATGGCGAATAGATGCTGTCTCGTTCCCGACCCGCTACTGCGTGCTTTCTGTAGCGAATGTCATTTGGACTGTTGCATATCTATTCAAATATCTTTTGTTTGTAGCATTGTTTTCAGTCGGTAGGATCGCTTGAACTAATTAAACCTTGAACAACGGAAAAGGAACAAATGAGACCAAGATTAATTTTAGCATATTCCATTGTTTAGGCTTACATCTCAACTAATCGAAACCACTTCCCGAAAAATATATTGATTTCGGTTTCGATTTCGCCCAAAAAGTACACTTGAACGAGGAAGTTTGTAATGAAATGAAGTCATGAAGTGGGTTTATAGAGCCGCAGTAAAAACAGTTAAGGTGAAGAAGGTATCTGCATGAAACGTGATCATGATGAATTTACCAATAGGTGAATCCAGGACATGCCTGCTTCCCCCCCCCGAAAATTTGGTTTTATTTGTCGTTGAATCAGTCGGCGTTATACTGTACATGTAAAGGACGCGGCGGTGTTGTGGTTTCGAATTGTCAGTCTGCAAATTCTCCCACGGTTCTATCAAACCGAAAGACATTTTGGTTGAGCTCTCTAACCCTGCGGGGCAGTTACATCAAATACTACTATAAATGAAAATTACATTTTATCGTCGGTAATTTTGCCTCGCTCGAGTTCACAACTTTTTTTTGAGTTTCACAGTTCTAACTGACGATGGTGCATTTCTGTTGATTCCTCAACTGTTAAATTATACATAGTTGTCACGTATTCACATGTGCCCAACCAAATTACCCCCGTCAAGATAAATATGGTTTTGAATATAAGTTTTAATCAGCAAGTTTGTGATAATCAACAGTATTGACGTGAAGAGTATTAATTTTTCTTTTTTTGTGAGTGCCAATTTATGCAAGTTTCCATGTATGAAGCAAAATAATGATTATGACGGCATTATGACTGTTTTACAAAGTTTCAATTTAGTGGTGTAGAGTTTATGGTTTTGAAGACGTCTAATCTTTGAGACTGACTTCGCACATGTCTTTGTATTTATGGTAAAATATCCCAACTTCTAGTTCAATAGTAGTTGACTAAAAGATAAGCTGTGTATATAGGCCTATATCCGACAAAACTCATGTAAGGAGAACGGTTCATTTTAATGTGTTTTTGAACTACGCTCACCTAGAAAGCTATTAAAAAGATACCTCATAATCATGCATAACGATTGATCACCAAACGGTAAACGTTCAAACTTTAAACTCAATGTCCTCAAAATCCTCTTTTTCGAGTAAGGCTGTTTTGCCATCCAAAGGCCGCGGTTTCGGCAGCTAGCACTAAACAAAGTTCCAATGTCATGTTTAATTATAATAATTCAGTTGCCGTGTATAGGCTATTTTAATCAACAAAATTGTCTACAACAGTACCGCGGTTGTCACAATGCTTGACCCTGCAATGCTCTCAACACAATAGAAATATACCGTCTGGCTGCGATCAAATCCCCCCTCTGAACAGATTCAAAAGGAATTCGTAGCTGTCCCGGAACAGCGTAGAAATATCTTTTGAAATCATGACAAGCACTTTTTTGTGAAGAAATCGGGGAGCTGAAAGGGAAATACCCCGTCATTTTATTCAGGCCATGCAAAAACTCAAATATGTTTGTGTTGGAATGGTAATGATGAAAATGTCAGTGACAGTTGTAGAATACGAGCTGCTTGGTTTTGACAAAGCTAATTGTAATTTAGAACCTACATGCGTAGATTGTTTTTGTTTGGCCCATGGAGTAGTTTATTGACCACTTACTTATCACTGTAAATTGTAAACATACTCTAGAACTCCTTTGAAAAAAAAGGTAATATATTTTATTTTGATCCACATTGGTACCAAAAACTGGTTCTCGGGACAGAAATAATGAAATTAAAAATGATGTGAAGAAATATACTGTGTTAGATTTTCCCTCGGCTCTCGGTGGTGTTGTAGTATACTTGTACTCGTACTCGAGTACTACTCGAGTACTTTTTTTGCACAATGAACGCACAATAAACCGTTTGCGGTATGGCCGTATTCGGACATAGAAGTACTCGTATTCGTACTCGTGCTCGGAAGTACCAGTAATCGTACTCGTACTCGGAGACTTGTACTTGTACTCGGAAGAACTCGTATCGGTAACCTAAGTACTCGGCAGTTCTCGGTACTCGACTACAACACACTGACTCTCGGAGGCTTAATTTCCGTTCGTGGAACTGTAATTAAGTTTTATTATTTGTTAATATATTGTCGGTGAAATCATTATTGTTTCTATCAATTCTTTCATTTGTTTTAAAGCACAGAATGACCTTAAGATTACTCGGTCTTGCCTTGTTGTTTGTCTTCTTCATATTCTTTAATAGAAACAGAAGTTATGACATTTGTGTTTTTCTTGACCTTTACCTTCGAAGTTTCATCAGAAATTAAAGATGGAGTGTGCACCGGGCAAGGTCGTTTTCTGTTTGTTGGCGGCGATGTCTTCTCTGATGGTGATGGTGCGAAGTCAGGGTGAGTATTCCCCACGCCCGCCCCACCCCAGCCCGACCAAACCTCACCCCACCCCACCCCACCCCACCCCACCCCACCCCACCCCACCTCATCCTCACCCCTTTCCCACCCTATCTCCACCCCATCCCATCCCCACTCCATCCCCACCCCACCTCATCCCCGCCCAACCCCACGCCCGCCCACCCCACCCCAAACCCACCCTAATTGAATTGATATTGACCAACTGTCGATCGGATTTTGCTTGGTTAAGCTAAGCAACATCAGATGATCAGCTTTATGAAGCAAGTATCCCCGTTTTTCTCTCATTTTGCAGTCATACTTTCCATGTCTTTCGTATGGGACCCGGATTGGTACCCACCAAGAGATGTCGACAAGTAGAGTGTGTTTTCATGTCACAAATCCCTGTAGGCCTATCAAATCATTAAAGCTTTAAAATCCTGGCATTACAAACAAAGAAATGATTCATGTTCAAATTCGCCAAGTGTGCCGTCCCGTATTTTGCTAGCCGGTATTACACTGCGTAACAGTATAGCCGGCTGCATGTGAATTGTTTTCGTTTTGCAAAAAGAATACCTTTTTTGTGATCGGTGGACAGAACTTTAAAACGGTGTTTGTGTTCAGAATTCCGTAACTTAAAAAGTACATTAGAGATTTGAATAATGATTGTACTAAAAGAAACCTCATTGATTGGGCTTTCATATCCTAGATCTTAAAAGTGCTAAAGGCAATACTTCATTCAAAAAAGGTCCTGCCATTTGGGTTTCGGTTGTAGTTTTACTCACCTTGTGATAGTTTTATTTGTAGACGCATGAATTCGAAAATCAGATGAAATGAAGATGTGAACACAGTGTATTCAAAATGGATCTTATTTCACAAAGTTTCATATGTTTTTCTCTGTCTATTTTTTCCATTAGAACTTATGTGTCCGTCTGTCAGTCCTAAAGACACAGACGACAAAGCCACAGCTGACGTGACTTGGACCGACCCGAGTGGGGGCGGGCTATCTGGTGTGACATGCCTCCCAGCTAGCGGCTCGCCATTTCCAATTGGCATCACCACGGTGACGTGCACGGCTCAAAATACGGCTGGAAATACGGTCATGTGCACTTTTTGGGTGACAGTAAATGGTGGGTGCAACTTAGGCGTTCTTTTTTATTTCTATGGTTTACGGTCGAAAAAAAAAATAAATCTGAAAATAAAATGCAGTCGATCCTGGAGGTGGCTAAATTGAACAGATGCCAAGTACGTGTTGTGTATTGCAATGATATCAAAATTATTTGGTATCACCGAAAAATTATAAAGCCATTTTTTCCTCCGCCAAGAAGGTTATGTTTTCACCGGCGTTGACTGTGTTGGTTGGTTGGTTAGTGTGTTTGTCTGTGAACAGGATAACTCCAAAACTTCTACAAAGTTCTAGACGGATTTTCATTAAACATTTTTTTAGGGGTGGTCCTCAGTACAAACTATTAATTGATCAGATTTTTGAAGTGATCGGGATCTGCGTGTGGATGCAGGATTTTTTTCAAAGAATTATTTTGTCACCAATATGCATGCAAAACATTCACCAGATCGCTCTGTGCACAGGTACGTGCGTGCGTGGCACTGACCTGGTGATCCTGTATGCCTCGTAACACACCTAATCTAGCCACACAGGTCAATGGACTATACCATTTTATACAATGGGGGATTGGAAAAAGTAGACAACACAGGCTTATACATACATGTTTGAGTTGAATGATGTTTTAAATGTGCAATGAAATATGGAAGTCCAATGGATATGCGAGGCTGTATGAATTTACTGACAATATGGCGAGGAATTGCTCAGCCTTGGCGGAGGTTTGCACTCTCTGAGTGCTTTCTAGTTGCAAGATGCAGTTGACTTAAATCGGATATTGGTTTTTATAGCTGTTGTGAAAAGAAAATAAGAAGATCTGTCAACTAAAGGTTAGCTAGAGAAAAGGTACCCGAAACCTCATGCAGTCTGTTTTGATAACATTCAGTTGACAGATTTCATTACATTCCGTAGACAGATTTCTAAATGTAATGTTGGATTTTGCCCTTTCACCGGCGAAATTTCACGAAGTCAACGCTGCATATATACTCTGAGTGTAATAAAAATGTCCAAATAAAGCCAAACACAAGCCATATGCAATTACAAAATTTGTTCGCTTTTACCTCATGGATTCTAGCCCTCATTCGTAACCTGTTACTATCTTTATAGTCTCCTAATTATCTTCATTTAGGCATGCGTAATACAACCAATGCGTCAGTCTTTCACGGAGTCCAAATTCACACTAAACCTGAATGACAAAAAAGCTATTATTTGAGTGAACTGTGAACAAGACACTGGTGACAAGACACTTGTGCATTCCTCCGTTATTGCTGTGACACCATCTCTTCGTTAATGCTTTGTGAATTGATACTGATAAACTTTTTTTGATTAACTGGATGACGACAATTAATGATCTTCATATTGGGGAAAGTTTTCAGGAAAGAGCAAACTGTCCGAAACGTCGATCGTGCTACAAACCCTTTTCATAATCACACCTAGTCTTAATTAAAAGATATTTGACTAGTGTGCTACCGACAACCTAGCTTGAGTAACTCCAGCTCCAATGCTCATCAGGAATTTGACATATAGAGTTAGAGCTTAAACTATGATGAAGATACTAGATTCTAAGAGGCCCTAAAATCGGGACTCTCGGTATCTGTATCCCAACCCAGATTCCATTAAACACTCTCATGTTCATGGTATGTTTTCATGGAATCTTTGGTTAAAATCTTTTAATAGATGGAAAAAGGACCATTTGTTTTGATACAGATGCACAACAGAGAGTCCTGTTTAAGTGCCTCTTATTAGAATCTAGTATCTACAACCTAGTTTGAGCTCCAGCTTTATTGTGTCGAAATCCTGATGAGCATTGGAGTTGGAGTTGCTCAAGCTACCGACAACCTTCTTGGCATCTCTGCGTTATACATTTTCCCCCCAGACAACCAGCGTCCAGAGTTCACCAAGTGCCCCGAACCGATTCGGAGGACGATTGCCAACTTCCAACCCATGGATTCCCTCTCGTCCCTGGCTGTCACCTGGGAGCAGCCATCCACCAAGGACAACGCGCCGAAGCCAGCACAGTTATCTAACACACACGAGTCGGGCACCGAGTTCGATCTGGGCAGCACTAGCGTCAAGTACACTGTCAGAGATGATGCAGGAAACACAGCGAGCCAACCGTGCTCTTTTGATGTCCGCGTTGTCGGTTAGTAGGCATATACAGGGTGGATCAAAAAAACAAAACAACAACAACAACAACCGAAACCGAGATATTATTATTTTTAATTGGAACAGAATCATAGGACACATGTGAATCGAAGGAAGATATCCTCTGTTAGGGTTGAATCTCCTCTTTAAAATGACACCCTGATCATGTCCTTACATTCACGGTTGACTGAGCAGTGACCAATTTTATTAAAGGGTCTATTTAGAAACTTATGCCACTTTTTAAGGTGAAATCTCTTTCCCCCCCCACCTGCCTTGGTTGGCAACCATAGCCTTTCACTCCGTGACAACTGACACAACAAAAACCACAATTGAAAAGTGGCGCAATTCTCTAAATATAACTTTCATTAAAAAAAGTTATCATTCCATTTGCCTAACAGGTTTTTAACAGTGTCTTTGTATTTCCACCTTTCCTATCTTTCCTTCAGTCCAACCACCGAATGATCACATCTTCGCCAAGGATCTCTCTACTAATGGTTTCACGGTCGTCTGGCCCCAGTCGGAAGACGAAGCCGTGACGGACTACAATCTCTTAATCTGGAAGGACGTAAGCCTCATAATTGCTAAGATTTCGACTGAAAATCTTCTCTTGTTAGAAACCCTCGAGGAACGCTATTTAATCTGATCCCTTAGGGTCGAGTAGATAATTATAGACACTGGAATTTTTGCGCAAGGTTTATGAGTTTTTGAACGTCATGAATAACAATCATAATTGATTATGATTTTCTTCACACTTCAGTACTCCCCCACTTAAATCCTCACGACACATGCAAATTGTTGACAGTTTAAATTGGACAAAAAGCACCTACTTTGAATCATTCGTATCGTTTCTTTCTTTTTTCTTTTCCTTTTTAACCCCCCCTTTTTTTTTTTAAAGTGTCTTGTGATCTGAAGAACGGTCGTTAGCACACGCTGAGCGCCAATCATGCATGGACAAACTTTTTGACCTTTGACCATTACGTCGTCAGTGTAAATCCGATCACCAGACTGATTTTTCTTAATACCCAGATAAAAAACACATTTATATTTAATTCCCGCCTGGAAAAAAACCAGCACGTACCAGCTATACATATTCTCATGGGTGATGGTTCAAAGCGAGAATTGTCTTATCCAAATCACAGATGTAGATCATTCGGGAATTCAGAAGCTTCTTGTCTTTTTTGTAACAGGATGCACCAAGACCAGATTCCAGCCAGCGAATCCCCGTGACACCCAGCGACGATGACAGGAAATACACGTACATCGAGAAAGCAGTCGGTGATCTGGAGCCCGCCGTGCTGTACAATGTTGAGGTCAGCAGTGAGTCGGGCACCGTCATCTCGTTGATCCAGCAATGGACGCGTAAGTGAAATTGCATCATTATTCGGCGACCCCTGGTCACTGAGGTGGGTGGAGCCACGCTCACACGCGCGTGGTACGCGCACACTAAATGTCCCCTCGACCAATAGGCTAAGCAAATTGCGCGCGCCTAGACTAAAGAACTCTCAGCAATGTCGCCGAATTTAGGAGATGAAATCAGCGATTTGGTCCACATCTTGACTTGTTTGCTGAGCACAGTTGTAATGACTACAGTCAATGACTCGAGTCACAACATTTGGTGACTCGACTCGACTCGAGTCCCTAGGGGCAAATGTTTGATCAGTGTCAGCATTAGAGTCGAATGTGGTGTCACCACATGTAGTAGCCCGAATGTAAATTTAAAAAAGCTCCCCCCCCCCCAAAAAAATGACTTTCTGTTTTTTTTTTAATGTATCGTGTTCAAATATTTCTGACTCGAATTGACTCGAGTTTCATACTCGACTCGACTCGACTACACACTGTGACTCGACTCGACTCGACTGGACCTACTTGACCTAATGACTCGACTCAACTCGAGTCACTTCTTCAAAATGACTCGACTCGAACTTCAAAAATGAGTGACTCGATCGTTACAACTCTATTGAAAGATGCTGCATGGTGAGCTTTAGCCTAATAATTGAGTTTTCTTCGGAAACTTTGTGTACAACCAGGGACACCTAGTAATTCGTGTGAGCACGGCCCTTCAATACCGTACTCACAAAATGCACCTACAGTGGTTAAGGAAGGTGACCCACCTACAATGCCTTGCGCGTGACACCTATACGTTACCTTCTCTGGTCTTGGAACAGACACTGAGTAAGATCATTTCTGACCTTGATGGTGAGGATACAATTCCAAGAATAATAACGGAGTCAATTGCCAATCAAACGGAGCTTGCCAATCAAATTTGAAGATAAAAGATGGCACTGTCCATCATGTTCACAGTACTCATGCACTCTCGGTTGTTTGGCATTCCCCGTAAAATTCTTGTTCTCTTCATTTTCACTGTCATTTTCATAAGGGCCGATGTCCCCTACCAATCTAGAAGCAAGTACCATTTCTCCTTCTTCTGTGGAGCTGTCTTGGACTGCAAGCCCGGGAAATGTGGAGCAGTACCGTATTATAACATCCACTGGGATTAATTTCTACGTCCCCAAGGAAACAGAGAGCGTGACGCTGGAGTATCTCGATCCTCGTATACAACTCAGCGGATACGTGAGGGCCGTGGTTGGGTCAGGGAAAAAGCGACTTGAAAGTGATTACGATAGTGAAAGTTTCATGACAGGTAAATTAAAGTTAAGAATTCCCCTCTGTAGGAGGAACCAATTCACGCAACAAGGGCGATCCTTTTCCGTTAAGATATAGCCATCTTCTATTTGCTTGGTGTAAAGTTGCCCCGACTAGCTTTTGTTGTGTGCATAAATAATAATAGTATCTCTACATGGGGATGGTAACATCAAGTGTTGGCCCCTTCCCCTCCTTTCGAAGTCTGCAATACGGCCGTTGGATAAGTAGCCAGTCAGGCCCAGTAGACATTCCCGGCATGGTTTGTTATTTCCTTCTCCTGTTTAACGTTCTCAATCTAAATAAGAGTTTCAAATGCTCTACTGTCTGGCTCTCGCCGATATAGTTTGACAGCGCTTGAATTTTAGTAAGTCGCTGCATTTTGTAAATTGAATATCAACTTCGTAAACAAAATGAGAAAATAAGCTGTCTGCATTGTCGTCTTTTGTTGGAAGGTCCAGTGAATGATTCCCAGCTCATAGCCTATGACTACACTGAGTCAACAATAAGGGTAGTGTGGAAGCATTCCTCTTCGACATCCAACTCCAATGAACCCTACATGCTGTTGATTAATCCACCGGACGCAGAGAAGAACTATCTAACCGTCTTTGAATCGACGCGTGGAGAGTTCAAGGGACTGAAGCCCAACACGGAGTACCAGATCAGACTAATCAGCAACCTGGGTCTGTCGCTCGGCACTTCTCAGAAAACCAGTAAGTTTGATAAGGCATATAGGATTATTTGCATTTATCCCAAAAGTAAACTACCAAATAAAATGCCTCGTGAAATTGTTCCGTCTGGCTTGCTGTCATAGAAGACATCACGAAATGTAGGCTAGGTTTCCATCAGTTTATTGCCATCAATATCGCTGGAAATATCCTAGGCTAAATAAAAAAAAGTATTCTTTCAGCAAAACAAAAACAATTCACATGCATCCCTATGAGAATTGTTTTCGAAAGGCAAGTGTTCTTTCCGCAAAACGAAAACAGTTCACAGTTCACATTGGGATGTATATGAATTGTTTTGCTGAAAGAACACTTACTTTTTTTGTGATCCGTGGACAGAACTTTAAAACGGTGTTTGTGTTCAAAATTCCGTAACTTGAACAGTACATGAGTGATCTGAATGATTCTTTACTAAAAGAAAGCTTTTTAATTGGGCTTTCATATCCTATATTTTAAAAGTGCCACACGCAGAACTTCATTAAACAATTGGTCCTGACATTTGGGTTTTTATTCACTATGTACAGTTCGCTGTAGACAAAATCGTGTTTCGATCGTGATCACAAGGTTGTGCATGTTTTTTTCAGTGTTTTCTCGAAGAGTGTAATATCCACTGAGCTGAAACTTCAACATGTTAGGTTTTGGTCCTTCTTCTTTGGATTTTGAGTTATGGTATTATTGAAAACGAACAAGCGCATGAAAAGCAAGTTATCCAATATGCCTTTAAAAATCCGACCACCAAAACTTCAAGATATTACAGAGAAATCTTCCACGCTGGCGCGCGGAGCTTTGAGCCGTGCGCCCATCCTTCTCCACAAGTCGAATATGTGGAATTCTAAATTTGTTCGCGAGAAAGTTGTCAATCGACGAGAAATGGCATCTTGTTCATTTTGCAGGACCGGGTCGCGTCAGTAATTTACGCCCGACTGCGGTGGCAAATGCATCGATCACTCTTGAGTGGGACCCACCAGCGGAGGGGGCCGTCACCTCATACGAGGTGAAAATATCCCCGGCGGGGACACAGAATAATCCTGCAATGGAATCGGACACCAGGTAAGATTTTGTTTTCATTTTTGTTCATATATTTGGTTCATGAAACCAAAGATTTCTCCAAGTTAAGTCAGCACAACAGAATCCTGTGTAGTGAACGATATCAATAATACAGTTTTTGGAACAAAGGTTGTACAACTTGTTTTGTATTCCTTTTTTATTGGCCTAAAGGTATGAAAACTATTCGACATCCCTTTTTTGGTAAATTTTGTTGTTGTTGGGAAAATGCACTTCTTTAAACTTTTGAAATATTCCATGCTTTTTCCGACAACCGAGGGCGCTCTTGCTGTGATGCCATTTTAAGCCACGCCGTCTTCAACTAAGGAGTTTTCTGTTCAAATTGGGAACCCAGAAAGTTGCTAATTGAAAACATTTGCGAAAAAAAGTTTGCTCATGAACTTACTGTCATGTAGTGAAACAACAACAACGAATCGCCAGAAAACCCTAAATTTACCGACCGCAAAATATCCTAAATTCTGGCAACTTGTGGTGGCGAAATAGCTGTTACACTGACGACTGACGTTTCTGTCTACAATGACGTAAAACGCTTTGCTCATGAATATGGGAAATTCGCGCTTAGCATAAAAACCAAAAAATGCACCAAAGTAAACATCTTTGAAAATGGCAAAATAAAAATTGAAAATTAAGTTATATGGGAAACAAAGGTGCATTTTCAAGATTGCATTAAACAAATTATATTACATGGGCCCTTATAAAGGTGAGAAAAAAAAAATTGTTGATCATTGTTTGAAATTGAAATAAAGCAGTTTTTTCCGTTAAAACAAAGCATACAAAATTGAAAAAAGTTCGGAACAAGCAATCCATTTTTTGAAGAGCCCGCGGTATGCGACGTAAAAAAGGGTCTGAATTCATCTGCTTGGGAACAGACTTTAGGCCTATTGTCATTGAAACCACGAAATGATACTAGATTCGTTTAAATGCATGTAGGCTTCACAGTAATACGGAGGTTGGTTCGTGGTGTTAGCTGCGACAAAATGGTGGGTATTATGCTTATATTTTGTTCGATTTTTCCAGTCCCCACTTTTCAACATTCTGAAGCATGCCTGTGACATTCATTTGTAATTTCCTCTCTCGCTCTAAACAACAGTCGTGTTTTCGTGGGCTTGAAGTATGGCACCGAGTACAGCCTCAGTGTTGTGTCTGTTCATGATGGCATGAAGAGCGTTCCCCAGACTCTGATGGTGACGGCTGGTGTAACCAAGGCAGTGATTGAACCACGTAAGGCATTGCAGTCACTGTGTGGACCTGTGTGAACAAAAGATGTCCACACGATGCAGGAGATTAATTAAGACGTTGTGTGGACTTACATAGGTCCACACAATGCTTTCCACTTTCTGTAAAGGAGACATTTTGTGGTTAAATGGTCATACCATTTTGGGGTTATAGAGTTATACGTAGCAAAATGAATGAGAACATTCATGGAAACCACAGTCAAAAATCCAGTTTCAAACAGTGTCTGCAAGAGGCAACGTTTTCAAACAAACTACACGAGAACAAAGCCATTAATGTCCACACAGGGCATGTAAAACTCTGTGTATATAAGTGAGAACGGTGTAAATCGAGGACACATATGGGAAAATTCCTTTCCTTATCGAGGACTACAATGAGGATAGTCCTCGATTGGATTTACAAACAATGAGTGGTTGTGTGGGTGTGTACTTAAATATGGGATACAGGGAACAAAGGGTAACAAAATAGGGACAATGATACCCCGCAAGTACGTCTTTAAAAATCAACCAGACTCCACCAAATACGTACTCGTGTATAACGTAAACAGACCAACAATTTTGATGTCTCCTATAACCACGGCTTCTTCAAAATCTTGAGTTCTCATCGCTTCATCACAGAAACCCCGTACTTAAAAAAAAGAGTATTTGCTTTCACACGGTGTCTGTGAAATTTTTATTTTTCCCTCAGATATATTTCTGAAGAAAAAAAAGTTCTATATAAAATAAACGTACAAATTGTAAGTTAGGGTCAACACTTTCATCTTTATCCCACGCCGAAGAAGTACATGCAATTAGGCTACAACCGCGACTTGCAACTGGGAGTTCGCCTTGTATACATGTACTGATGACAGCAAACACTTCTTTTCACTTTTGTTTATGTTTTGCAGTGAACCAGCAGGCGATAATAATTGGGTCGGTCTTGGGCGCCTTTGTCCTCGTTCTGGCCATTGTCTTGGGTGTTATCTGCCTAAAATATCGGAGCCTGAAGGTGAGTGGATGTTGATTCGATAATGGCATTTTTTTCCCAACAGTATGCGCTGACGATCAAGCGCAAAAGTTACTCGTCAAGGAAATGGTTACCAACAAAATCCTGGTACTGAAATTGAGTTCAAACAACGCCAACAAATAAAAACAAATAAATCAAATAGCACATTTTGTTAAGACAGCAGTTGAAGAAGATTTTAATATGTAATACTAATAGGCCTATTTTAATTCACCTTAAAATAAATTCTGTTAATATACCGTTAAGGAGAGATTTTTCATCATTAGTTATACCTAGGGAGAAACCAGACATTAAGGAGACATTTCAATGTCTGCCTAATGTCGCAACTCCTATTTGGGTCATTTCACCGAGTTGGCGAACAATGCGTGACATATGGCCATATTAAGAAATACATGAATGCCTCGCTAGCAGTTGCTCTACATAATATTTGTTGTTGGGTGTTTCACTACTGCAGAAAGTTCTAAATCATTTCAATGTATTTTGCCAAAAATATGACCAAAAAAGTCATTTTGGGCGTAACATGGACACCATGTCAATGTTACGTCCAAATATGACATTTAACCTTTTTTTTTTAAATTTCTGTGAAACATAACCCAAATTCACTGTACGTACTTCTTACTATACATGCAACACAATGAGAAAAGCTTTGGTTGCGGTAGACAGCTAGGTATATCAAATGGAGCAGAAATGATAGCTTGGTTGTGGACGCAACATTGACACGGTGTAAAACCCAAATGTCACACTCCCATTGAGTGATTTTGACACCGTTACATCCACACTTCATTTGAACCCTGGCTATACTAAAACAAAAGTTTTCTTGGTGCATTAGGTGCCCAGTTATAAATAATCGTAAACGCTAGTACGGCAAGTATGTGCATCATAATTATCAGATAATGATACCTCTCCATATTTCTAATTCCGATCGTCATTCTTATTTGCCTTCTCTAAATTGTCAAATTCTCTTGATTGAATTTCAGAGCCAAGCAGAGCCTGCATTGGCGAGAACGGGACGCACAAATGAAGCCGTGGCGCCCGATAATGGTTACCAGGTAATGAGTCCATATTTTTCCCTTCTTTGTTTATGGGTATACAGTGTGTCTAAAAACAGTGCAAACAAAATATAACGAAATGCCAGACGTAGAATGTGTAACCAACATATAGATAATATCGGTATGATTTGGAAGATACCCCTTTCCACTTTAAAATGAGACATCAAACGTCAAAATCTGATAATTTTTGACAGAGTTATGAGGAATTTTCCAAGAGAGGTCAAATTGACCATGGGACCAAGTTTTGAAATTTAGGTATTGGGACAAAGGTAGCATGATTGCCTCTGTGTGGATAATTGCCTGGCCTACAAAAAATGTGTTTAGCGAGTAAACACAACTCTGAACAACTTCTTGCTATCAGATGTTGATTATGTTTACTCGCTTAACACATATTTTTTGTAGGCTAGGCAATTATCCACACAGAGGCAATTAGGCTACCTTTGTCCCAATGTCTAAAATAATGATAATTCCGGAGTTTTATATAGCGCACGTATCTATACCAACAATTACGTACTCAAGGTGCTGGAAATTAAGTCTATTTTTAAAGACATGTTTGTGAAGCCTATGAGGAATATGAGACCCATTATATAGCACCTATTAAAGTTTGACAAGGTGCTGCGGCGCATATTGCAGCCACTGCCAGAAACACCGGGGCAAACCCCTTCTCTTAGCGATAAGTGTTTGGGTTATTTAACGTGCATTACACAACACACGGGACCTACGGCTTTACGTCCCATCCGAAGGACGAAGCAATAATGGTAAAGTGCCTTGCTTAAGAGCATGCTCCCACGGTCAGGGTTCGAACCCATGTACCACGGCACAATGAGAAAAGTATTTGAATGAAACCTCTGTCACTATGTCACAGAAATATTGTAGTGTAGGATTCATATTTTAATTCTCTACAAAAAAGTACAACCTCAGTACGGGGCAGCCCATATAGACCTAAGGTTTAAATAAAATTTAGTCGTACAATTATTATAGCGCTTTGAACCACAGTTATGGCTAGAGTTAACGGTGGGGCAATCTCAATGGAATTATAGGCCTAGCCTATACACCGATCATCTTAGTGATATCCATCTTTGCCATTAATGTATTTCTCTCCTTATTTTTATGCTCATTTTGTAGGCGGGAGCGGTTCAAGGTAGCGACGTGGGTGTGTATGAGGTGCCGAAAACCGAAAGGACCCCAGGACCCCATGATGAATACGAGAACACAGTCATCGGTCAGCAAAGCGCTGGAAAGGCGGCACCAAAAACCAAGCCCAGGCCCAACTTTCGTTAAATTAAGGTAGAGTATTATCATTTGTCATTTGTGCATTTGTTTTCGTTTGAAGCAACAAAAGTGCTCAAAATCTAAAGACGGGTGTTAACAATTTACTAACTTGATGAAGTTTCAGCTCAGTGAAAGCTATATATTCCGAGAAAACAATATTTTTAGGAACTCCATTTCAATTCAAAAGTTGCCGAGTCATGTTTTGAATTGCGCCCGAAATCAGCGTCCGGGACACGTTTTTTTATTCAGCAGACTGAGGCTACACGACGGCGTCACGCACTGAACCGACGAATTATTATTTTATAGCAGCTGCGCGTATCGTCGTGTCAACGCTTGCGCGCACCCATTCACGTCTTCGCTAAATTAAAAACGAACTACTAACGGAAATTAGCAAAAATGTGCGTCTTTCATTATTTTCCTCAAAATGAGAGCATGCCAGAAGAAAACATTTCACAGGGAGTTTAGTGCCACTATCTTTCAACCAAGTATGCTTGTCAACAATAATCAGTTACTTTTCGGACAGCTGCAAATTATATATACTTTTATGAGCCCTGCCTGAAATGGACGTGTTTTATACAGCCACTGCAGCTTTTGTCATGCACGCGTAAAATACTTGGTGTGCCAGGTATATAAAATGTATCAAGGCATCTTTTTTTTCCCTCATATATTTCACGTTGTTTTGGTAACGCATGTGTTGTTATTTCCTTGCTGCAGGCAGTTGAAAAGCCCAACAAGAAGACCGGTTTCGATCGAGAAATCACGGGCATTTTAGACGTCTCTGGTCTTGAGAGGATTTGGGACCTTTGGAAAGACAGATCTACCCTGAATTTTGCGGTTTTAATTTGAGAACCTAAAAGAGTGGATATCATTTGCACAAAAGTGTGTGTTTGATTAAAAAGCAACTATATATATCATTGGTAATTAGAATAAAGGTGTATACGTTCTGCTTAATATTGTAGACAAAACTGTTGATCTTCCCGATAATTTGTACGGAGAATTTTGATTTTCGCTTGATTCAAATGAAAATGTTTACCAATTTTTGAAACGATTATACCCAAAACGGGCAGGCAAAATATTTCCAGCTTGTATTCTGTACGTCTACCACTTTTAATTGTCCCTAAATACTGTCTTTGTTCAAGGGACGCCATAACGCCCTATAATTCACGATAAATATTTGAAGCATTATACATTGCTGCAAATCTGGGAAATAACAAATGGGGATCGCTCACAGAGGGACACTACTTTTTAATGCAAATCAAATTTTCAAATAACCATAATTTGAGAATGCCCAGGTCCTTATTTTATTATTTCTTTGTTCAACTTTTTTATCCATTTGTCATTGGATGTAAAAGTTTAAATATGTAAATACTTTTTTTTTATGTATAGAGCGTATAAATGCATTTTGGTGAGGATTTCTTTACAGCAGCATAAGCTTAAAGGCTTTGCATCGGTCCCTGGTCAGACTGACTCGAAATCCGGTAATTTGTTTGTCACATAGTATGAACAGAAGTTAAAGCAGTGCTCACCAGGAATATTCTAGCTGATTTTTTGGCAGGCTGACTAGGTCTTCATCAGAGCAGGGAGTTGCAGTTCGTCTCCCAGCTCCGATGAAGGCCTAGCTATAGTCAGGCCGAAAATTCAGCAAGAAAATTCCTGGTAAGCACTGATTTTACTTATTTTCATCATATTTACTTCTCTTAATTCATGCTACACAGGTTTGTTTTATTTTGTTTGGCATAATACCTTTCAGGGTCAACATTGCCACTTATCTGGGTCAAAATGACATGCTTGACTAGTTTGACAAGGTTTCTGGGTCAAAACAAACCAAACCAAGACAATCATCATTTTGACCAGGCAAAGTTTCATTTGTTTGATCCTTAAATAATAGGGTGGCTAAAAAAAAACCCGAAATCGAGATATTGCTGCTAATTGGAACAGAAGTAGGGCACATGTTAATCAATTAACCCAAAGGGAGATTTCTTCTGTTAGGGCTGAACCTCCTATTTAAAATGAAAGGGTCTATTTAGAGAGTTGCGCCACTTTTCAATTGTGGTTTTTGTGGTGTCATTATTTTTGTCAGAGTGAAAGGCAATGGTTGCCAATCAAGGCATGTGGGAAAAAAGAAAAGAGATTTCACCATTTAAATCTGACGAATGACTTTTTAGAGCGTATATTTTAATATTTTGTCAATATGATTGGCTTGACGATTTTTTTTTTTTTTTTTTAAATAGTTCGGTTGTTTTGAAACAAGTTTGATGAAGAAGACACATTGGTGTTTCAACTGAGCCAGAGCGACACATGCATGGATTTAGAATCCTGAAACCATCTGTCAGACCATGAATGAGAACATGGGCGTCGCTAGGATTTTTTCGAGGGGGGAGGGCAAAAGCACATCCCTCAAATCGTTGTGCTTTCTCTAGCATATTCTCAATGTATCATTCTTTTTGGAGGGTGGGCGGGGGACATTAAATTACCACCTCATCCCCATTTTATACCCCTGCACAGCTCCCCCTTGCCCCATCCTGTCGACGCTCATGAATGAGAATGGTCCAGCTCAACTTGGCTGAGTTATGTATAAATAATGTAAATTGTAACCGCAAGTCATACACAGACTTTGAAAAACAAGATGTATTCTGCATTATGTCCTTCGCCGAACAAGAAGGCACACTTCGTAATTGGTCAGTCCATTGTTACACAGTCGGACCCAAAAACTCTCATGTTCGGTCGATGATGTAATGTGATGATTCTTTGTGTCAGAATGAAACTTTTACTTTTGAGCTCAAACATTTTGCACTGAGTTAATGATTCAAGTCTCTCATCCGTTTTCTGTTTTTGTGACTTTGTTAGAAATTTGTGACTTTGTACAGTACTGTAATTTGTTGAATGTAATAGAGATCAGTGATGCAGTATATCAATAATTTTGAATATAAACCGGCAATGATTGATCCACTATTATTATATAAGGGATGTACTCAGAAAAAAAGTCTCAATTTTTGGATTTTGTTACATTTCAAGACTGTGTGTTAAACACTGCAAACTTTATATTTAATCATACCTTGTGACACTGTCCTTGTCATTGAACGTGTTTCTTGGTGATGATCATTATTAAGTATTTGGCAGCATTGAAATAAATGTCCGATGAAGTACTGTAATGGTTTCTGTGACCTCAGTCCATGATGACGAAACTCTCATCCAGTATGCATACTATACAACTGAGATGTCTCAAATAAACACCGCGAGAAAGTCCACACTCGTTGGAAGGGTTATAATTTTGAATCTGAAGCCTTGTGATGACGTCATTTATATAAACCCGCGAGGCATTTTGTGAGCTACATTTTGATACCCCGTTTGCTTCCAAAGACTTTAGATAGTCCAAGATTGACAACAGTTTATGAAAAATGATGCAGTTTAAAAAGTTAAAATTTAAATATTACGCGAGTCGAGTGGAAATTGCTGCGTGACAATGACACTGCCCGGAACGAACGGGCAAAGTGCAGTCGATATAGGGGCCAACGAATTTCGGGCACGTGTGTTTGCGCTTAGCAATTTCTCCTCGCGTACCTCTTAAAAAGGTTGTGGAATGCTCGGAGACATTTCCGTCATTTTTCGGGTATATGTAGCCTAAGGTGTGATGAAATAAAAACGAATATTGTTTCTGTCATGAAATGAATACAAAATGTACTTCTGGGATAGTCACTTTGCAAGGGCCAAATCCCCACCCCCGGGGCAAAATTTAATTGACAAACCCCGACATGCATGGATGCGGTTTACTAAACTGGATTTCTAATATGATGAAGTGCGTCAATGGCAATGGTAAAACAAGTGACCAAGTGACCATAATCCCCACCCTGGGGCTTGAAAAAGAACTGAACCCCGACATAAGACCATTATGATGAACATAAGACCTGTTGAAGTTTCCGTCAGCTCATATACGAGACTTTTCGAGAAAATAGCCGAAACCATGCATAACCTCTTTATCACGAAACACGGTCAACATTTCCCAAAAATAAGTCAACTGACTTATCGTTGAAATCACCTGGGGCAAATTTCATGGAGGTGCTAAGCACAAAAATTTGCTTAGCACAAAAATGTCCTGCTCAGTAAAATCAGTTACTAGCCAAAAGTCCCTATGATTTTCACACAAAAGTGAACAACAGCTTAGTACCAGTCTCAAGCAATATAAAACACATACAAATTTGGTTGGTAATCCTGTTCTTATCCAGGAGGAATGGTCATGCTAAGCAATTTTTTGGTGCTTAGCAGCTCCATGAAATTGGCCCCTGCTGGTCCCTACACTTTTTGTTTTCTTCGAAACGACAGCAAGCCAGACGGAGTGTTTAAAACCGTTACGATCTTTGTACTGACCCGGTGCTCTTCATTTTTTGTCGGCTACCTAATTTTCAGTTTGTATGTTTTGTTTTAACGAAAAAAAGTACTTTATTCTGATTTTGCAGACAGCAACCCTCTCAATCAAGGACTTTATTGTTTATTTACAAATGATCCCGCCCTGCGAGAGAACCGAATAATTTTCTGGCAACCAATAATAATTGATTTTCGTGAAGAAAGAATTCAACAACTAAACGTAATACATTCAGCCAATTGAGGGCGCTACTAGTAAACAAGTTTCGATTTCGCGGCGAGGTAAAAAGGTCGATGTTATTTCTCAAACGCCACCGGCCATTGCCGCACAGCCCCACCAGCCATCCCCATGGTGCATGGCCGGTGACAGTGCTGCGTCTGACGGCACAGCCCCATCGGCCATCGCCACGGGCCGGCGACAGCCCCCCCCCCCCGAAAAAAAATACATAAATAGGCTTAAGTCTGTAATCGTAAGGTTTAGAAAGTCACTGACAGTGGGGGTATGGGTTTTGCATAATGGCAAAGCAGCATTTCAGTATTAATTACCGTTAATTTTCGGAATATAACTCTTAAGCCGTGGCTTATACATTGTATTTGCCCATGAAGTGTTTACAGCGGCTTATACAATTGTACAAAGGGCGGCTTATACACCGAGCCCCCCGGATATACATGTAGATGTGTATTTTTGATTGTCCATGCAACCTCAGCGAAGGGGTTGGCCTAGCTGGTTACAAACCCAGTTGGTTACCGACCGAGTTAGTCACAAAAACGAAACTGGGGGCATCATGTACCTACGTCTGGGGCTCACTCCAAAAGTTTCAAGTCTGAAGCCTTGCCGATTTGTCAGCTTGTTGGCCTATTCATCCGCTAGCTATAGTTTGTCAAAATCCATCCATGTTAAGATACCTTTAGACCGCTACTCATGAGAGCCATGTCGGCTGGCGATGACAGCCCTTGCTATGGGACTTACTGCACGAAAACGAAACTGGGGGCATCATGTACCTACGTCTGGGGCTCACTCCAAAAGTTTCAAGTCTGAAACCTTGCCGATTTGTGAGCTTGTTTGCCTATTCATCCGCTATCCAAAAAGCTATAGTTTGTCAAAATCCATCCATGTTAAGGTACCTTTAGAACGAGACACATGAGAGCCATGTCGGCTGGCGCTGACAGCCCAAGCTATTGGACTTACTGCACAAAAACAAACTGGGGGCATCATGTACCTACGTCTTGGGCTCACTCCAAAAGTTTCAAGTCTGAAGCCTTGCCGATTTGTCAGCTTGTTGGCCTATTCTTTCGCCATCCAACAAGCTATAGTTTGTCAAAATTCATCCTAGTTAAGGTACCTTTAGACCGCGACTCATGAGAGCCATGTTGGCTGGCGCTTACAGCCCTTGCTATGGGACTTACTGCACAAAAACGAAACTGGGGGCATCATGCACTTACGTCTGGGGCTCACTACAAAAGTTTCAAGTCTGAAGCCCTGCCGATTTGTCAGCATTTTGGCCTATTCATCTGCTATCCACCAAGGTATAGTTTGTCAAAATCGATCAATGTTAAGATACCTTTAGACCGCGACTCATGAGAGCCATGTCGTTTGGCGCTGACAGCCCTTGCTATGGGATTTACTGTACGAAAACGAAACTGGGGGCATCATGCACCTACGTCTGGGGCTCACTCCAAAAGATTCAAGTCTGAAGCCTTGCCGATTTGTCAGAATGTTGGCCTATTCATCCGCTATCCACCAAGGTATAGTTTGTCAAAATCCATCCATGTTAAAGTACATTTAGACCGCGACTCATGAGAGCCATGTCGGCTGGAGCTGGCAACCCTTGCTATGGGACTAATACTGCACAAAAACGAAACTGGGGGCATCATGTACCTACGTCTTGGGCTCACTCCAAAGGTTTCAAGTCTGAAGCCTTGCCGATTTGTCAGCTTGTTGGCCTATTCTTTTGCCATCCAACAAGCTATAGTTTGTCAAAATCCATCCATGTTAAGGTACCTTTAGACCGAGACACATGAGAGCCATGTCGGCTGGCGCTGAAAGCCCTTGCTATGGGACTTACTGCACAAAAACGAAACTGGGGGCATCATGTACCTACGTCTGGGGCTCACTCCAAAAGTTTCAAGTCTGAAGCCTTGCCGATTAGTCAGCTTGTTGGCCTATTCATCCGCCATCCAACAAGCTATAGTTTTTCAAAATCCATCTTTGTTAAGGAACCTCTAGACCCAGACACATGAGAGCCATGTCGGCTGGCGCTGACAGCCCAAGCTATTGGACTTACTGCACAAAAACGAAACTGGGGGCATCATGTACCTACGTCTTGGGCTCACTCCAAAAGTTTCAAGTCTGAAGCCTTGCCGATTTGTCAGCTTGTTGGCCTATTCTTTCGCCACCCAACAAGCTATAGTTTGTCAAAATCCATCCATGTTAGGGTACCTTTAGACCGAGACACATGAGAGCCATGTCGGCTGGCGCTGACAGCCCTTGCTATGGGACTTACTGCACAAAAACGAAACTGGGGGCATCATGTACCTACGTCTGGGGCTCACTCCAAAAGTTTCAAGTCTGAAGCCTTGCCGATTTGTCAGCTTGTTGGCCTATTCATCCGCTATCCACCAAGGTATAGTTTGTCAAAATTCATCCATGTTAAGGTACCTTTAGACCGCGACTCATTAGAGCCATGTTGGCTGGCGCTGACAACCCTTGCTATGGGACTTACTGCACAAAAACGAAACTGGGGGTATCATGCACCTACGTCTGGGGCTCACTCCAAAAGTTTCAAGTCTGAAGCCCTGCCGATTTGTCAGCATTTTGGCCTATTCATCTGCTATCCACCAAGGTATAGTTTGTCAAAATCGATCCCTGTTAAGGTACCTTTAGACCGCGACTCTTGAGAGCCATGTCGTTTGGCGCTGACAGCCCTTGCTATGGGACTTACTGTACGAAAACGAAACTGGGGGCATCATGCAGCTACGTCTGGGGCTCACTCCAAAAGTTTCAAGTCTGAAGCCTTGCCGATTTGTCAGCATGTTGGCCTATTCATCCGCTATCCACCAAGGTATAGTTTGTCAAAATCCATCCATGTTAAAGTACATTTAGACCGCGACCTATGAGAGCCATGTCGGCTGGAGCTGGCAGCCCTTGCTATGGGACTTACTGTACAAAAGCGAAACTGGGGGCATCATGCACCTACGTCTGGGGCTCACTACAAAAGTTTCAAATCTGAAGCCTTGCCGATTTGTCAGCATGTTGGCCTATTCATCCGCTATCCACCAAGCTATAGTTGTCAAAATCCATATATGTTAAGGTACTTTTAGACCGAGACACATGTGAGCCATGTCGGCTGGCGCTGACAGCCCTTGCTATGGGACTTACTGCACAAAAACGAAACTGAGGGCATCATGCACCTACGTCTGGGGCTCACTCCAAAAGTTTCAAGTCTGAAGCCTTGCCGATTTGTCAGCATGTTGGCCTATTCATCTGCTATTCACCAAGGTATAGTTTGTCAAAATCCATCCATGTTAAGGATTTAGACCGCGACTCATGAGAGCCATGTCGGCTGGCGCTGACAGCCCTTGCTATGGGACTTACTGCACAAAAACGAAACTGGGGGCATCATGTACCTACGTCTGGGGCTCACCCCACATGTTTCAAGTCTGAAGCCTTGCCGATTTGTCAGCATGTTTGCCTATTCATCCGCTATCCAGCAAGGTATAGTTTGTCAAAATCCATCCATGTTAAGGTACCTTTAGACAGCGACTCATGAGAGCCATGTCGGCTGGCGCTGACAGCCCTGCTATGGGACTTACTAAACAAAAACGAAACTGGGGGCATTATGCACATACGTCTGGGGCTCA